TCACTTCATTTTAGCCGAGACAAAGTCGTTGTATGGCAGCTTGTGTTGAGACAACATTACACTTGAGAACTTTGGGTTTTTACGGCTTCAGCAGAAATAAAACATGTTGGTATTTCTCAAAGTAGGGCATCGAAAAAAGTATTGTTTTGGAACTGAAAGTCAGGTATTGTATCGTCACTAACACACTGGTATTAATTATTCTAAAATGAAACCCAGCTCAACTTGTGACGTCTGACAACAACTGCGTTCATCACAACGATAACTGCAATTTTCCACACAATGACCTCGTCCTTAAAATGCCGGTTATAATGAAATCGATACCGTTTGACTTCCTTTCACCATGCAACACAATGCAACACATGCTTTGTGATCAACATCAATTAGACAACCTGACCTATACATTCCCCAAAAAATATACTGTTGCACAAATCAATATTAGAAAACAGTCCTCTAGTCACTAAGATGTGTTTGTTTCTGTCCACATATTCTAATAACAACTGACAACAATCGCAGAATTGGGGTGAACAAAAACACTAGAAAGAAACAGATTAATCACACAATAATTTGTTTTAAATACAGTATATAGTCAAAGATATGTGGACATTGTACTTCTGGTCTAGACCCCAGCAGACTTTAGACGATAGTGTGCTTCTTGCTTTGTGTCAACAGTGTGTGTGTTTTTATCTTTCCTGTTATAACATGACACCGTCTCCATACTCAAAGCCAGCTCCACACAGAAACCGTTCCCCCAGCTCGGTGTGGAAGAACTTGACTGGACGGCACAGAGCATCCAACACCTTTGGGATGAAGCGGAACATCAACAAGGCCTCTTCACCCAATATCAGCGGCAACACATCATTGTGACCAACACGGCTGGCCGGCTTTGGCGATCAGCCGTCTCTATTAAGGATGGAACGTTAATGATTGTGACCTTTAAATGTCATTTGACAGACTCCCGAACAAGATTGAGACAAAGAGAGAACAGGACAAACAGAACACATGCAGGCATGGGGCAAGACAGGCTTTTATTTGGTGATAATGTAATTCTGTGTTGTTGTATGCTTTAGCAACTAAATTGCATTAAACTCCAACGCAGACTTGGGCTAAAAACGACAACCAGATATCATACTGACGTGTCATACGAGGACACGTTTAAGGCATGTCAGTAGAACCGTGTCATGCATGCATCTCCTGTGTGATTGTGTGTTAAAGTGAGCCCATGCTACATTCAGGTGCAGGATTATGTGTTAAAGTGAGCCCATGCTACATTCAGGTGCAGGATTATGTGTTACAAGTGAGCCCATGCTACATTCAGGAGCAGGATTGTGTGTTAAAGTGAGCCCATGCTACATTCAGGTGCAGGATTATGTGTTAAAGTGAGCCCATGCTACATTCAGGTGCAGGATCGTGTGTTAAAGTGGATCCCATGTTACATTCAGGTGCAGGATTGTGTGTTAAAGTGGATCCCATGTTACATTCAGGTGCAGGATTGTGTGTTAAAGTGGATCCCATGCTACATTCAGGTGCAGGATCGTGTGTTAAAGTGGATCCCATGCTACATTCAGGTGCAGGATCGTGTGTTAAAGTGGATCCCATGCTACATTCAGGTGCAGGATTGTGTGTTAAAGTGGATCCCATGCTACATTCAGGTGCAGGATTATGTGTTAAAGTGGATCCCATGCTACATTCAGGTGCAGGATTGTATGTTAAAGCCCTGCAGGAGGAGCTTTCACACAAACTCATGACACACGCACACAATAGGCTGGACCCACACAGGAAAACGACAAATAAACGGTGAATCACTGCATAGTAACAGCTCTGCAGATATAGTGTTATAACACACACAAACAGGCTTTGTTCCGTGTCTTACGGACATCCTTGAGGTGCAGCAAAAGGCCCGGTTAGCACGCCATGGACGAACGGCTAACTTGTAGCTATAAAAAGGCAAACCTTGTATTTGCGTTCGCTTTGCTATACTTGGCGGTAGACCTGCAGGTGGAAACGGGGGGCTTCTTCGCATCATTGATTTAATTTACCAGCATGGAGTGAGGCTGATGTGCACACGACGTCGGTCCGAGAAAGACACACACCTAAAGCTACCGAGGATTAACGGTAATGCTGTGTGTGCCAAAATATGCGCCTCGTTGCAGCCATTAATTTTAGTGGGCTAGCTTTAGTCACCGCTAGCTTTCGACTACTAAAGGTTATAAGATTTAAGATTCAAGAGACTTTGCAAGTAAACACAAGCAATTTACAGTCATCCTCTTCGTGGTATTGACATGTTAACTGGGTCATTTTGAAGCTGTGGATGTTTCTCCATCCGCATAACAATGGGTGGCAGCGGAGTGGACAGCTAGCAGACTGACCTGACAAACACATCAAACAAAGTCAGGCTAAGCTAACTCTGCTAACTTCCAACACATCCGTGCAAGACGCGTCTTAGCATCCTCCAAACACACACCGTCCCCGTGCACCAGTGTTCAACAGCGCTGAAGTATTTAAAGTCGTGACTGTAATGTCACGAACAACAACCAATAGAGGCGACACGGTTATTTTTTTTGTGTGAGTTCTGTGAGGAGTGTTTTTGACAGACAGGCCCCAAAAAAAAAACATGAACTGCCAATTTTTGGGATGGATAAATAAAAAAATGGCATTCACATGAAAACCCGACAGAGTCTGACACACGAAGACAACGACCGTCACCGGCTGAGAGCACACGCAGACACAATGCCACGTGTTCGTACGGCTGCAGAAGTCTGCACGAGACGAAAACACACAAAGTTATATTTAGCTAGAAGCTAACAGCTAGCTCCAGTGGAGAGCGATGCTAACATCAAGCAGCTAGTTCCAAGCATCGCCTAGCAGTGCAAATAAGATAAATACTACTTACTTTCATTTAAAACCTCCACCAGCTCGGCGCAGTTTTCACACATTTTCACACTGAGTCAAACCATCGCTTCTGGAAGCGGTTTCGTTTGTTGTCGGCTGGCAGCTGGTTGTTTTTGGGGTAAAACAAAAAAAAAAAAAAAAAAAGGCCCAGTGTGGAAGGGAGTGATTGTGTGAAGGTTATCCTCTAAATGAAGCCAGAGGGAACAACCACGTGGACAACGGGATTTGCATCCAAAAGCGAAGTTTGATGTCAGGTTAAAAAGTTTAAGAGCCTCTGGGAAGGTACGAAATCGAGTTAGTGTCCAATCTGAGCGTTAACTTGAGAGAGTAGACACAGCAGCCATGATGAAAAAGAAGGGGGGGGGGGGGACGACACAGTGTGGAGAGAGTTCGGGAGTTTTCGTGCTATTCTCCTTCACCCGTTCGGGTTACTTCGGTACTCTCGCGATATCTTCGGGTTGAAGATATCGCGAGATTTTCCTTACGATCTCAAGGGCAATGAAAACATTGTACTTGTCAATCTTGAATAATAATAATAGTAATAATAATAATATAATTTACATTGATAAATGTAAAATTGCTAAATACTACAATTATTCTTTTTACTTTTTTACTTATTTAATATTCTTTACTGTTTTATTACTTATTTATAATACTTGTTTTTATCTTGTTTTTTATTATGCATCTTGTTTGCACTATCCACTATGTGCATATATTCTGTACATAAAATATATATATATATATATACACTATATAAATGGAGTTTATATGGTTACTTTAAAAAAAATTATATAATAATTGAAGTATTACTGTTAATTTACATCTTTGTATTGTTAACTAATTTAAAATAAAATAAAAATCAAGTTTTATTTTATATATCTTTTCTACGAAGACATATTTGGATTTTAACACCATCAATGATCTAATCCATGTTAATACATCTTTTTAAATGCATATTAAAATATTAAGTTATTTGTGTTTTAAGCTATTATTTACATTTTCTCTGGTATACATGTAATTCTGTCGGTTAAAACAGTCAGAAGTATTTCAAATATACTTATGATTGACTACAGAATGAGGTGTAATGAGGTTGATATACTTATGTAGTGTTTCTCTTGTCTGTACAATAGTAGTGGAAGAAGTACATGGATATTTTATTGTAAAAGTAGCAATACCACTATGTAGAAATACTTTGTTACAAGTAAAAAGTCTTGTGTTCAACATTTCACTTAAGTAAAAGTACACAAGTATTAACATCAATATATTTAAAGTACTAAAAGTAGAAGTACTCGTGATGCAGAATAATATACATCATTGTATTATAATCATCACTTTAATGTTGCAGCTGGTAAAGGTGGAGTCAATTTAAACCATTTTATACACTGCCGAGTAGTTTAATCTATAATAATACATCAGAATGTATTAATCGATTTATATTTTGTATCAATAATCTTAATCTGCAAAGTATCTTTAATTATCAAATACATGTGGAGTAAAAAGTACAATATCGGCTTCCAAAATGTAGTAGAGTAAAATAAAATGTAAATATTTAAGTAAACTACAGGTACCCCAAAATTGTGCTCGAGTACAGTTCTTTAGTAAATGTAATGCATGTATTGTAAATGTCTTTGAGGTGATTTTGGGAGGAAAGAGACCGATTCCTCAGATGTAGTAAGTTCTGTGCTACATTTACACAACAGTTGGATCCCTAATCATCTGAAGACCTTTCATGTATTTCAGACTCAGCGTTTTACATCACAGACATGTGACTACGAAACACTTTCAAATCAGACTCGTATGTCGTAGCTTTCTCAGGACCTACACTGCAGAGTGTGTGCGCGCGCGCGCGCATGTGTGTAGGCTAAATCAAAACTAAACTGCCATTGTCCAACTTCACACTCATTTCATGTCAAACCTGGGACCCCAGTGTTTGTCTGGATCCTCATCCCCTGTCCATCTGCACCGATCAAACTATTTTAAATGCAGTTAAAGCTGAACTGATGAAGTAAATTATCGCATGTCTCTCGATACAAAGACCTTTAACAGGAGACATTTTGTCCCGTTAGTGGAACCAATAACGTTATTAAGTTCCATCACTTCCTGTAATGCTGATGTCATATTAGTTACTGCGCTCTTTGTGTGGCGCTGGGACAAAGCCAGTCCATGTTCTATTCAACTTTAGTTTCACACCATGTTTGACTCCTCCGCCCTCCAGTTTGGGAAGTTTCCTCAAACGTTAACTCGGTCTAAAAAGGTTTTTGGAAAATTTGACATTAAGCGTCATTTGCAATAAGCGCTCAGGACCTGGAGGCAGAGCTGTGACGTTCCTGTTCTTCTCCAGGTTTCCCATAACCTTCAGGGCTTTGCTAAAGAAGCAGAGTCACACACACACTTTTTTTTTTTTTTTTGTAAAAATAGCCAACTTTATATTCTCAGAGTACTAAGACAGCTTTACAAACAGGATGATATGCACACGGCCTTCTCATCCAAACGCAGAGCGGTCTCACCGACTCAGAGAGCCAGAGTAAAAGAAACAAACACACTGGCAAACCAAAACCAGACAACAAAGGAAGCAAGGAAGTACACGTCTACCCCTTGAGCGTCACATTCGTCCTGCCCCATGCACGCGGCACTTCAGAAACCAGAGCAGCCTGTCGACTTACCATCGCAAGTGATTCAACATTATATATATTACATATTAACAGATAGTAGAGGAGGTGAATGATTAAAAATAACCTGAAATTCTTATAACTTCATGCAGGTGTAAAATAACCATATGGCCAAACAAAGCTTTAATTAGCAACAGAATTAACAAAACATGGCATGTTACACACACACACACAACAGAAAAACATCGTTGTATAAAATAAGTTGTAGGGAAAAAAAAAAAAAAAAAAAAGGAAAAAAGATGAAGAATCCGCACCAGGGCTGAGGAGGGTCGGGGGGACAATTCTCATTTACATATTGACATTTATTTGGTCGACGTACAACCGAGTGCTGGGGTCTTTCCTCTGTCCCCTCATTCTCTTTTCAACACACACACACACACCCACACACACACGAAAAGAATTTATCAACAGGCAGCGTCCTTGCTCTCTCTCTCGACCCCCCCCTCCCTCCCTCCCTCCCTCCCTCCCCTCCCCTCCTTTCCTCCCTTCAGAGCCGTTTCTGTACACGCCGGTCGCTGTCGCTGCTGCTGCTTCAGTCGCACATCTGCTGCTGCTTCAGTCGCACATCTCCTCCGGCAGCTCGTGCGGGTTGAGGATGCCCGGCACCGACATCTGGAGCTTGTGTTTCTCCTCCTGGGCTTGGCGCAGAGACGTCTCCCTCTCCTCCAGGAACAGGTCCGTCGTGTCCTCGCCAGCAAACTCCTGCAGGACCACACGAGCAAAAAGACTCAGCAGCGCTCAGCACCAGAGAGTCGAGCTGGACTAACTCTCCACAAAGTCTCTCCACTTTAAAATAACCTGAGTTGTGACGCAGGCTTCAAGCACTTCCAATCAGATTAGATTGATTTACAAACATGAATGAAGTCCCTACATGGACAAAGAGCTGCTCCCTTTGTTAAATGAAGAGTTGTACTTTCTAAGTTCCTCTTTCTCTCAGTAAAAGTGACTCCTTTAGTGCAGACAGCTGCTTCATTGTTTGAGAAGGTCTAAGACAACGAGGACGACCAAAAATCCCTTCACGCTGCCGATTTCCCAAAATGAAGCACAGGCTTCTCCTTGAATAAGCTTCAACTTCAACAATATGTCGGTTTTAACCACAGACTGTAGATAGTTTGTGGACTGCGGTACTGGAGCCTGCTCCTGAAACTCACCTTGATCTGCACGAGGAAGTCCCTCAGGTGCTCCTTGAAGGCGGGGATGTCCTGATTCAGGCTGAACAGCCCGGTGACGAACACCTTCACCTGGGCGCTGCAGACATGAAACTCAATTAGAAAGGGCTACGCAACGCTAACCTTTGAAGCACAGCTTTAAGCCATATGACGGCCATATTAACGGGTGTAACTTGTTTTGTGGGGCAAAGCAGAAGACTCTCAGTCAATTCGGACCATGTTTTCTGCAAAAAAAATCAACGTGTACAAGTGAGAAAACTCTAGAATGTGAGGATGGAACTCACTTCTGGGTTTTAGGACTACAAGCTAAAGCCTTCACTCACAATGTGTTTAAAATGCATTCTAGTGTACTGAAAATATGAAATTATTCCTTTTATCTCCATGCATTTGTGTAAAATTCTTCCACGAAAATGCATCAAAAAACAAACTTACTCTTGCAGATGGGGGAAGGCCGTCTTCAGCAGGTTGGCGATGTACTCCTGGACGTGCGCCTGGTTGTTTGCCGGACTGGCGGCGCTCAGCGCGACGCTGACCTTCCCTTCCTCCACCAGGTTAAACATGTAGGCCAGGATGGTGGCGTGCATGGTCAGCCCTGCGGACAGGAAGTAAGTGGATGACATCATTAGTTATGTTTCACAACATATGTATTCATTTACCTACAATGGCCACAATGCACCATCATACATTTGAGCAAACTTCATATTTGAAACAAACAAACAGGACGTTGTGTGTTTACCTGCAGTGTGAGAGGTATCGGTGACCACAGAGAAGATGTGTTGCAGGACGTCACAGAAGTACGTCTGGTAGAAGCTCTGTGCTGCTGCGTCCTCTCCAGACACGTTCTGCAGGAGAGTGTACAGGATCTGTAGACCTGCAGGAGACACGCTCATTAGACCAGCACAGATGTGAAAACATCTGCAGCGCCGACACTTTAACCCAACTAGTGTCAGTTGTCTGTGATAAAATGACTGATTTTAGAATCTAAAAAAATAGGCGAGTGTGTTTTAACATCAATTCTTACGAATAAATAACTAATCATAATGTTTTATTGTTCAGGTGACGTCTCCCATCTCAACAGACAGCAGGAAGATGTTGGTCAAACTGAAACATTGTCTGAAGATAAAACCTAAGTGGGTACTTTTTATCTTTTGCCATCATTTAAAACTACATTAGCATGTGTTAAATGTTTAAAGTTACCATGAAACAGCTGTTTCCATATATTTACAGGTTTCCTATAAAAAGCAGAACCAGTCCAGTAGACTAACATCTAACTTTTCTAACGAGACGATCTGATGCAAGTTCACACCTGTGTCGGCCACGTTCCTCATCGTGTGCTTGAAGGCCCAGATGATGGAGTCGAGGATCAGCTTGAACTGGGCCGGGGCGATGGACAGGAAGGCTGGGAAGCACTGGGAGGTGGCGGCTTGGAGGAGGTAGAAGAAATGGGTTCTGTGTTCTGGGAATTCTTCAAAGTCCTGATTTCACAAGAGGAAAACAACAAGGAGTTAAAGTCTTTAACTAACTCAACATTTCTTCTCAGAGACTTCCCCTGATACCAGGTGTGATTAAATGACGCAAACACACCTTGTTGATCATGTTCAATGTGCACTCAAAGACGGCATCAAAGATCTTGGGGATTTCTCCCGTGATGTGCACTCCCAGCTTGTTGACGATGGTCGCCATCGTGCTGAGGACCTCGGGCTCCCGGGCCGCCGGGACGTTCCTCTGGTAGTCGATGAGCACCGCCTCCAGCAGGGGGGGCACAAAGTTCTCTCCTACCTGGAACCACAGAGCATGAACATGTTGAAGACAGAGTTTTAAAGTTTACGTTCACACTCGTGACGTTACGAAGACGTAAAGCTCGTCATCGGTCACGACAGCAGGTCCTAAATAATCCGTGAGCATTCGTTCAGACACTTCTGATATTGTAATTCATTCGCAAGCATGCAGCTCAGAGTAATCACAGCGAGCGGCCGACAGCACGGAGCTAAACAGCTAACGCTAGCGGAGGTTGCATCGACTCCATTGTGCAATCGCTGCATCTTCTCTGCATAATTCCACAACTGGTGGAACAGTTTTCTTTTTGCCGTAGCAGCAACGCTTCGTTAATACAAAGGATGCTTTGTGTGCTGCTTGAAATGAAATCCATTATAAACACAGATTTAAATAAAACACTCACCATCTCAGGGTCGTTGGAGCGACTGACCCAGCCTGAGATCAGCTTCAGTGTCTCTCTCTTCACCGTCCTCATGCTCCTGATCAGAGGCTGTTTGGTCACCATCTCACCTGGAGGAACCGTTAACCAGTCTTAACTCATTGTTCTTATTTTGGGACATTTGGGGGCGGAGGAAACAAGTGAACACAACATCGACGTATCAGGTGGACACAGTGAACTTGTGTATTTACACATCCAGCAGATGCAGAGCAGCATTCATTTATTACTCATGTTCTCTCCGATATTCAGCCTCTTTTTTAAATGCTCCACTATGTTCACCTGCTAGTCTCTAACTCATCTATCTGCAGTAAAGTGAAGCTAAACGTGGACTTATTCATATTTTTCTATTTAATTTATTGTTATATATTTTGAGGGTTTTTTCCCTTGACACGTTCTGCAGAAAACAAGATTAAAACGGGACAAATGTGACTTTATGACAACGCTGACATGTGCAAAAGGGGAAAGGACGCTATTGACAGACGACCAAATGAAAACGAGGCACCAGCTTCATGTATATGACGGACTTCTCTGGGAGAATGTAAGCACACAAACTGAACTAAATAAAGAGCTGAGGTATTCAAAGCAGAAAAGTTCTACCGTAAAAACGTCTCATCTTTTAGATTAACTTTGAATTATACAATATAGAGTATGAATAATGTCACAGAGTAGATGTAAATCTAACAGCATTTATTACAGGCATGCAAGGCTGAATTATTTTTATTAATATTATGATTAGAAAACCTTGTCAGGACATTTCATCGTGGCTCAAGTAGAATGAGAGATTTCTCCCTCATATATTGGGTGAAATGAGCTGGACGGAGTCCCGGTCTTAAACATGCTCATAAAAGCTGTGAGTCTTGACAGTTTAATTATGTTGTCAGAGCAGAGACAGGAAGCTCATTCTGTGAATCATAAGCTTCGTTCTCTACTCCAACCAGAGCGTCCTAAATCATGTTTCTATAAAAGATGGCCGACTCCTTGCCTTCGCTGCCAGTCAGCTGAACACACGGGGACTCACCGTTGGTCTGGACCGCAGAGGAGATGTTTTCACTCAGACACTTGTAGACGTTGAGCATGTCCAGGTAGATTCGTCCCAGCTGGACAACAAAGGGATGTCCGACAGCTTTACAGGCTCTGACGTTCGTCTTCAGGATGCTGCCCAGCTGACGCACCGTCTCCGCGTCCTTCAGGATGTCCACGTTCTGCAGCAGAGAGTCCACAATTCAGCATACGGAGACATTTTCAACAAACGTGGACGACAGGCGGAACTAGATGAAAGCGTTTGCTCGTCATCGTCTGCTGTCCTCACCTTGGTGGCCTGCTGGATGATGCTGTCCCACACCTGGTTGGGAAGCAGCATGTACTTCTCTATGAGACGCTCCTGTGCTGTCTGGTCCGTCTGAGCTGCAATCATGTAGCCAACGGCCTCGTAAAACGTATGGACCTGCAGAGACATGCCTTTGTATGACTCTGACCCTCGTTAGGAACATTTTAACATACGTCATCGGAAAAAGGAAGCTCAGAGACGGGACTGACCTGCTGTGGCTGCAGGTCACAGATGATGGTGTTGATGTTGTTGAGGATCTCGTCGATGAAGGGCATCACCTCGCCCACCTGAACCTGGATAAAATGACGCCGGCACTTCTGGGCGATCTTGATGAAGGTGTCACACGCCATGTCCTGCACCCCGTCGTGGGTCTCTGAGTTATGAAGAAGAACGTCAATCGACAACTCAACGGTGGAACTTTTAGAGTGTTGCAGGTGTAAAGCGTGAAGTGAGATTCAATATCGAAGCAAAAGGATCGGATTAGACCTGCGTGGAGGATTTGGGTTTTTTCTCACCGTGCATGAACTCAAACAGCTTGTTGACGACAGTCTTGAGGAACTTCCAGTGGGCTCGAAGGAAGCGAGGATACTGGCCCACAATGTACATGATGTTGGACGCTATGATGGCCTTGTTGTCCTTCCCTCTTTTCTGCTCACACAAGCCAAGCAGGTCCTGAGCGCGCAAACACAAACACCGTTAATCTTGGTCTCAGCTCAACACAAACAGCTGCTGTGTCTATAACCACACAGTCCAACACCTAACTAAGTTCGGCTTGTAGAAGGACACTGCGATATAATATCATTCAGTCTGTCTCACCTTGATGACCGTGACCAGGAACCTCTTCTCGTCCTCCTCGTGCATCGCCCCGCTGATGGAGCCGATGGCCCAGCAGAGCATGTTCAGGTTCCTCCACGACCACTCGGTGCCGTTCACCTGGTTGTGGAGCTTCTCCGTCATGATGCGTTCGGTGTCGGCATAGTCCAGATGGGTCAGATAAACTGTAGGCGCACAGAGAGACATGGTGGATACTTCTACATGCAATAACTCAGCTCGTCATGTTACTTCCTCTGTGTGCCGTGTTGACATGAGTCTAATTATCGTGGTTATTAAACAGTGTAAAAAATGTGAATTCCTCTCTCGCTATTATCGTACCGAGAGTCTCCCTCATGTTCTTGTAGAGGTTGATGGCGTCCGTGTCCTTCATGAACTCCCTGACCACCTCGCCCTGGTCGTTCTCCACCACCAGCACCTCTTCTGGTTTGGCCATGCGGCTCACCATGAGCAGACGCACCTTCAACAAGAGGAGGAGGAATAAGCTGCGTGACGAGGTGTGATCCATACATTCAACTTCTAAATCAAGAGACTTTGTGCAACAGTAAATGTTATATCTTTGGGTTCTGCACTGTAGGTCTGTGGCTGGTCATTGTGTGTCAACACCTACCTGGGAGAGTACAGGCAGGTAGAGGTGTCGGCGTGGTGGGACGTCGGAGAGCAGCGGGGTGCTCGAGGTGGAGAAAGGACTCTCCTTGTAGAGCTCTGCTGCCAGGTGGTTCCAGTACTCCAGACAGATCTTAAAGATCTCCGTCTCCTCCACCTCCGACACCAGCAGCATGAAGTGCAGGGCCTGGGGGGCGGGGCCAGAGTGTGGTGAGGTCACATGAGTCAGTCTTACTATATGCTAAGAGTGCAAGCAGTTTACTTCTTCTGTTAAACAGAAGACTGCAGGTTAAACATCACTGTTTGTTCATTGAGAGCAATGAAAACAAATAAAGCTCGTGGTGAAAATGTCTGATGTATTTAACATTAAACACTTGAGTTTCCATGCACATCTGTAGCGACCATATGCTCTTATTTTTGCTACATCTGGGATTATAAAATATCTATTTAACATTCTTTTCCTGAGTAAACACTCTTCTGGTCCGCTCTGAAACATCTCCGTCTGCTGCTGAGATGATTCTCTCAGAGCAAGTACTTATAAAAGTGGACACACAGCCACAGGGAAGGAGGCCTTTCCCACGTTAATTGGTCCCAAATGTCTGCCATTGTAACGGTGTAATCAGGACGACATGAGGCGAGGAACGAGTGAGGGGGAGGTTTCTTTCAAACAACCCTGAAGCCACCGGCTGAAAGATGTAGGTTTGTTTATTAAACCAGATTCTTATCTGCATTTAAGTTCACCCTTCCAGGCGATGAAAGTAAACCGCGAAAGCCGTTTCCTTCTGCAACGTCTCGGCGTCTTACCTCCATGAGCGTCTCTCGCAGGTTTGGCCTCTTCTCGATGAGCTGGCCGTGTTCTTTGAGGAAGGTGCAGAGGAAGAGGCTGAGGTTCTGGATGAAGTTCTGCTCGTCATCTTTCCCGTTGGAGTACGCCAGTCTGATGTTTGTGTTCAAAGGCAACATCTGACCACGGGAAGGAAAAACAACACGACATCAAGAACTCACCTTTATTTATTCAGACTTCATGTCTCACTTGTTCTGCTATAATTGCATCCGCAGTGTGGTTAGTTTGAGGATGTTGAATTTACTGTAAATGGGATTATGAGCAATGAGACCACCCATGAAATCCATTTCATCTCACAGCAGATGTAGAAACTACAACGACCACGAGGGGGTTAAAGGCTTTGGAAGAATCTGGTAAGTAAACTGAGAGTCAAGATGTTTTCATCACAATGAAGTAGTTAAATGAAATGACTCTTCAGTGAAACATGGCGCTTTAGACCCGATGGCTTCACTCAAACCTCCAAACATCATCTATGAGAAATCTCTCCACCTAGATCATTTCCCTCCAACACCGTCACAATGACGGCAGCTGCAGGCAGATGGAGCTGTTTACATCCACCTGGTGAGCAATGCGTGTGTGGGTGTGTGTGTATGTGTGTGGGCTCATGCTGATGGTAAATACGCGGGGTTTATTTGGTGTGAAGATTAGGATTTGTTTCCAGAAAGACGACGTGATCTTAAAGATAGTCTGAATGTTTGACGAGTCATATTTATTATCTGTTTTGTTATACATGTATTTTGTGCCGACTGATGCTGATCTGCAATATGAAACTGGACAACAATAGAAGTAATATTACACTGAAGAGTCTCAGAGGAGCCACATCAGCTCCAATCTGTAGAAAACATCTTGTGTTTCTTGATTTTATCACTTAGCGTGCATGTGTGGACTTTATCTCTTTGGTTTTTGTCTCTTTCGCACTATTTCCTCTGAAGCACTCTTTAACTTTGAAGAGTGCTTCATGAATAAAGTTTGCTTTCGTGGGCCTGATCACACTTACATGGGTGTTAAATGAGTTTCTGCACACAGTAAAAGTATTCTTCATTCAGAAATGCATTAATTAATAGAGAGACAGCCACACAGGTAGGCGTGTCAGTATATACAGTAATCTGTATGGAAGTGTGTCACTCTCCCTCTGAACAAAAAGACAAACTATACAGAGAGTTACACTCATGTGTTTTTGTTTTTGGAATTTTCCCCTGCAGCTTTCAATGTAGTGTGTGTGTGTGTGTGTGTGTGTGTAACAACAGGCTCACAGCAAGTTGGAGAGTTTGTGCTGCCTGCAGACTTTAAGTGCTGTGTGTGTGTGTGTGTGTGTGTGTGTGTGTTAGGAAACTGAGGCGGTTTGTACAAAGTGTATGTTTGTGTGTAATAATAACAACAGAGTGGGCTCATGTAATTGTGCTCGCGTGTAATCATACCAAGTGCAATTAACATGAGCACCACTCAAAATGATTGCGTGTGTGTTTGTGTGTACCTGTTTGAGCTGGCACATGGTGAGGGTAAACAGGTTGACAAACTGCTCCTCGTACTGGTTGACGCTCACTCCGGCGATCTCCGTCAAACATTTCAGCGTCACGTTGCGGAACATGGGCACGTTCAAGAACTGAAACACGCGGAAAAACAAACAAGTCAGGTCGGCGCCGAACTGCCGAGTCATCGTCTAGTGACGGTTTAGTTAGTCAGCACTTTGTTTCTCTATGAACAGAACTCAGTGTTTACAGCCCCGGCTGCAGACTGATAGAACTTTGTTGGTGTCAGCTCTACTCCTTTTAAGAAGTAGAAAACCTTTATTAATTTAAATGATGTGTGCTTTTGACTTATTTGTGAGCCACATTACAGATAAATTGACATCACTCTGTTTTTGGATAATGACAGAAATGCTTCCCCGGAGGTTGTGCTTCACTGGCTGAGTGTGAGCTGGTTTACCTTGTAGACCAGCGTGCTGATGAGCTTGGTCTCGAAGATGTAGCCTAAAGGGATCCAGTTCAGGAAGCGGAGGAGAGTCTCCAGCGTGGCATGGACCAGCGGGGCATTCTGGGAGTTTTCCTACACAGAAGAAGAAGAAAGGTGCATATAAGAACAGATTGTGGTTTTTACCAACGCTGAGATGCTGAGAACCGTTGGGTCTGGAGTCCAGCTCGTCTTACCATCACGAACTGGCACAGCTGGAATATTTGGGAGAACTCGTTGCACATGCTGAAAGACAAAGAACGAGGTCGTCAGTGACGGTGGAGTCACGTCTTAGACTGGACTTAGACTAAATCTGCCCATTTAACCGTGCCACAGCTGGGAATTTAATTTGAATTGATTTAAGAGACAAAAGTCGACACGTTCGGGACTCAGAGAACGGCCCACACTTCTACTAACGAGCTACAACAGCTCCTGACTTCACATGAGAATATGTCAGCGCTCACCTGTCTTTGAGGTGCTTGGCCTTCACCTGCGTCATCTGGCCACTGGAGAAGTCAAAGACCTCCTCGCTGAGCAGCTTCAGGATGATCATGTTGTTTTGACAGAGGCTCTCGCTGGTCCGACTCGCGCCCACGATGTCGCTGATGAAGGTGGGCCAGTGTTTGGGCCATTCCTGCTTCAGGATCTAAAGGAGTCCAGACAAGAAGAGCTCCGCGTCAGCAGCCTCGTCACATCACGTCGGTCATGTTGTACCGTGTGTGTGTGTGTTACTTACCTGTACGAGGATCATGTTGAGTTTTGAAATGTACACTCCCTCTTTCTGCAAATAAAAAAAACAGTGACGTCAGCATCGGGCAGAACGGAGTTCATGTACAAAGTGCCGCTTCTTACATCGGTGGGACCTCACCTCCATGTTTGCAGGATCAGAAGAAGTCTTGATGATCAACCCAACAACATACTTCTTGATGCCTGAAAATATGTTGAAGAGAAATTAATGGAAACAGAAAAAAGAATTCCCCTGAAAGGCAGAAAGCCTCGTTATAACGCGTTCATCTGATGTCGTTAAACTGACCTTCACACTGATTTCTGGGGAGAATCTTCCAGCGTGTTTTGATGACCGTCTCCAGAATCTGCAGAGCATAATACTGAGAGGAAGAGAGAGATGCATCAGAGACGCATTCTCCATATCAAGAGCCATTTAACAACAAACAGGAAGGGTAATAACTACCATATCGTATTAGCAACATCTCTTTGGTGATGTTAAACATGGATTATGATGTTTTAAATAACCAAAATGTCTGCAGCAGCAGCAGCAGCTGTGGTATACGTGTGAATAGTCAGCATAAGCATTGAAAGCCATCAAAACTGAACAAATGAAGACAACAGCAACAACAAGAGAAAGTCAACATTTAGACAGCACGGATGCAGCAAAAATGGAAATAGTTCTGCAGATAATAACCGCAGACTTAAACACAGTGAGCTTCCGTTAGCTGGAGACAATCCAGTAAGTACAGCTGAGCTAAAGCAGAGTTAATGCTCACAACCTCACTGCCCTCAAAGCCTTGGCCTGATGTGGATCAGCTGATAAACATCAGCTCACATCATTACAGTCGCCCCGAGAGCATCAACGAGCAGCTGACGAGAGCTGGGAGCTTTCGTCAGGGTACGTACTTTAGTTTTCATGTTCTGAGAGAACTCCAGGATGGTGTCGACTCTCGTCCAGGCGTCTGGGTGGTCCTTCAGGTTGGTGAGAACTTCCTGGGCCACTCGTTGCTACAAGAGAGCAACACAGCAATCCCGTTATGAGCCACGACTCTAAAAGATCAACTTCAGGTACATTTCCTCACATTTAACACGACCTCCTCCGGTGGCTGCGTGGTTACATATAACCACGCCTATAATAAAATACCACAGGTTTGCATTGACTACATGTGAAGACCACAGCGAGTAGGAGCTGGTCCTGACCTGGGAGCCGATGTCGTGGTACATGGAGTTGACGACATTGTCCAGCAGGTTGATGTCCAGTTTCTGACTGAAGTCCAGCAGCTGTCTGGCTGGGTGGTCGGCCAACATCGTCATTTCTGCTGGCATAGAGCTTCTGATGAGAGGAGGAGAAAGTAGACTACAACCACAGCAGCACCTGGTCACAGCAACACAGGTACGACTGAAACATACACAAAACTAAAGCTTTGAGTACATTTAATCTAGTACAATCTTGAGGTACTTGTACTTCAGTATTTCCTTGTTAAGCTACGTTTACACTACTACATTTATCTGACAGCTGTAGTTAGTAGTTACTTTTCAGGTCAAAATTTAACTGCAAAAACACATGCTCATCAGTTTAAAGAATATTATTGTTTTCTTACAAATCTAACAACATAACGTTATCTTAAGTAGTTACATTTATGCCCGCCTCAACATTAAAATACTGCTTTCATGAATGCATCAATGCTAATATTCCAATAATACATTTTGATATTAATTCTTCTTTACTTTGACTCGAGTACACTTCAGTATGCAGAACTTTTAGGCCACTTGTTATGTGGTATTACTAGATCTCAACACAGTGCAAAATACAAGACATGATTTAAAAATAGAAACAAATTGAAATGTACAATAAAACATACAAATATGGTAAATACACAAATAAGAGTATATTTATTAAAGTGGCATGTGTATGTTTGTGGAGGTTAATCAGAAAACGAGTTATCCTCGTTTGGCCAAAATGTGTCAAGACACTCAGCCCTCGTGGTCCAATTATAAAACCCATTTTACCACACCATAAACGTGTAAAAAGACGAAAACAGCGCCCCCACGTGGCCAACGGGGCACATAGAGGCGCGTTCGCTATACAACCTGACTAGTTGTTACGACTGTTTGAATTAAAATGCGTGGAAAACACAGATCGCGTAGATGCAGTAGTGTCCACGGCTACAAAGCCACATGTGTCACGTTTAGTTTGTGTAACCGTCAGAGTTATCCCCCAGACAAAAGACACCACAATACTTCTTTTTTGTGTCGCTAACGGATGCTAACGTTAGCCCCTCGCTGGGTAAGTTAGGTTACAGTTGATCCATTAAACTTACCTTGTGTAAAGGTCCGCTCGTCGAAAAACAAGTGTTGGTTAACAGATGTAGACTTGTACTTTACGAAGACTGGAATATTAAGCCTCTGTGTCGCGTTATTATCTCATGGCACACGCGCTTAGACTGCTCCTAACCTTCCGATAGCAACAAGCTAATGCTAGCTTAGGCTAGATGACAACCAACGGAGCTTATTCTTAAAAAAACAAAGAAACACCGTTACCTATGATACTTATCGATTCTTGGTCGACGTGTTAAAATCGTTCCGCTAATTGTTTCTCGTCTTCAAGCCAGTTTAGACATCATCTTTTCTTTGGGCTAATAGCAACCTAGCGTGCTAATGGTAAAAGTCAATGATGATTGCAAGCCTGCTGGGTAATATAAGCTAAGCTAACAACAACAGATTCACGGAGTATCACTTTTGAGCGGTCATCATAATCACGTAAAAAAAAAAAAAAAAAAAAGAAAGAGTCTCGTTTTTATTTTCTGACTCTATTTATTCGCGCACACTGTTTGTGGAGAGCTGAGATGTTCTTTAATGCTCTTCCTCTAAGCTCATGCTTCCAACCACGGACCGGTTGAAACCGGTTGAGACCGGGATATTCATTCTCGGTGGTGTTTCGGCCCCGCCGCGCGCCGCGTAAAATTTGGACTATGTACCCGCCCATCGAGTGTCCTGATTGGTCGCACTGGCGCAGTTGTTACTGGGGTGTCATAGGCTGGGTGGAGCTGTCAATCAAGCTCAGCCTCCCTCCCTCTGTGTTGTCTGACCTCTGATAACATCACACAGGCCCTGAACAATGATTCATAACCTAAATTAGTGGTGGAAAGTACTTAAGTACATTTACTCAAGTACTGTACTCAAGGACACAGTCGAGGTATTTGAGTATTACCAATTTTATGCTACTTTGTACTTCTACTCCACATGACACTATAATAATATACTTGTTTTGATATAGTCTTATTATTATATTTTATTGTAAATTGTAATATGTTTATATTTTTAAATCATGTCTTGTATTTTGCACTGTGTTGATTGTTTAAATGTCAAATTCTTTGTATGCAATAAAACTATATCTTAGCGCTAAATATTGTATTTTTGTACATTTACCCTTCCTGTCAAGTGGAACCCACGTATCTCCAAATGTGGTGACTTTGGATGTTTGTGAGAAACTGAAGGATGAAGTGTTCCTTCATAGGTTAACAACTAAAGCTAAATAAACTATTTTAAAACCCTCTCAGCATTCACACAAAGCTGTTAATCCAAATATATACAAATAAAAACACTTGACATGGGGCCATTTTTCTGCAGAACTTTTACTTGAGTAAAGTTTTAAATGCAGGACTTTTCCTTGTGGTGGAGTTATTTCACAGTGTGGCATTTAGTACGTTCACATATCCAAACAAAATAAAACGTTAAACTTGTTGATTTTGAACATGTGTCTTTATTGCAGATGGTCCATTGTGACATAAGGTTATGATGAAAAACAAACAATGAGTAAGTATTTCTAACAATAAATGTTACTCAACTTCTGTGAAGTCGAACATGTCATCCTTTTATCTAAAGTGACGACCAATTACACAATTATTTATGTCCCCAAATCAATAACTGAAAGCCATAAACATTCCACATTATTACTGTGATAACGCATTTCACCCATATGACAATAAACTGTTCACAGAGCATGTGTGTGTTTTTTCCTTTTAAAATTTGGCCTTTTTATTGAAGTCATTTTGTGTCAGGAGGGAAAGTAAAGCTGTAAATAATCAAATTCATGACGGACAAATTCCATTTAGCTGCTTCGGTTCAGTGCAGTGTGTCTCAAACAGCGGTGGAAGAAGTAAAAGTACAAACAACACGCTGTGAAAATACTCCACTAACAGTAAAATATATGCATTCAAAACATCACTGAAGTAAAAGTATGTGTAAGTATTAGCAGCTAAATGTACTGTGTTGTATTTTACAGCTGTAGATGTTTTTATATCCTGTCGTCTGTGGAGGCGGTGGCTCTCTGCTCGGAAGTCTGTGAAAGGTTTTCAGATTCATTCAGTTGTACAAATAATATTAAAACATTTTAATCAGGATAATAGCTCGTAGATTACGTTCTAACAAATCTATAACTCTGCAAATATATGGATTTTATTGTGCCCTCAAAAAATCCCCAAAATGGAGCAAAAACGAAAGAACTGCATTTAGTATTTGATATGTACCTCAGGTTAAAGGTGTCACATTTTCCATTCTTGTGAGCACAATATTTACTATAAAATATAACATCTGATCATTTAAGGGATAGCTTCCTCTTCAGTGTTCTTCCTCACTTGATGGTGACATCACTACCCGGCTTCCTGCTGTCTGGCGTCGTGCTCGCTGTCGTCTGAATAGTTCTCATGATCGTCCGAGTAGTGGCAGCTCTCTTCTGAACAGCGGCCATCGTCGTCCTCTCCGTCGCGGTGGCTCAGTGGAGCTCTGCGGCTCCCTCCATCCCGTCGGTCTGGAGTTGCCTCCGCGTCTCCGTCGTCCAGGAAGAGCTTTCTGTAGTGGACGGGTTTGTACCCCATGTCCGGCTCCTCTGGGTCGCTAACAAACAAGAAGGAACCAAATCAGCTGTGAGTCAGTAGTGTTAGTGTTGTGTGTCTGTGGGCTTGTTCACAGTAAGCACACAAACTATGTTTTGTCCAGTTATTTTCAAAATAGCAAAAGAAAAACTAGCTTTACAACCAAAAAAACAAAAAGGCAGCTGTGGATCCAAGATTTTCCTAGTTGTGCATATGACAATAATTAACTTGAAAACCTGAAACTATGAGCTTATTTCTGACATTGATAACTGCAGTCCCTCGCAGACGTGTGACGTCTATCACCACGTTGGAGTTTCTTTGCTCGGTGTTGTTTTCACGGCTTCACCTGTGTCTGTTGTCACTGGACGTGGACGTCTCGCGCGTGGCTCCCGACTTGGCCACCTTGCTGCTGATGAACTCTTCGGTCAGATCACATCCGTGCAGGGCGTCTGTGTAGCGCTTCTCCGCTGCCTGCTTGGCGTTCCTCTGTCATCAAAGTTCAGAGAGTCGGTGTAAACAATGACCTGCCAATCAAAGCTTTTAGGAATATTACCGCGGCGGTCTCAGCACTTCATCAGGTAGAGATGAGCATGTTTCGCCACCGTTAGCTATCTGACGTTCGCTGGGATGCAGTGACACACAATGGATCAGCTGGTCCTCTGAATGTGTTTTTAACAATCAGAAATGGGCCTTAAGTTACACGAGATCGAGAACCCCTGTTCTACCACATAGTCCTGTTTGTGAAGGCACCCAATCAGCTGTCATGACACTGTGTCTGTGCCTTTAAATGAGTAGGTGGTCACACAGAAATCTGGAGGATATGGAGGACAGCAGGCTGGTCTGATTTAAGGCTGAGGTCGGCGCTCACCTGTGCGACCTGCTCCAGCAGCAGCGGCCTCCCCTTCACCCTCTGCTGCATCTCTTTAATCTCCTGCTGGTACTCCTTCTTGCGCTGAAGCTCTTGTTTCCTGCAGAGGACACAAGATTGTGGATCGTCGCATTTCATTCGACAGCGGCGCAGCTCAGCTGACGCGGTAGCCACGTTGGTACCTGAATTCTCTGAGTTTGGTCGGGTGTGTCTGCGAGAGAGCCAGGTGGGGGTCGTTGGCCTCGGCACGTTTCAACACCACCCTCTGCAGCTTCTTCTCCCTCTGCTTCTGCCTTTCCTTCCACAGCTCCTCCTCCTCATCAGCCTTCTTCCTCTGCTCCAGCACCTTTCTACTCAGGGAGACAGTCGGGTCACAGATGTAGGAAGGTTTTGGTTGGGATGGGGACTTCAGATGGATGGAGGGGCGGACAGTGCTATTGGGGTTGGATAAACGGTTTTGGAGGGTGTGTGGGGTCATTGGGAAAAAGGAGTTCCACAAGATTTCATCCTGTAGGGATTTCAAACACTGTGTCTAAACTGGACATTTGAGTCCTGAGGCTGTCTCTATCTCACAACTACAATGGTGGGAGCCTTTGGAGTCCTACAGTGGTACCTCACGGCCTCCTCGCGCTTCTTGCTGGCGTCTGTGACTTTGGTAGGCAGGACCTCCAGGCTGCCGGAGAGGGACGAACACCGACTTGAGTTCGCCCTCCGAGACGGCCCGGGGCTGACGTACGGCCAGCGCGGCATCCGAGGGCTGCTCTGCTCCTTCTCGATGTCGGCCACGATGCGCTCGCGGTGCGAAGGGATGCGCGACGTCCTCAACTCAAAGGGTTCACATGCGGTCGTGGGCTTCACGTCTTTTTGTTTCTCCAGGTGTCTCTGGAAGCGTCGGTAGCTGGCGTTGAAGTCGGGCACCTCTGTGTTAATGTGGGGCCTGTGGGAGAAGTTGTCGTCCCTTTCGGCCGCAGCGCCGTCGTCGTTGGTCTTCTTGCGCCGTGCGAGCATGCTGGGAGGCATGGAGGCGCTGTGGAGCATCTTCTGCGCTCTCATCTGTATCTTGATGGACCGATACAGCTGCTCCTCCTTCATCTGCTCCCCTGTCGCCGCTGCGTACACTGCCTTGGGCACGGGCTTGGCCTTGAAGGGTTTGACCTTCTCCTGGCTGGATGGCTGTTGGGGATGCAGCTGCTTCTGCTCCTTCTTCAGTCGCTCCCTCTCCAGGAAGCTGAAGGGCTTCTGGCTGGATCGAGGATGCTGATCTTCTCGCTCTCTCGTTCGCCGTCGTTCCTCTTTGCGCTCCTGCAGCTCCTCATAGAGCGGGAGGTGAACGTGAGCCGGCACGGGGCTGGCGCGGAACTTCCTCTGGCACTCGGTCAGCTCTTCCAGCTGCCGTCGCAGCTCCGCGTTCTCCTGTTCGATCTCTGCGCGCGTCTTTGTGCGGCGCTTTTGCCTCTCCGCCTCGCGTAGCATCATCTGGAACGGTTTCGGGATGGTCAGTCTGTGTTTCCAAAGATCCTGCTCTCCGTCTTCATGGTCCCGCCTCTTCCTCCCTTTTCCCTTTCCCTGTGTCCGCTGGTCTGCTGGCAGGCTGCGCAGCGAGGACGATGACATGTGGTGATTGTGAGGGGACAGCTTAAAGTCGCGCCACATGTTCCCGATGTGCTCTTTAGGGGAAAAAAGAAGATATTTTTCCACATCGTTGATGGCGTCTTCATCTTCGTCTGAAGAGTCCGACTGTCCGGAGCCCCTCCTGAGTTCAATAGCAGAGTGCGACTTCCTCAAACGGCGTGAAGCTGCCCGGCTGCTGTCTGACCACGGGAGCCTAACAGAAAACATCAATCAATGACTGTTAATATGACAAAGCACCTAATGCACAGACAACTACTCACCATCACTCAAACGCACCGTATCACAATAAACTGTTCATTTGGAGAACACGAGTAAAAAAGGTTCTATCTGTTAAGGGTCTCTGTACGATATTCACAGCAATAATATAGACGCAAACAATTATTATCTAAGTAGAGATATGGTGGAGGAACGTTTACCTGAGCAGAGAAGGAAGTCCCTCCTCCTCTTTGTGTGTTGTAGTCAGAGCTTCTCTGTGCTTTGTTGACATAGCCGGGCCGGCCACGCGTGCCTTTTAGTGCACGTGAGCGTGCCCCACTGGTGAGCTGCACTGAGCTCATGCAGCGGTTACAGCCGATAACGCCGTCACGTTAACGTAGAACCCATCTCAATTCATTCATTAATCATTTTGTCTATAAAATGTTGGGCAATATAATAAAATGTCCCTCACTATTTCTCACAGCCCAAAATGACATTATTCAAATGACTTACTTTGTCCAACACACCAAAGCTGATATTAAATGATATAAAGTTTAAAGATATTAAAGCAGCATATCCTCACATTGACGAAGCTGAAACCGGCAAATGCTGAACATTTGGTCAACTCAAACATCAATTATCATAATATAGAGACAGCTTCGTTTTCTGTTCGTCCACTAATTGATTTATAATTTCCGCTTCAAATACACTTGTATAATTAATATAACATAGAGCACACAATTTAATGAATCAAAGTGATAGTTTGAAATACATCACACATCAATCAAAAACTAGATTGAAAATGTTGCAATGTGTTTTAAGGTTTAGAGATATCCATCAAAGAAGCATTCCACAGCTGTGTGTTTTATTTTACTTTCAAATTCACATTATTTCAGACACGCTGCCGTTGTTTGTGTTTAAATGCTTTAAGCAGCACAGACCAACGACCACTGACCGCCGTTATTGTAGCAGGCAGACATTTCAGATATCTCAAAATCCAGGATACACAAAACAAAACTACATACAGTCTGAATACCACAGAGAGTGAATGAGTGTGTTTGGTGTTTAATGTGATTTAAGTGAACAGATGCGCTATAACATGTTGATTTTAGCACCTCTCTAAGGCCACGTCTTTTTGTCTTAGTTCAGTTGTAAAAAGAAAATCTCTGTGTTAAAGCCATAAAATACCAGAGACACAAACATCCACACATGAGAAACTTGACACTATTAACTCTAAGTCCCACAAACCACACTCTTGACCATCAGCCACCCACCTGTGCCTGCCGGTCTCCAGCACCGTCATGTCCAGAGGCTCCAATGCCTTGAGCTGCAGCTTCCGCCGATACATGCTCTCCAGCTCTGCCATGGTGCGGAGGTGGGCCTTCTTCAGCTCCTCCAGCTTGCTGTAGTACTCCTCGTTGGAGAAGAAGATCTCGCTCAGGTCGAGGCGGTCTGCTGGTGCTCTGTCGTCCGTCGTCATGTGAGGAACGCCCCTCCCCACAAAGATCTCATCACAGAAGTCAGAGCCCGAGTCCTCGTACTCCAGCTGAAAAGGGTTTAAAAGTCACATTAAGCTCATTTGCCGTTCATCAGCGGCAGTTTTCTGTGAATCTTAAGCAGACGACAAGGGGAGACCTCAGTGGGAAACCAATGAAACATTATATTATTTATATATCATGATATGAGATGTAGCCTGAGGCCTCCAGGACATTGCTATTAACCAGCAGGCCTCCTGGAGCAGAGCAGTCCTGCTCAGCGGCTCTCAGGCTCCTCCAGGACTAAGCCTATTAACAACAGTGACGAGGGCCATATGGTGGAGCAGCACAAAGGGCAGTTTACCATGAGCGAGCTCAACCGACACACACCGTGCGTCAGCTGTCTGGCCCTATTGATCCTCAAATTGATTGTCAGGAGGTGTTTGTCCTCGCTGAGGACCCCGCTGCACGGGAGGGCAGCAGTGTGGATGCCCGAAAGATAATCAAGTGTTTGGGATTATAAACTGAACGAGCGTAATCTAATCAAGACGGATGTCTAAAAATAGTCAGGACAACAAATTATACACAGGTCCAATCCTTTCCAGCACATGGACTGACCTGAAACTGTGACCGACCTGTTGACTGGACGAGGTCTGTTTCTCTTGAAAAACTAAAACAAGTAAACTGGAAAAATATGAAGTATTACAACATTATTAAGTCAGGACGAGAGGCAGTACTGTGATTTAAATAACTATCAATTGTTTTATTATCTTGTGAGCTGTTCTTAATTTTTCCTCTTGAATGTTTGTTACTATAACATGATTATGTCATTGTTATGTTTGTATAAATATATATGTAACTAAATATTAGAACTGGAGTGAACGGCCTAAAAGCTCTTGGAATAAATACAAGGAGTCATTTCTTCAGTAGGAAAATGAATCCATGAATTTGAAAAGTCTTTTTAAACTTTATCCACTTTGTTCAGACAAAGTGGATCTTTGTGATCTTAAATCTCTGGTTGATAGCATCAGTAATGTGTAGGATTAAGTTCAAATTAACTACTTTAATACTCTTTGTTTGCACTGAGGTGCGAGGAAGGATAATTCTAGTTTTGTCACAAATCTTTTGTCTATGGTTGTAGAGTTCAAAATGCTTTTTTTTGCATAATAATGAACAAGGTATTGATCTCTTTACTGTTGTTTTAGAAGACAATGGGATTCAATTACATTGATTTAGCACTTTAGATGTACATGCAGTACACCAGTAAGGAAGTATTTAAATTATCTTATTGTTTTGTTATTATTGTTGTATTTTAAGTTACCAGACTTTTAATTAGACCTATCTTAGTTCGGGCTCATTTGTAATAGGTCAAAGGAGGCGTTTTGAAGAAGTTTTAAACTAAAAGTTGAGGTTGTAGCAGTCGAAGTGTAGCTTCACACCACAACTACTACCAGCGGTGGAAGAAGTACTCAGACCTTCTGCTTCAGTAAAAGTACACGTCTAAAAATACTTCACTGGGATACAAGTAAAAGTCCTGAATCCAAAATGTTGTTTGCTGAAGTATTATCAGCATAATGTACTCAAAGTACTCATTATGCTGAACAGACAGACACAGACAGACCAGACACAGACAGACAGAACAGACAGACAGACAGACACAGACAGACAGAACAGACAGACACAGACAGACAGACAGACAGACACAGACAGACAGACAGACAGACACAGACAGACAGAACAGACAGACAGACAGACAGACACAGACAGAACAGACAGACAGACAGATAGATAGATAGATAGATAGATAGATAGATACTTTATTAATCCCGTAAGGGGAAATTTGTTCGCTATAGCAGCATTATGATGCAGGTAAGCAATCAAAGTAAAATAAAAAAATATTAAGTATAAAAAAGCACAATATATACAATGAAATATAATAATAATAATATTAAATTAACTATCTAAACAGTAGTGCAAAGGTTTAAACAAACGGTGAACATTGTTGGTTACACCTTCCCGTTACCTCCTTCTCGTGGTCCCGGTTGATCCCGTGACCTCTCGGCCTCTCGTAGGACGCTAGCGGGGCTCTGGTGTGAGGGTCTACCGGCGTACTCAGACACGACGTCACCAGCACGTTTGTCCGGTGCGGGTTCGCCATGGACCGTTGTGGTGTTTGTTAATTTAACGTATTTAAATATACGGTATTTTAGAGAGGAGTCAGTGAGTCGCTGTCCACGTGCTGAGTGTCGGTTATCCAGGCAGCAGGTTGGTTCCTTAGCAACGGAGCGGAGATTGGTTGGGAAGGAAGTGACGACAGAGCGTGATGGGAAATTAATTAATATTTTTAGTTATACTTTAGTTACTGTGGAGTTTTTACTTAGTTAATAGTCTTTACTGTTTTTATTACTTATTTATAATTGTTTTGATCAATGGAGCGGAGATCGTTTGGGACAGGAAGTGACGAGGGAGCGTGACAGGAAAATAAGAGGTTGAGTTCAATACAAAATAAAAGCATCGTAATCTAATACATTTATTAACGATAGTTAATCTAGTGGTGAAAGAAGTAATCAGAACCTTTGTGAAGATGCATTTTCACAAGCTAGTTAAATTTTATTATTTAATATAATTAAATTTTATAATTATATATATACATTTATTGTCCTCGTTTTATTTTCTATATTTTTCTTGTTTATTTGTAAACTTGTGTATGTACGTTGAGAGCAAGGTAAAAACCAGAGTCAAATTCCTTATATGCGTACACATACATTCTGATTATCTTAAGCCGGAAAACATTTTTGACATATATACAGGAATACTGGTCCTTCAGTTTATCACAAACATTCAGGAGATAAGTGGTTTTCACTGCACACTGGGATGTAACTAAAGCTGAACAAAGGTAGTGCAGTAAAATGTACAAGTTGTACCTCTGAATATGGTGTAGAGTACAACAACATAGAAATGTATGGATTTAGAGACTGCTGAATATTTGTAGAACTTTACAATTTAATAAAAATAGACTTCAGATCATTAATATAAAACATATTACATTTTTTGTTAAACTCAGATTTTGAGACATTGTTTTGTGAAGTGTATGTAAATATGGCATTCCTGGCTCAACAAAAATTACATAACTTTACTTTTATTTTTCTTGTGTCCTTCTTACTCAATGATCTGTGATGTCATACTGCCTTGTTGGCAAATTCATTAATCAACACATAATATAACTTGAATGAATGGTCTAAAAGATGTCCGAATAAACAAGGAATTATTTTCTTGCTAAATGCAAAGCTTATCTGTATTAAAATAAAAAAAAATAAAAAAAAATCCTTTGAAAATCCTCTCTAACCAACATTAAGATATAATAAAGTCCTGTTACTTGTATACTATTAACACACTAGTACTGGGCCACGACCCAGAGGTTTACCTCACTGCAATGCAAAAAGAATCACACAGGCAACAGCTGGAGTGTCAACAAAAAAAGAAGCCTCTTTTAATTTAACGATGCAACGTAACAACTACAGCGGAAATCTGAACAGACAGACGTCGACAGAGTCTTTTGATCCCTTGCAGTACGAGCAGGCTTAGTGGACAAAACTCACTGGACAGACTCTAATCTCTTTATCGGGTGTTCACCTGCAAAACAAAAACAGATTCTTACTTCAGACTTCACTCAGATTCAACATGAATATAGTCTCAGAGCAGCTGTAAATACATTTAAACTATTCCATCTACAGTTTGTGATGTTAAATCTTACAATGTCGTCGATCTTGAGGATGCTGCGGACCGTCTCTGTGGAAAGGGTCAGAGCGCTGATGGAAACCAGTAACGGCTGCACCACCAGCTCCTCCAGGATGTTGGAGATTCCTCCCTGTCACACACACACACACACACACAGTAAACCGGTCAGACACATCTGTCTAGATGCAGCAAAAGAAAACGTAGAAATGACAAGAGGATGAACAGCCTGTTGGAAAGTGTGTGGCGAGGATATTAAATGTCCTACGATAAACCAACCAACCAACCATCGGATATTAAACGACTGACGGACTTATTGTTCTGGCACTAAAGCTCCGTCTCTGTAATCCTCACTACATGTAACGTAAGGGGAGAAGGAGAGCGGAGAAGGAGAGCAGACCTTGCGGACGTTTATGCCGGCCATCTTGTCTCCCTGAGCGTGCCTGTTGCGGAGCTCCGTCACGGTGGAGATGGGGTTCAGGCCGGCGTTCTCGGCCAGCGTCGAGGGGATCACCTCGAGGGCGTCAGCGTACGCCCGCACGCAGTACGCCTCCATGCCAGCAAGAGTGCGCGAGTACTCTGCAAGACGCACGGCCAGCTCGATCTCTGGAGCGCCGCCGCCGGCTATCAAAGCCCTGAGGGGGGGAGGAGGAAGAGGATGGCCAGGTTAATGCAAAGAAATCAATAATTATACCATGTATATATATATTTATATGTGTGAATGCTCCCCGGCCAAGTTGCTGAGACAACCAGGAGTGAATTATTGGCGAGCTTTCCAAAGTGCTGTTCCTCTGTTTCTTACGCTCCTGCAGGATGAACCGCTGCAGGAGCGCCTTTGTAAGAGGGAGTCTGTGCCTGAACTCTGGCTGTATTAGAAAAATGACCGACCTCTTCTTGACCAGGCAGCGGATGACACACAGCGCATCGTGGATGGAGCGCTCCGCCTCCTCGATCAGCAGCTTGTTGGAGCCTCGAACCACGATGCTCACCGTCTTCCCGGGGTTGGCACAGCCCGTGATCTAAGGAGGAGCGACACCAAAACACATTTACAGCAGGCGTCCGGACATTCCACCTCTCGTGCCGGACGAGTGTTCCAATGATCTGAAAAAACTGCTCTAAAATCAGCTCGTCCAAGATGTCCTACCTTGACCAGCTTGCCGGAGCCGTCCAGGCTGACCTCCTCAGCCAGCTCCGCTGTGCCGAGCATCTCCGGAAGGAAGTGGTCGATGTGGGCGATGGGCTTGATGCCGAGAGTCTGGAGGGGAGGAGAGACTGTTTTTACTTTACTGCCATACAATCATATAATCGCATATTATTGTTACACGCTGGAGTTAAACGGTAGAAAAATATAATGAAGACACAGACGGCAAAAATGTAAAAGCTCATTTAAACTGAAGACTGTTCATATTCTCCTTTTCTTTTTACTGGTTTATCTTTAAATAATAATAATCTACTCCCAATACCGAGATGAATAGAAGAAGAAGCCGATGAAGCGTCTTAACATCCACGATAAACGACGCTCACCTTACAGATGAACTCGATGTCCTCTCTCTCGATCTCCTTCACCACCATGATCTTCATTTTGTTGAGGAAGTGCAGGGCGAGGTCGCTCAGAGCGTCTCTGTGAGCAGACAGCTGGTTGTTAGTACAAAGCATGTTTACAGGCTGACAGCATGTTGATACCAGCATCTTATTCTTTTTGTACCTGAGGATGGACTTCTGGATGAGCAGCACGTTGCAGCCGGCCTTCTTGATCTGCTTCACCATGTTGAGGATGTAAGCGCGCTCCTCCCGCAGCACGCGGTCCATCTGGGCGTAGTCCGACACCACGATCTGGTTGTCCATCTGCACGACAAAACACAACAACACACAGCAGGTCAGGAGAGGAAAAGGACCATGACAGCAGTTTAAAAAAACAAAAAAAATAAAGATGCAACTGAGTCGCATTTCCCTCAATTAAAAAAAAAAAAAGTCCAACATAAAAAATGTAAAGTCCAGCAGAGAAGCTGCCATCTTTCCTCCGAGAACTCACATCAGTTTTGGGAGGAGACAGGCAGAACTGGATGAGGCCGATCTTGGCCTTCTCCACACGGGAGACGCTGCTGTTGGCAACTCTCTGGGTGAGCACCAGTCCGTCCACCAACTCACAGTCATCGATGGTCCCTCTGAAAACACAAGAGACACCAGGAGGGAAATCCTGATCAGTACTTCAGATCAGATCTGAAATCCCTCTGAAATTTCATGAGATATAAATCGTGACTCACCCGAGCTTCTTGATGATTTTGATGTCGTGCAGGTCGACACCTGTGGCGGTTGCCGGGTCGATGACGCGCATGACGGCGTCCACGCTCATGGGCGCCAGCAGGCTGGAGTACTGCGACACAACCTTGGAGCACAGCGACGTGGTGGCGCTGTTAAGCAGCGTCTCGCGGTCGCTCAGCTGCACCGGCCGGCTCATGCCCGTCAGCACCTCCACGCCTTTCTCCACCGCCTTCTGGAAGGACTCGGAGATGGTGGTGGGGTGGATACCTGACCGACGGGACGGCGCGTTAACATTAGTGATGAAACCATTTAACAACAGACAAGCGGCAGAAAACTAATCAAGTCATTTATCACGCAGGAAAGCCAAATGCTCTCTTTGGTTGTGAGGTGGAACAACACAAGCAATGTAAAAGATGTCAATTTGAGCTCCGTGAAATTGGGATTGTGATTCAGTTTTCTGGCATTTTATAAAATAAAGAAATATGAACTAGCCGCAGGATGAGGCACAACTCTTAAATCCATTGATGGAAACAACAAGCGAGCTCTTCCTCTCACGTCCTCACCGAGTACGACCCGTTGAACAGTTATTAACTTCCTGTTAATTTAGTGTCTGTGTTATTGCTCTCACCTCTCTGCAGCAGCTTGGAGCAGGCGTCCAGCAGCGCTCCAGCGATCACCACCACAGAGGTGGTGCCGTCTCCAGCCTCGATGTCCTGGGCTTTGGATAGTTCCACCAGCTGAAGAAGGCACACACACACACACATACACATTTCAATCCAGGTTGAAAAAAACAACTCAAATGAGTTCATCTTAAAACACAGTAAATCATATGGGGATATGGGTTAATGAAACTCAAAATAATGCTGTTACTCGTACCATTTTGGCTGCAGGGTGGAGCACCTGCATCTGCTTCAGGATGGTGGCGCCATCGTTGGTGATGGTCACGTCACCTTTCTCATCCTGGATCTGAAACAAACGGCGCCAGCTTTAGAATCACGCGTGTGACGCGGGAGAGCTGGGTGAAGTTATAGCACGAAGCCAAAAAAAATCGGATCACTCACCATCTTGTCCATGCCTTTAGGCCCCAGGCTGGTTCTGATGGCATCTGCAACAGCTGGCAAAACAAGGCAGGGGATGGGTCAGTGCGGTGAAAAATGATCAACTCATTGGCTTGTTCTGTTTGTACCGTTATAGATGTCACTGTGACTCTATATTCTAACTGTATGTACATTTCTCCTCCGTCTATGTGATTATTGTCTGTTGAGCAAACTGATGCTACTGTCAATACTACAAACATGAAGAATACTTGCTTCAGCTTTTAGTGCAGACACATTTTATTACTTGGTCCTTTGCATCCAATGTCTGGCCATATATAGCATGCAGCACTAAGGGCCACTGAGCTAGAAGAAGGAGAAGGGCCACTGAGCATGCTGAAGCTGAGATTATGTTGAGTCATGAGCATCTTGTAGAGACGTTGTCTCGTGCTGCATGCTGCTCAGTGATGAAGCTTTAAGGAAGCATCGCAGTTTCAGGTGCATGTCACATATGCCGAATAGAAAATGGGATATTTTTGAATTAATTACTAACTAACTCTGGTTTTGTAGTCTTTGTGGTGTTTAGTTTTATCAAGGAGTGTTAAAATGGCCCTTTCAGCATTAGATGTGGGACCAGGCTGTGAATAACGGTGCACACAGCTATGGTACTGGGATGAGAGGTGAGGTTTTTAGTTGAGACATTAGCGGTTTTTAAATTTCCTGTAAATATTGAACCTACCTTTAGCAGCAGAGATGTTACTGAACCGAATCTGGGCCGGCTTGTCGCGGTCCACATACGCCCCTCCTTTGTTTCTACCCATGTTAGATAGTCTGGGTGCCGCCATAATTTCGGGCATCTTAACTCGAGAATCGATGGAAAATGTTAAGGGACGTCTTCAGAACAGGACTGGTACGGTCCCGGAGCAGAAACACCTCGGTTCGGCTTCGGATGGACTCAGATGAAAAGTATCTCCACCCGGTACCGGTCAGAAACTTCTAGAGCGAATGGCTGCTGCGTAGCGAGAGGAAGAAAGGACCCGGCTGTCAAACGGCACGGATATGACGTATTCAGACATAAGGCATCAACTACCGATGTGAGTGAAATCGTTCACGCTGATTTTAATTTTAAATACTTATTTTTGTTGTCCATATTATACAGTATGTGCTAAAGTATTAAAGACTGATTGGGTGTAGCCTCCGCTTTGTTCCTAAAGCTGAACATTTCTCATTACGTTGATAAAAGCTGATCTGGGTTTGATTAGCTTTGCCTGTTGTGTCTGCAGAAGCATTTTTTAGATGAAACGTGTTAACAAGTAACTGAACCTCTGTTTTGTTTTTGTTACGTTATATCTTCATTCATTCACCACCTCTGTGTCTGGTAGGTTTGTTTCAACTATTTATTTATTATCGACTGTTTGCGGTCTCATCCTCTCTTCGCAGTGTTAGCCACGTTAGCTTAGCATAGTCTGGAGTCATGCTTTAGGTTGTTTTGAGCCTCCTGGGCAGATTCTGATTATCCAGCTGCATCATGCACACTGTCGTTCAAAAGTTATGGATCTCCTGACAACAACAAAAACTTGACTGGTGTGGGTACAGACTTTATATTTGTGAATGGTCGTTCATGCTTTTAGGTTGTAGAAAGTCCTCTTTTTACAAATAGATTCTATTTTTATATGAATTATTATGTTTAGCACATGGAGAACAAAACGCTGCACAATAGTTCAACCAGACTGACGTATGAAAAGGAAGGAAGAGACAAAGATCAGACAAATCAACATTCATATCAACATGTGTGCAGATTTAAATAGGAACCGCTTCCTGTTTCACAATAATACAGCCAATAACAAGCTGGAATCAAACAGGCAACATATTGTTGTAGCAAAGCTATTCTTCACGCTTCACAATAGAAATAGTTAATCCAGCTGAAAGCAGAGCTGGGCGACATGTCCAAAACCATCCATCCAGATATGGGTCATTTCATATCTCAATGGCGATATATACTGTATCTGGATATAGTCTTCTGGTGATTTAATGAATAAATACTCTATATGAAATAACCCCATGGTTTTGTATACTCCTGTGTGAATTAAATACTTAACAAATGAAAAAGTACTGGTTATTTTCTCATTTAATTAAGAGCTTTGGGGCAAAATAATCAGATTTTTAAAGAAATATTAGTAATTATGTGTGTTATCAAAGTTGAAGACGTGATTGTGTATCAAACATGATTTAATCTCGATGCGATTCTTGAATCATCGCCCAGTTCCTGCTGAAGGCATCATTTACTGGGCTAGATGAATCTGGACCTCACATTTAGATTCAGTTATATACTGTTATGTCATCAATTGATAATTTTTTGGCTAACTGATTTCCTGGCTTGTAAAATGTAAAAACATTAAAATAGCAACGCTTTAGTGTCACTTCAAGGTCTTTTTCCTCATCTGATGTGAGGGTCGAAAGCACAGAGGATGTTGTCAATAAATACAATTTAAAACTGAGTTCCAAGAATCCAAACTGATGTCAGACTACTTTCCATGTCTGGCAAACAGTCTAAAAAAGTAATATTCTTTAATTTAAAACAAAGATAATGAGAAGATCTCTAATTCCTCACCTTTGGGAAAGTTGAACCAGGGTTTTAAAAACAAAAGAAAAATGTCTTTGTTTTGTTGAAGAGAGTGTTTTCCTAACAAACGTCGCTGCTCCTCCTGCAGCCTGGAGTCATGCTGCCGCTGAAGGAGAAGGACAAACCCATCGTCCGGAAGCTGCTGTCGTCCGGCTGCTGCGCTCGCTGCGTCCTCAGGTTCTGCTGCGTCAGCGTCCAGGCTGCCTACAGAAAACCCCCACAGGTGAGACTCACCTTCTGTATTCAGCTATTCATGTTTTAAAAACTCCCTCCTAATGCCAGTTACTCAGCTACCCATCATACCGTGTGTCATTTCTTTCACCAGGATACGCTCAAGGAACTTCAAGCGTTCATCAGCAACACGGAGAACAGCAAATCCCAGGAATCAGCAGCCGATTCCACAGAAGAAAACAGCAAATCCCATGATGCAGCAGTGTCAGAAGCACCCGGAGAACCACCGAATAAAAGGGTGAAACTGGAGCCCATTGGGACAGAGGAAGAGGCTGCGGCTGCTGCGGTCAAACTGAAGGAAGAAGAGTCGAGGGTGTGTGTGGCGTGTTTGGGGATCCTACAGGAACTCTGTGGCTCGACTCAGGCTGTAAAGGTGTGTGTGTGTGTGTGTGTGTGTGTGTGTGTGTGTGTGTGTGTGTGCTGTAAGACAGCGTGATGACAGATGGTATTCTGGTGCAGATGAGCTTAATGTTTCTTGTTCCGTGTTCACAGATAGCGGAGAGAGTCAAGGCAGAAAAGTACGAGTTTGACACCGTGGTGCTGTCGGTGTCTCTGCCTGCTCAGCTGTGCGTCCGCGAGGTCAGTGTGTGTGTGTGTGTGTGTGTGTTCATTGAGTCTCATTGATGTGTTTTTAATGGAGGTCTATGGCTCAGAGGAAGAAGAGATCTCAGGCTTTGATACACAAACAATACTTGTTAGTAGAAACGTTCACTGATGGTTTTGGTCTTTTTGTATTTTTGACAAACAGGAAAATACATCTTTAAAGTTGAGTTGCTGCCACATTATAATAAGAATAATAAGAATTATAAAGTCTTCATTGTGCCTGTTGATGAGTGTTTTTTTTGTTTAAATCGTGCAGCACTCCTGTTGGCTTCACGTGAAGAAGGAATTGAGGTAAATTACATTTTGATCATATCTGCGTCATCTGCGTCACGCGGAACCACACGACCTCAAGTCCCGCTCGTCTCTCGTTTGCTCACTCAGAGAGAAGAGCATGGCGGTCGACAAGGACAACGCCGTCCAGGTGAAGGAGGCCTTCAAGTGGATCATGCAGGGCGTGGTCGCCAAGGAGCTGGGGGGCGTCGCGGTGGTCACCAGGGTAGACAAAACGCAGCTTCATGTTAAAACGACTACTTTCAGACTTAACTTCATAAGTTTGAATTTTTATTTATATTTTTAATTGTTTCTCAGTTTTACATTTTTTTAAAAATGCATTTAAATTAAATTTCCTTTAATTTCTCCTTTTGACGTCTAACTTTTATTTTCCTTTTGTTATTTCAGAGTTTGTTCGAGGTCAGTGTGGAGTTCACTCACCCAGAGACGGACGCTGACTGCCACTTCCTGTGAGTCCCTAATATCTGTGAAGATGTTACATTTCTGACTAAATAATAATACATTTTATTTTTATAGCGCTTTAAAAGGTACTCAAAGGAACTTTACATGGTAAAAACAGAAACAATTAAAGCAATTATGAACAAAAGAGATGACTTTCAAAACATGCATAACTAAAAGCAGATTTAAATAATAAAGTTATGGATCATCACCTCTTTAACAGTAACCGTGAGGTTAAGATGATTGTGTGCTGTTTCTCTGTCCTCACAGAGCGTCGACGTGTGCCGACTGCTTCAAACCCACCAAGAACAAGCAAGTGAGGAAGGAGATGCTCAGTAACAACTTTATTGTCATATTAAGAGGCGCTCCTCAGGCGCACTAAAGGAACATTGTGCATGTTGTTATTTCTCTCTGTGTGCAGTCGGTGTTCACCAGGATGGCGGTGGTCAAAGCTCTGGAAAAGATATCTGACGCCGTCTTCCTAAAGTAAGCATCGCCTTCACATCTCATTCACATTTGTCTAAAAAAAAAGTTTAAAGTTTAAAAATGATTATTGATCTTATTTTTCAGACATTACGCTTGTCCACCAGCGCAGCCGACCAGCAGCTGCAGCCCTCAGTACGTCCAGTGTCTCCACGTGTCCATCTTTGTCGCAGGTGTGTTAGGACGCACAAAAAAAAAACTTTTAATTTTGTTGTCTAAATTCGGAACCAAAAAGTGGGTCGTTTTTTTGCCCCGTCATGATCCGTTACTCATGGTCGCACACAGGGAGGTACAACAAGTTCAGCCGCAGTCTGCCTCAGACGCCGTGGGTGATCGACGGAGAGAGGAGGATGGAGTCGTCGGTAGAGGAGCTGATCGCGGCGCCCGTCCTGTCGTCCTTCAGAGCCGACGGTGAGTTCCACTCGAGCCGATGGCCGGTCGTGGCCGCAGCCGGAGAGCCTGACGATCTCCTCCTCTTCCTTCTGTTGCAGGGTTTAATTTCTCCTCGTCTGGCCGCGAGGATGTGGACGTCAGGACTCTTGGAAACGGTGAAGACGCACACTTTTTAAAACATTTTTTTACATTTTTCTGCACCTTAAGTGTGAAGATTGAAGTGTTTTTTTGTTTGTTTTGGTTCAACCGGCAGGTCGTCCGTTTGCGATGGAGCTGCTGAATCCTCACAGATCCAGACTGAGCAAAGTGGAGATGAAGCAGCTGCAGGAGGTCGTCTTCATCAACTCACTCCCAAAACCACCTCCTCCTCATCATCACAGACACTCTTCATATAAAACATTAAACCTTCACGCTGATGCTCATTTCGTTCCCGAGCAAAATATGTCAACAGTTACAGCCAGAATCAGTTTTATTGTTGTTGTACATGCAGCCGTAAAGATCCTGGGAAGGTAGTTTATGCTGCTCATTAAGTTTTCCTCCTAAAATAAATCTCCAGGCGTCCAGGAGGCCGAAACCACAAAGAGCATCCAATTGTCTTTGAACTTCCTCCTCTGAGCTTCTTAAGGCAACAAGAAGCAGAAACATCAATTCTCAAAACTGAATATATATAAAAATATATTTAAAAACAAAAGACCAAAGCTATGAGCGTGGTCCATCGGTGATTGATTTTGATATTGAAGTCTAAAAAGATGATGGTAGAGTTATACTAAAATGTTAGAAAGTCACTGAAAATACTAACAGTCATCCTCTGGGAAGTTTTCTCAGTAGTTTTCGAGATATTTGACTCTGGTATGAAGTGTTGGCTGTTTACACTGACAGAGCCACACACACACACACACACACACACACACACACACACACACACTCCTCTCATGACCACTAACCTTGTTTGATTTTTGTTTTTACAGACCATCAACGAGTCTTCAGACAAGATCCGGGTGAGAGACCTGCAGATTGTGTCCAGGTGAGAAAATAGTAAATTATAACCAAACTGCACCAACCGCGTTGTTATTGAATATAGACGACGGCTGACCGCTGTGTTGAACTGCAGGGAGGCCATGAGTCGCATGAAGGAGGGAGAGGAGGACAAAACCAAGTCGTACACGGCGCTCGTCTGGACCCGGAAACCCATTCAGAGCGACGACATCGCCTTCATCGACGACATCAAGGTCTGTGTAGCCACGATATTTAAAGATATTGAAAGATGTCCATGGATCTGTGGAAACCTAATCAGATTCCTCATTTTGAACTGGTGTGATGCTGCGAGGAATAAAGTAACCGTCTTTGTAGACTGGTAAACAGTCTGGCTGTTGATCCCCCTCCATCAGGATCTGACTCTGGACCAGAAGACCCCTCTGAGGGTTCTGCACCGGCGGGCGCTGGCGGTCCGTCAGCGAGTCGTCCACCGGATGAACACGCGCTTCCTGGACTCGCATCACTTCTACCTGGAGCTGAAGACGCAGGCCGGGACGTATCCTCACACGAATAATAGAGCGTTCTGTAATCATCTTACCTTGAGGCGTTTTTAATCCTCTGCTTGGAGCTTTGGATCCGAGTCTGTGTGTCTTTAACAAGACAAAAGTAAAGAAACGTGAGGGAGATTCTGTCCCGCTTGTTATATCGGAGAGAAGGTAGAAGTCATCTATAGCCGATATCTACAACACCAGACAACTCGCACCAAAACTATTTGAAGTACAATTGTGAGGTACTTGTACTTTAATTGATATTTCTACTCTACTTTAATGAAGGGGGAAATACTGTACTTATGACTTCATTTATTTTTTACTTAATAGTTCATTCATAATACAAAATATCATCAAGAAATAAATTATGATGTAATATTATATATTAAGATAATACTTTACTGATGAAACTCACAAGCTGCCCAGCAGTACATAAAGTACTTCAAATGAGCGCCACCTTTACCAGCTGCTACAATAATTATAATCCAGTGTTTTAATATGTTCATCTGGAATGGGCCACTAACGAGTACTGTTGAGTATATCTTGAGAACGCTAATGTGTTTGTACTTGAATCAGCATGAAATGTAAAAACACTCATTCGTACTCGTACCGATTCCTCGTCAACACATTGCTCCTGAACGTCGCTCCAACAGCTACATCAAAGAGTTCGTCCACGGAGACTTCGGTCGCACCAAACCCAACCTGTGTGTGCTGCTGAAGACCGACACGGACATCCTGGAGCTCGACGTGGAGGTGAGAGCACCATCTGAGAGTCTCACTCCTTCACAGTTTTTTTATATATATATAGAATATGAGCTGTGTTTTCCTCCCTCAGTCTGTGGACGTGGACTGGCCTCCGTCCATACCAGAGTGAGCGCTTCCATCACCTCGCTGCTGCCGGCCTCCAGGACCTCAGCAGGACTGGATCTTGTGTTGAGGTTCAGAGCGACTGAAAACATGAAGCCGGCTGCTTGTTTTTGGATCAAAACTCCCCTCAACTTTATCTTCAGTTGTATCACATACACATAACCCTCTCTACTGGTCTGTTCTGTTATTATAGGAGGTCATAAATCAAAAGGGTTTATTCTCTGTACGGTGGCCTTATTAGGACATCTCAGACTCTCAGCTTGAGCTGGACTTTTCTCAGTTTACTGTGAGATTTCAGCGCTCATCAACCAAACCTGACGGGGTAAATTCAATATATATATATATATATTTTTTTTTGTCTGTCATCTTGGTGACAAATGATTGTCAGGTGAAAGGATAAAAATATTGTATAAATAACTAAATATAAATAATATTTTTGATTTCCCCCCTTCAGTTTGCAGAGGGACGAGTGCTGAGGTCAGTCAACATGCTAACCACTAGCATGGTGGCTAGGTGTTAGCATGGTGGCACCAGAGGAAACTGAATCAGAAGGTTAATTCTCTGTACGGTGGCCGCTTCGTGAGCTGTCTGCCCGATATTGTGAAATATTTGCCGAGGGTGAAGCAGACGCTCTAATTTGATAATTTTACAACTTACTTCAAGATATTTTTATTTTTTTTAAAGTTAAAAATGTTCCCCTACAGTTTGCATGGAGACGAGTCACACAGTCAGTCAACAAGATAACGACTTTCCTGCTGTCATTGAGTCCAAATCAAAGAGTAACGAAAACTCTTTTTAATTTGTTCTTTGGACGTAACGTTAGATTTCCTGATTTGAATTTAAAAACATGCCAGTTACAGATGACTTTCTTTAGGTAGAGTTCCTGTACGGTGGATTAGGCAACGTTTAACAGATAACTTCTTTTGTTCATATTACTCAAAGTAAGGTGTTTAAAATAATGTTTGTGGCGTAACAGTTCATGTTAACGCTCTAATGTGAAGTGCACGCAGGTTGTTTGTTGCTTAAAAACCCATTTTTGTTCGTTGACCTTCAATCTGTTTTCTTTTCCTTGAATCTTCTGTTGACGTCATCTTCTGAACAAATAAAGCACGAGGTTCATTTTCCCTCTGAGAGGCAGAAAAATATTGTTTTTTTTTTTTTTTTTAAATAAGAGTCCCGACAGCAGAAACCCTGAAATGTATTTCTTTTAATTTAATTCAAAATAAATACTACCACGGCAACGCAAGTCCACTACTGGGTTCTTGCCCTAATGTTTTGGTAAGAAAACAAACAAGCAAACGATCAAAAAAAAAAAAAAAAAAAAAGAATAAAAAGAGACTTCAGTTAATGCATCATCATCATCATCATCCTTCAGCGACTTTCAAGAGGTGCCTTTTTTAACGACATACAAGGTAACACTGCCTAGAATGACCAACATAAATAAAACAAATACTATGGTACAAAAAGGGAGGGAGGGAGGGAGGGGGGGTACAAGGAGCAAAGGATGATGGGATTGGAACAACCTGATGAAACCAGCACTGCAAAAAAAAAAAAAAAAAAAAGAAAAGTCCTCATGGTCCAACTTTTTAGTATTTTTTCTTTTTAAAGAGGTGAAACAGAAGTGACGGTGCAGACTCCACAGGTACAGTCCTCACAAAGTCACGAGTCCATCATGTTTGGGGACCGAGTCGAGTCGGTGCATCGACCCGAGAAAAAAATAAAAACTTCAATGGAAGGGTCCAGGCTTCGACAGTCTTTAATTTTTTTCCCTCTTTTATAAATGTTTTTCATTTGTATTTTTTTCGGTCACTATTCTCATCAGCAAGCTGGAAGTACAGTCACACAAGAAAATAAAAAAAACATGTTCATGTCTGTCAAGATGCCACGAAACGACCCAAAAAGAAAAGAAGGCATTGCATATTTACATCAAGAAGTTTGGGGCGACTCGACTTTTCTTCTGGCAGTCCTCACAGTCTTCATACATGAGTGTCTCACGGCTCAGTTTTCTCGTGATCTGTGACATGATTAGTGATGTACTGAAACCCTCAGTTCAGGTTTAAAAACGTGTGTGTGTGTGTGTGTGTGTGTGTAAATAAATCTCATAATACTGACAGGACAGAAGCCCTGCATCTGGAGCTGGAAGCCTCGTTTCTGTTAGTGTGATAAAGTAAATGTTTCTTCGCTCGGATCTATCGTGTAACAACAGTCTTGGTGTATCTGCGCGTGAATATGAACGAATGAATGTGTGTGTGCCGTCAGGGTTCCCACACAAGTCACCATAAATGTCACGAGACTTTCGATACGTTTCCGTCCTCTCATCACGTGTGCGCATGAACTTCAAGAAAACAATGATTTGCCCCCCCCTCCCCAAAAACAAAATCTTTAGCAACTGCAAACAGCTTGTTAAGACCTGGAAGTTGTTCCTCCGAAGTCTTCGGATGTGTTGCAGGAACCCTGAAGAGTCGACTGAGAACAGCAGATTAAAGTGGGCAGAATTCTCCACAAACAAAGTCCATTTGGCGTGTTTTTGGGGAAAGTGTCGATACACAACCAAATAAATAAAAGGTCACATTTATTTAGTTTTTATCTACACAGTGAGTTCATCATGTTGGGATGTCTGAAGGTTTTCTCTGGGCCCAGTAGAGGGCAGGACTCACTCAGTAGTCTGGTCTAAAGGCTCCCGGGTCCATCATTTCAGACCTGTGGGGACCGAATCCAACAGGCAACAACTTAGTTTCCTCCAAAATGCAGCAACACTGTGCAACAGGACCTGGACTGACCCGATTAGACTAAATATACTTAGAACACGACCCCCACTGGGGTCAAGGGTCAGGTCTCCAACACCAGGAAGTGGATCCATCAAGACCTCTATCCAGTCTGGTCTGGTCGTATATAGTATTTACTTCTGTTCCTGTTTTGAGGAAATCCTACGATCTTTCCAAATTCACAAACACTTAAACTGAAGCAAGTTTCATTTCTGTTCACTTCGGTGTTCGAGTGACGACGAGAGAGGAAGAGCTGCCTCCCCCGATCCTCGTTCACGAGTTCAAAACATATCTGAATAAATGTATTCTCGGATTATGAAACAGCAGCCTCGTGTTGTTGTTATTTAGCCTTTCTGAGGCTATCGCACGGTTGAAATCTCCGGTGTTAATTGATCAGCTTTTAGAGGAGTTGGTTTGATGCATTTTTCTTAACTTTTGACAGAGCCAGGCTAGCTGTTTCCCCCTGCTGTCAGTCTTTTCTGCTAAGCTAAGCTAATCACCTCCAGGCTCCAGCACCGAGCAGATGACAGAGAGGTATAAACCTATCCCCCCCCCCCCCAAAAAAACCCCGTCAAACTCCTCCTGCAACATGTTATCCAGCCAACGAACTCACTCAAGAGTCCAGAAATATCACGTCAACTATCAGGTCTTCAGTAGCAGGAACGACAGATGCACACATGCAACAAGAGGACAGAGGGGGAACACTTCCTGTTCACTTCTTCACCCCAACACTGAAACATCCAGAACATATCCGTAGTAGAGCTTAATGTCTGCATGCTCCTGAAGGAGTCACTGTGGATAACCACGTTTTCAGACGCACAACTGAACGCCTCTCTGTGTGTACTGGCTTTGACTTATAAACGCACACACACCTGTAGTTTCAGTGAGTGTTAAAGAAAACCACCAAATTAGGTTTTGTTTGGTTCACACAAACTGACGACTTCAGTCTGATCAGTGTAAATGTGTGTGTGTGAGATATATATATATATATATATATATATATGTATATATATGTGTGTGTGTGCATGTGTGTGCTATGACAGCATAAAGTTGACCCCCATGTCCCACATACATACATTACATATATTAAGCCACATGTCCCTGTGTAAACACCCATTCCACTAGTCCTACAGCTACGATGAGGAAACAAAGAGCGGAGGTGAAGAGGAGGAGGAGGAGGAGGAGGAGGAGCGGTGAGAAAGCAGAGAAAGGCCTCGTTCCCTTTGCCGGCTGTGGAAAGCTGGAGCGGTTAGCTGAGTTTGAACGCGGTTGTGCTCTGTGGCGCCTGAGTGAACTGTGCAGTTTCTGGCAGTTTAGTGTTTTCCTGTTTCAAAATAAAACAATAAAAAAAAAGGACAAAACTTAGACGTGAAGAGCAAGAAAGAAAAGGAATGAAAAAACATGGGTTGAAAAAAATACGAGAGACTGCAACGATGAGAGGAATGATACAGACTCGTCCATTCTCGTCCTTCGTCCTTCTTCCTGTCGACAGTGACCTCATTGCCATGGGATTGGGGGAATGTGCGCCGATGGCAAATGTATGAGAAAGAAAAATGTTTTCGTTTTTTTTTTTGTAGTTTTTTTTCTGAGTGAACCACGAGCCATGCACTTATTCTCAACTAAGAATGACTCACAACCCCGAACCCCCCGCCCGCCCCCCCCGCCCAGAAAAAAACCAAAACACCCTGTCGGTATGATACGAAACATCTGCACACGTAAGGCAACATTTTTGGTTTTTTGTTCCCTAAAACGGCCCTTCCAAACCAAGTGCAAAAAGTAAAAAAAAAAAAAAAAAAAAAAAAAAAAAAAAAAAAAATAGGGCAGAAACAAAAACAAAAATAAACACAAAAAATGAACACAACCCGGGTCGACAACTTAATACTGACGGAAAAAATAAATAACAAAAACATTGCCTTCTGCAGTAAATAGCGCTGAAAATGTAGGAGACTTATTTTTTAGTGTGGGGAGACCGGCTGGAGTCTATTCCCACTGTGCAAAAACCTCTTTTAAAGTCCCTAAAAAGACTTCTCCCCGTCTGTGAGGAGGCAGAGAAGGAGAAAAAGAGGGGAGACTGGTATTTTTTTTGTTTTGTTTTTCCTAAAATGGCTACGTGTTTTCCTCAGAATGGCCACGAATGGGGACGATACTTGCTGGCTGGGCCCGGAGCGCTCACTCCCGCCCGCTGGCTGAGTAGGAGAACTGTGGGAAATGAGGCCTTCGCTCGTTGTCCGCCGCGTCCATCCCGTCCTCGTCATCTGCAGAGAGACGGAGAACATCGAACATTAAACCAGCTTCAACACGTATGTCGGGTGATTTTAGCCTCGTTAGTCCATCTAGCTCGATTACAGTCGAGGTCCTTGAAGATGAAGCATCATTATCTTCCCTGATTTTTATCTATTGCCACCTGCAGGTTAAAAACATCCGCTTTCACACTCGATTTAAAAACAAATATTTGAGATTAACAACACAGAGTATTAAAAACTGTTAAATTGATATACAGAGTAAAATGAGTTCTCCTTTAAGCCAAATACTCGGCAGTAAACAAACACAGTTCCGCGTCCGATATCGGTTCACACGGTGAGCTTACATTTCTCCGGCGGAGTGATGGTGATGGTCTGTGCTGTGAACTCCTCGTCGAAGTAGCGCGTGTCCGTTTCCGAGCTGACCTGGGGCTGGAAAGGCGGGACCAGCTGGAACGAGACAGGAAGTAGAAGGTGACAAGTGTGAGTGACGGGACGTGTGATCGCTGAGCGGGTTGTGTACGTGTCCATTAAATGAGCACCGGCATTATCTTTGGGAGGTTTTTGTTCTTTAATAAACGCAGAGACGTTACTGTTACTACTGCGGTTGTATCTGTTTCTACTTGTTCAGGCACCTCTGTGTTATTTGGTGCCAGTGATGGAAAGTAAATTTACTCAAGTATTGTGTTTTAAAAAAGGTACGATGAGCAGGATTTGTCAGTTGCGGTTTGTAAACATTATTTTTGTCTGTACATTGTTGTTGTTTTTTGGGAAAATCCTACAAGGTATAAGTACAATTTGAAAGTACTTCTACTTTACTTGAGTATTTCTATTTTATACCACTTTATACTTTTACTCTACTATATTTGAGACTTATCGTTACTTTGCAGAATCAGATAAATAATACAAATTATCAACAATTAATTATGAATTATTATATTATTTTACAGTATATACATTTGGTAAATGAGCTCCACCAGTTATAATATAATACATATCATTCTGCATAATTACTTATTTTACTTTTGGTACTTTAAAGTATATTTTGATGCTGATACTTTTTGTACTTTTACTTTTTACTTGTAATAGAGTATTTCTACAGTGTTGTATTGTTACTTTTACTTCAGTAAAATTCCGAGTACTCTACTGTTCAGTGCCAAGTCAGATATCTTGGACTTTTAACTGGGATTCATAATCATAACTAAAAGAAGCCATATGCGACTCAATAAGGTGCAACGTGTAATACATCTGTGTGAAAGCAGTGAATGACTAAAACACATTATTTTCTAAATATTTAATGTAAACATGCGGCAAAGAACCTCGACCGACACGTCCGTGAGACGCTCAGAGTCGAGTGTGTGTGTGTGTGTGTGTGTGTGTATGTGTGAGTGTGAAGAGGACCTGGTGTTGTTTGCACTGCTTTATGTTGCTGAAATGAGGTAATTTTGTTCTTTTGTGTTCTATTTTGGACTCAACACATCCCAGCCGGGCTTCTTTTGTAAAAAAAGAAAGAAAATGAGGTAACCCTGATACCAGAATATGTCAGGTACGCTGTTTGAATAAATTACCACTGAACACGGGATGACGTCTCGGCAGCTAAATCCTGCTCTCACCTTCTTGTCGTAGACGTCCTGCCAGTCGACTGCGTTAAAGAAACTGTGTCGCATGATCTCCTTAGCGTCATCCGGTCCGCCGCCCAGCCTGTCAGAAAAGAGAAGAAGAAGACGACGTCGAAAGTCAGACATCAAAACGCTGCTCTTACAAAGTCTCCATCAATGGACCCAGAATATCCACCTGCTACGGATCCCAAAATAACTCTGCGGGGTGAACGGGTTCGCTCTGTGAAGCTGCAGTAGCCTCTTTTCAACGGCTTCTTCACTTGAGACAGAAGAACGCCTCCGGGACAATCGGAAGGGGGATATTAACAGCAGCCACCAGCCAATTCTGTCTAACAGGCAGTTGTTCGCTGGATACCAGTTATCACTAAAGGAGGTTCAGTTCTTAACGTGTTTAAATAGTGAAATGAATCGGTGTAGTTCTGGGACGTAAAGGACAAACTGTCCTGTGAATAAGAAACAGGATCCTGGAAAGTGAAAGGGCCACAGATGGTTTCTTCCAGCTACACCGTTTCTGTTCATATTTGTGTACGAGTACATGTGTGGATAGTATTTTAAATCTGAGCAGGATGGATTATATATCCAATCAGGCGTAGGAACAACTCGGGATCCCCCAGGAGCTGGAGTAAGTAGCTGGAGAGGAGGGATAGATTATTCACACCCAGAAACCCAGCCGACGGTGAAAAGATGGATGAATGTCCGAAACTGGTCTTGAACCTGACGGACTAGGTGTAGTTTTCACTCCCGTGCTATGATTATTTTACCCTGTATGTGAAGCAAATCAAATTAGACCTTCAGCTGCATCACTATCCACGGGATCTTGGTTATAAAGGTGATATTGCCTTTTTGAAATTCATCTCATATACTAGGCAATTTCATTTCTTCCTTTATTGCATCTCCATTTACTCCGGAAGGGTACTAGAAATAGGTTTACTTGGACCAGAAATATGCATATACGCCTCATGGTTGAGCAGCTATTCTTGATTAATTTTGGGTTATTTTAGGCATCCCGTGAAAGCCTGGCGACGGTGTGTTCGTCTCCTCATTATTTATGTGTGTGTGTGTGTGTGTGTGTGTGCGCGTACCGTTTGTTGGGGTCCTTGATGAGCAGCCCTGACAGCAACGACTTGGCGTCGGCCGACAGGGTTCGCGGGAACTTGATCTCCTCCATGAGGATGAGCTCGAACAGCTTCTCGTGGTCCTGGTTGTAGAACGGCAGGCGGCCGCACATCATCTCGTACGTCACCACGCCCAAACCCCACCAGTCCACCGCCCGCCCGTAGTCGTTGTCCTCCAGCACCTGATGACGTACAATATGATTTAACCGCGGTGTTACCGGTATTTCTATATAATCTACGGTTAAGAACTGGGCTCTAAATATGGAGTTAGTCCGCTTCTCTACCGTCTACTCAGTGTTCGGACTGAAGAGGTTTAAACTGTGATTTTTCAGGCCATAGCATGTTCATCAATATATTACAATATTCACTTGACACTGAAACAGGAAGCTATTCCTATTTAAATCTGGATCTTTGTCTCTTTTTGCCCTGAACGTTGTCAGTGTGGTTGAACCGTTGTACAGCGTTTTGCTCTCCATGTACAGAACAAACCTTTCATACTAAATGTTTGCAAAGAGGGACTCTGTACAACCTAAAAGCGTGAAAGACCATTTAAGGATATAGAGCAGTCTTCTCAGACATCCGACGCATTTTAATTCATCGTGTATTTCTGCCCTCGACATATCCGCTTTCACATCCTCCTAATGGGAAAATAACTTTCAAAACCTCCATAAAGAGCCACATTAGAAGAAGTGAAACGAGCGACTGACATTCTACTTTGCTGTGAGGAAAATATTTAGCTGCCATTAGAGGAACAACATGTTCGGGTACTTCCACAAGTTGAGCCCCGGTGGTTTGCCGCTTGGTGACAAAACAAAACGCAGTTTCATCATACGGGAGAAAAACAGACGACCGCTCAGTTTTTAAGCCTGAAACGAGCACTTTTCTTTTCTGCACTGCGTGTTCCATCAACTCTGAAACCCAAATGATCGTATTTTTAACTGGTGTGACCTCTGACCTCAGGAGCCAGGTACTCTGGTGTTCCACAGAAGGTCTTCATGGTGGCAGTGTCGGTGATGCCTTCTTTGCAGAGGCCAAAGTCTGTGATCTTGATGTGTCCGTCTTTGTCCAACATGAGGTTCTCCAGCTGATGAAGAGGACGAGGGGAATTAAAGACACGTGCACGATGTGGGTGGGTCTCTGCACGTCTCTGCACGTTTCCACATGTTTAACTGATAACCGTAAACCCAGACCAGGTGCAGCTTACCTTCAGATCCCGATAGACGATCTTGGCAGAATGTAGGTAGTCTAGAGCGGAGACGATCTCGGCGCCGTAGAAACGAGTGCGGTCCTCCGAAAATACTCTTTCTCTTGACAAATGGAAAAACAGCTGCCGAGAAAAAGGAAAACAAGTTCAAACACCACAGACGCCTCTGTTGTATTCAGCTGAGTCATCCGGTGAACGACCAGTAATCAAGACCAGGATCACCGAAGGGGAACCCAGGAGAGGCCGAGGTGGAGCGGACGGCATCCGATCGTTAAAGACGACTTAAAGCACCTCACGCTGTGGATAAAGGACCGCTGAAGCGTGTGTGTGTATGTATGTGTATGTGTATGTGTATGTGTGTGTGTGTGTGTGTGAGGAAAGGAATTTACTTTTGCATTGTAACAGAAATAAATAATTGTCTGCAGGATTCTGTAGGTAAACAAATGAAGTAATAAAAAAAAGTAAAACACAGTGAAAAATATATAAATATATATATATATATATATATATATATATATATATTGAGAGAGAGACTGTATATATTTGGTTAACCATTGATTCAAAATCGACACTGTGTTTTTGAGAAGAACATCGCTAAACACAATTATTTTTGTAATGTTCATTTAATTCAATGTTCATGCTTGTGTTGTGTTCGTTCTCTTAACTAAACTCCTTGTTGCAACACTGATTTAAGAACAGCTTGTAAGACATTAAGTAAGTGTCTCAGACCTGAATAAATTAATATTAAATATTAATATATTTTGCATCTCTTTGGTGGCATTAATGCCTTGGAATGTAGAAATTGATACCCGTCACCAACAAACAGACACTCCCAGTCCTACAATGAGAGCAGTGCAGCTCTTTGAATCCCACCGTCATCGTTCTTCAAGAACTCTTGAAATAACTTCCATGTTGGAATAAGACGGAACATCTGCCAGCATCAAAACCATTTTCTTTTTCGGGAGAGTCCTTGATGTCTCACCTCTCCTCCGTTGACGTACTCCATTACAAAGCACAGCCGATCCTTCGTCTGGAACGAGTACTTCAGAGACTGCAACACAATATATTCACATTCTTTAAACTCAGCAGAGCCCAGCGGTTTGTTTTAAACACATTTAGGAACAGAAGCTCTGTGGTCTGAATTCAGTGGATCCTTCCTTCTTTTAAACATTCATCAAAAGAGGCTGACGGGCCACTGCGTCTCTACATATTTATTTATTCCAACACAATCATTTGCATGCAATCTACCTGCTGGTACTCACAGTTAGGAATGGATGCCGAGTGTTTTTTAATACCCTACTTTCTGTGAGCGTGTGAGCGACTTCATCCTGTGATGGAAAAAAAGGGACGAAGGAGATGGTGATTAGTCGGGAGACAAAAGGTTGAGGATGGCAGGGAGGCATGTGAACACCACGCCAACGCCAGTATCAAACCAACCTGCATCTGATCTTTCTAAACACGCCCTAGACAGTTACGTGCCAAATATTTGACACTGAAGGTGATGCTTGTATTTGTAATTATTTCTTTACACATACAGGACTGTATCTTTTTAAAGTAACCAAAAAACAACAAAATAACAGACGACAAAATAACAATAAAATGTGATAAAAAGGGACCTTGGCTATGATGACTTCCTTCTTGAGGATCTTCATGGCGTAGTAGGTGCCACTGGCCTTCTCCCTCACCAGAATGACTTTCCCAAAAGTGCCTTTGCCCAGAAGCTTCAGATAGTCAAAGTCATTCATTGTCTGCACAAAGAAACAAGAGGGGATGGGGTGAAGAAACCTGGTTCTCCACCATTCTAACGCACTCACTTCATCTTTTTCAAAATAGGCTTTTGGAGCGGGAGCGTCAGCGCGTCTCCGCTCGGCTCACGCCGTCACCTTTCGTTTGTAGTGGCCGATGGAGGTGTCCATCTCCTCCTCGTTGACGTTCTCAATCTGGGAGGTGGGGCTGCTCAGGATGCCCTCCTCCTCCTGTTTGGCCAGAGACTCGGCTACCATCTGGATGGCCTCGGCCCACTCGTCCCTGCAGGTCACAACGACCAGGTTCAAAAAAAGCTTTTATCTTTATTGTTATTCACCAAAACACAAAAGGCAAATTTCTTTGTATGTGTGAGTTAAATGGGTTTTGGGTGAGGACGTCATTTACAGATTATTGTATATTTAGAATCCTTTGAGTCTTAAAATAGTAATGATCGACGGGTGGAGATTTTTCCTTCATCATTATCTCAGAAATAACAGAAGCCAGTAGTTTCCCAGATATTTTTTTAATCAGCGAGATCGCCTTATTTCTCCCCGTGTTAAATTTAGCCAGATTTAAAAACGACGGCTCACCTCTCATCAGGAGTGTCGACGTGAAACGTCCTCTCGATGACCGTGGTCCACTGCAGACAGCGGATGATGAAGGTGTTTGGCTTGGGCCGCTCCGTCTTCATCAGCTGACATTCTGGAAGTCACACACAGAGAGATCGATGTTCAGGCTCTGCATACATATTTCTTCCTTCAGCGTATGAAATATGCGCCCCAGTTCCTCTGCTCGCGTGTCTTACTTGCTACGGAGAAGTTGTTGAGCGGGTAGGCCAGGTCAGAGTCCTGCGGTTTGTCCTTGTAGCCGATGAAAGAGCCGTCCGTCTTCAGCAGAAAGTAGCGTGGTCGCCAGTTCTTGATGTACTCGCCTGCGGGGGGGGGGGGGAAGAGAGAAGGTGACACCAACAGGTTACATCCTGCTGCACTCACATGTGTTTACAGCTGGAAGCAGCGGAGTCTGGGCTTCTTGCATCACTTTGATTCTGTGATGAATGTGGAGGAAACGTGGCTCTGTAATGTTGGTGTTCGCCTGACGATCAGACTGAACTTATTATTCAGTCTGACAAGTTCATGTTCGCTGTTTTCTGTCTTTTAGGGGGTGTTGTTCCCTAAAGAATCAGCAGTGACTGAAATCAAGTTTTTACCTCAACGTGTATGGTAATATTTTACCTTATGCAACAAGACATGAGCGAATAAATCAGTCAACGCCGTGACTGAGCATTTCCGCCTTGCAGTGTACCAATGACAGTCTCAGAAACAGTCAGAGTTTACTTCGTCACAGGCCGGGCGGGGCTTCCTGTGTCATTAGCGTAACGACACGGAGAAACAAGGGGTATCAGAGGAGAAGCCACGTATCTGCATTTTGCAAGTTAGGCATCACTATTTTAAAAACTGATCGCAAAGACCTGTTGTTTTCAGTAGCAAAGATGTACCTACAGTATATCCAAACATGCTAAGAGATGTAACATTTTTCAACCGTTTAAACAGGATGAAAAAAAGCAACGTTATGTAACGTCATCTGACCTGAACGTGCTGCCATGTGACGTGATGTGGTGGTGCGTTCACACAACATAACCGACTGCAACCTAAACTACAATATGAACGTTAATATGATCCTGAACATAACTTAACCCTTTCAGGTGGCAATGTAGTTCACTCTCAGCTACAGGAAAAGGTTGAAATCATTTTCCAGGACATTTTCTCCACGACGAGGGAAACCTGAACTTCCAGCTGAAGAGGAAATCTTTTGATGTCGAATACGACACAGTGCTGGTTCCTATTCAGCAGCCATGACATTTGTGCCCGTTGGAATACATGAATATGTTGTCATATTAGCACCAAAGCCAACGAAGAAGAAGCCGGCGTTGGAACCAAAGTGTGTTTGTATTAGTGATAGAAGGCCTCGGCATCTTTCTCTGACAAAGCTCTCCTCACTATTCTCACACACTACATCATGTGTATGGCTCGACAGTAAAAAAATATTCCTTCCCGATACCGATTCAGATACAATAAACTTGCGTAGCCGATAAGGAGTACTGATCCATTAGCAGTGTGGTAAAAACAAAACAAAAAGTTATATTCTTTTATATATATTTACAGTTTAAATTGATTCCCCGCTGCGTTTCGTCCCGCCCAACATCCTGTTCAACAGGAAGTACGTCACATTAAAGAGCTCTATCGTGACCCCAAACTCAACATTCAGTTAATCACAGTTACTGAGGCTCATTTAGTTGAAACAGATCCATCAGTTTGTGAATACAAAGAAACTGAAACCGGTTAAACAGCTGAGTCTCCACCAACATAAACTCTGCGATCAAGAACAATAATGCTGCTCCACATGCAACGTTTATGACGGCTTTTGTTTCCACAGTTTACAAACCGCCCTGAACTGTGTGTGAACTGTGCGTTTTGAACTTAAACGGCCCAGAGAGCCGTTTGGGGCCGTTTTCTCCGGGAGGGCCGCTAGGACTGAATTATAAGAGCACACAGAGGTGCAATAAACAAAACAGGGACTTGTGGGGGCCTGGAGAGGAAGGAACCAGAGTGTTAGGTCATCCTCTGTAAGCTCATAGTGCCACAGAGAAACTTCCCCCTGCCTGGCAGCCACACACACACACACACACACACACACACACACACACACACTAAATCACTGTGGGAAATAACACACCAGCCAAGTGCAGCTCAGACTGGGCTGCAGCCCTGCAAAGCCAGCCGGCTCTGCTCGCCGTCTGGCAGGTAAACAACCATTGTTTGGAGGGGCTGTTCTTCAAACCGAGCAGGGTGGTTTAGGCCACGTTCACACTGAGCTGTAATGAAAACACATCTTTTATCTGACCGAGGACGGCCGGTGTTTCCAACAACCAAAGAAGCGGGGGTTTTCCAGCGTGGACCAGGTTTTCCTCTAACACAGTGACCCGGGCCTGGTCCCGTTCCCCTCTCTGTCCCCTCTAACTCGCTCTGTGATTGCTCCTTTTGAATGTCAACACAACCAATCACAAAAGGGAGGTGGTGTTGTTGTTGTTGTTTCCGTTTTCAGATGACTTCTAAGTTATAAAACAGTGATTTCATTGAACTGAAGGTTTGTTTTGATACTTGGTCGCAGGACGGTAATAAGTCATTTCATTCAGCCAGTTTCCTGTTTTTGCATTTCAGTGTGAACCTAAACTGTTTCAATTCCATACTACGTGTGTTTACATTCCAAGTCATTATTAGTGCTTTTGTCCCAGAATGCAATGCACAAAGGGAATGGAAAAAGTTTCAATTCAAAAATATAGTCAATCTTTGGTAAAACATTTTGCCTTCTTAACATGTTTAAGGTTTGATTTTCAATACACACATGTCCATCCAAGCAAATCTTAGATCATTTAATGTCAATATAAAATGTTTATTTATTGTAAAATCAGGCCTACGGGATGCCTCTGTGTGGAAGACAATGTTTTAGCATGTGAGTGCATTATTCTGGTGCATGTTTTGTATTTTATTAAAGCTGCTGTGGGTACCTTGAAAAAGGTCAAAAGAACTGTTAACCCTCCACAGCCTGAGTAGTTTATTGATTATTTACGCATCATTTAAAGTGCTTGTTGCTGCATTTTTACGCCAACCGACGTCTGGAAAGACTCTCGTTGGTGCGATATTTTTCCTTCAGATATAAAAATCTTGCTGAAAGTTTGAAGATCTGTAGAAATGACAAAGTAAAGTTTAAGGTGTAAAACACACTATGAAGAATGAATGGAGATTATGGAATTGAGACCCGTCTAAAATAATAAAAGCTACTATTATTTATAGAGTCCTGTAACACAACGGTCTCGGGTTCGATTCCCTCATCAGCTGAAACGCGACACACATCCTCCACCTGAACACGAAACGAACGAGTCAGCTCAACGGTTCAAACTAAAAACAGGAAATCAGAGGAATGAAAGAGAACAGCAGCCATCTGTGGCTGACAATGTTTCATTTAAGACACACCTAAAGCCAGACGCACCGAGATACATAAACTCATCCAAACAAGCACAGACGGAGGCGGCCACGAGCACCAGAGCACATCAGCCGTGTCTCAATCCAACCGTCAGGTTTGCAATAAAGGAGAAGTGACTTCCAGGAGCTGGTTAGCATCGTTTGTCTCTGTCGACTAATGTCGGCCGTGTTCACGCTCCCGCTCTAAACCCGTGACTGTCCACACAGAGAGTTTAAATACACTGGGATGTATCGTCCACCCTCACACAGGATGCATCACTGTGTTGACATGATTAGTCGATGTGTTCAGCTTGGTTGCCTCACTCGTCTTTCATACGTTTGGGCTTCGGTCTGGAGTATTTGGGCTCTGATTTCATGACATTTTATTGACTGAACGATTCATTTAAATAAAAGAATAGTTAGTTGCAGCTCAGTCTCGGCCAGCGGACTACTTTTTCTCGTTGCCTTTCCTGCTCAAGAGGACGTTCTGCTGCCAGTTCTCCACCAAGACAAACAATTATCGTATTGTGACAACCAAGCATCCTAATTGTAGACGTTCACTTTAGTGCATAAATAGGCAGTGGGCTAACACTGTGGGCACATATCAGACTTCCATAGTTGGCTTAGAACATTCTGTGACAATATTTGGTTTCTAATATAATCCAATAACTCTTCTGACTTCCTGTCTTACTTTGTATTATTTCTTGGCTCGTATGTAATTAAACTGAAGCACCGGTCAGGCTGTTCACAGCACTCCTCCGTCATTATTGGTTCAATGATACGAGATGTTTACGTCAATATTTACTACATAGATTCAGAGTACACCAAAAGAAAGGAGCCACTTCATGGATAAGGACGGCGTTATTCTACAAATTATATGAAAAGATGAAACCCAACAACGTGTTAATGTCTGAGGATGTCCTAACCGGCCTACGCTGGTTCCTTTTGAAGATCTAAATCTAAAAAAGGAACCAATTCACAAATATTAAGTTCCGTTTATTGAGGGGGAAATAGTGCATTTGTAGGGGACGATTATTTTGCGGCGGATTAATACGATTATTTAAAATTGGGGTTAGGTTAAAGATGAACACGTGAAAGCTCCTCACCTCTTTTTTGGACCCAGCCTTCCTTGATGACGTTCTGGTCGCTCATGGTGGCTTCTCCTCGTCACCAGTTCTCCCAGTCCGCCCAGTGTGGTGACGGTGAAGGGACGCTTGTTGTTCGGCTCAGTCAGCCTTCCGTCTGACCGCCACTTGACCTCCGACCTACAACCTACCTGCGCCTCCTCTCACCTGACCTCAGATCTGTTCTGTTGTTCCCCCACAATGTCTCTCTATCCTTCTCTCTCTCCCTTTCCCACAATCACTTTCTCTTCCCTCCTCTCGCCCCGCCGACCCAACCCGACTTTCTCCTCACCTCTTTTTTGTGTTTTTCACTCCCCTCTTTCCGTCCCTCCCTCCTTCCCTCTCTTACTCTGTTTCTTTTCCTCACTTCCTCGCCCTCTCAAACTTCTTCTTCTTCTTCTTCTTCTGTGTTCAGGCGCTCCAGCGGTGAGTCAGCCTGGAAGGAAACGGAGGCAGAGAAAGGAGAGAGGGGGTCAGTGGATAGTTTCCTTCACACAGCAAACACAGCAGGCCGCCACTTATTGTTCAGAGCCTTAGACACACTTCCTGTCTCCTTACATCCTTGCTCCTTGCCTCCTCACACTTTCTCCTTCCTCTGTCCCCTGCTTTTCTTTCCTTCCTTATCTCTATCAGTATTTCCCTAACTCCTCTTGTCCCTCCTTCCCTCTTTACCTCCCGCCCTACTTTTCACACTCCTTGCCCCCTCACTCTCCTCCTCTTCCTCTGTTCCCTCCTATCTCCTTCCTTCCATCGACCCTTTCCTAACTACTACTACTCCAACTTTTTCACCTCTTCTCCATCCTTACAGCCTTTGTTCCCTTCCGTCCTCAACAACTCCTCTCCCTCTTGCCTCCCTTTCCTTCATTCTCTCATCAGTCCTTCACTAACTCTTTTACCTCCTCATCCCTTGTTCACTCTTTCCTCAAAGAATTGATGAAGCTCCCTCCCGCAATATCTTCCTTTCTTCACAGGCCCCTACTTTACTTACCTGCCTCTCTCTCTAATTCCTTGCCTCCTCACATGATTCACCCCCTAACATCGCCTCCTCCTCTTCCTTTTTTTTCTTCCTTTCTTCTACTCTCCCTCCTTCTTCCTTCCCCAACCTTTTCTCCTCTTCTCTCCATCCTTCACTGGGCCTCACTTTTCTTCCCTCCCTTCCTACCTCCTTGCCTCCTCACACCTTTCTTTTTTACCTCCCTCCTTCATCTCTTCTTCCTCATTTCCTTGCCTCCTCACATCATTATCACCCTCCTCTTTCCCATCTTCGGTTCCCTCGTTTCTCCATTATTACTTCCCTGACTACTCAAAACTTCTTCCCCTCCTCTTCTCCGTCCTTCCTTCCCCTTCACACTAACTCCTCTCACTCCCTCTTGCCTCTCCTATTTCCTTCCTTCTCTCATCACTCCTTTACAAACTACTTTTACCTCAACTTTTGTTTAACTCTTCTTCTCGTTCCATCCTTCTTTCTCATCCTCCATCCACAACAACGTATCATTCCGCGTGGCTTCTCCTTCCTCATAAGTCTGGTCCCTCCCTCTCTGCCTTCCTCCTTTTCCACTCTTCCTCACTAACTCCTTCTCTCAATCCCTTTATTTTTAAAACAAAAACACCAACACTTGCTGGTTTCAGCCTCTTGAATGAGACGATTTGCTGCTTTTCTTTTTCATATATACGATAATAAATCAAATATTTTGGCTTTAATCAAACAAATCAAGCGATTTATCACTTTGGGCTTGTTGTGAAAGCTGTTTTTCACTTCTTGTTTTGCATTTAATAAACCAAACAACTAATCGATCAATTGACAAATTGAGCTTTAGTGATTTTATGATGTACATTGTGTATATATTAATATTATACATACAGTACATATTTAATGTATTAGTGTTGACCATCACTTAAACATTACCCAAGCACAGACACAACAGCACAACGGTTGCATGGACCTAAACAAATGTGCAACATGACATCGTTTACTCCAGCGACATGTTATATTTCATACACACACACACACTTGCAGCCCATGCACGAGCATTCAACAGCCCTCTTTTACAGCAGCTGTTGGTCCACGAGCTCTTCTAAAACCCCATCGAGATGGCACACAGGTCAGTTCTTAAAGGTCACATCTTTCAACCAAATTGCTCCTGAATTTGCATACAGACTCCAGTGCTGCTTGATAGAGACTGGAGCACCTATTGCTTCACACCTGATCCCCGCCTTTACTGTGAAGTAGCAGCAGGAATGTGACGTACATATATCCAAGTTATCGCCTGTTCAACACTTGTCTACATCTAGTCGGGAGTTTTAATAGAGGCCTAGGACCTGAGTCTGGGAACCACTGTCTCAAAAATGGACAGTGCATTTCCACTTTGACTTCACACTCCTGAACTCATGCTGCAGACTCTGACCGTCGATTAGCTGCAGACCAAAAGCACTGAAAGATTTGTAGCTGAAACGTAACCGGGGACTATTTTACAGGAACAGTAACGGAGGTATATGAGCTGTGGGTTGTGTACCAAAGCAACAAGATGATTCACCAACATGTTCTGTTTTGGCCTCTTAATAATTAGTAGTTCCTCGTATATGTAGTAATTTATATTCCTTCTTTTATTATTGCTTTGGTATGTGTGACACTAAATATTTATACACCAATGTACAGTATATCACAGACATGTATCATGATATAGGCAGAGGCAAAATATAAACAATAAAGATGATCAATAAGAAAGGAAAAAACATTTCTGGGTTTTTTGGGACATTTTCCTACTTTGTACTTTAACAGCTGCACAACAATTTCCCTTTAGATATATAAAGTTTAATTTCATCTTCAGTGTATCTTTCTGTTACTTTAGAAGTCTTAAATTGAACTATTTCCTTCTGGTGTTTTTTTCCTAATTGACGGCTGTCTGAAACTGAAACTGAAATGATTACACATGTACAGTACATGTTGCGATAAAGGTGAATAAATCTATTAAACTACATCTTAACTGTCCTTAAAACTCTCTCTAACACAGTGGGCAATATGGCGCAAATCAGTATCAGATATTCATTTTCAAAATAGACTTTCAATATTGATATACATCACAACATGCCAAATGTGTGCAAAGAGGTTCAAAACAATGAAATAACTTCTACTGTTATGCATTTCATGAAACGCTTAATATGTGAAAACCAAAAGCTTAAATTCAGTCAGCTTTTATGTCGAGCTTTTCAGAATTATCAACACGTCTGAGCGATAACGTGTTAAGATCAAATTGTGACGATACGATTCTGCTAAAAGCCAATAATCACTATTATATCATCGCCACGCCCTGCTTCATGATGATTTTTAAACGTTGTAATGCATATCTATTCCTTACATGTGTCACTTTGAAGAACCTCTGTGTTTTACAGACACTGTATAAAATGCCTTGCCTCTATGACGGTAAGAGATCAATGTTTTATATCTCAGCGTATTCGTTACAACCTGTCCATACTGTTAATACTACTAATTCTGTACGTATCCAGCATATCCACATCTACCTCTTACTGTCTATTATATTTATTATTATTACCATTAGACATTCAGTGTGTACATTACAATGCACTTCACTGCTGTTTTGCACTTCTGGTTGGATGCTAAACTGCATTTGGTTGTTTCATTACTTTACTACTCTGTGCAATGACGATAACGTTGAATCTACTCTAATCACAGAATGGTTTATGTCCTGTTACCGATCATGGGAAAACCTTTATGTCCCACTACAACCAGCATTTTACAAGAAATGTAATAATAAAACATGTTTTTTTCAACAACAAAGTCTGGGTCAAACTGCCACCCCACCGCATTTCATCCACTCCTCGAGGTTAGCCTTTCCTGTACAATTTACATTTGGGAGTAATAATCACATTTCCAATAATGATTAATGAATCATTATTTGGCATTTGGAGAGGAGGCCACTGAAGGAACTATTATCCATACTAGATAACCCGGACCACCCTCCCCACCCTCTACTGCAGGGACAGACTGCTCCAGCTCCACTGTCACAAGGACCGATACAGGAGATCATTCCTGCCCTCTGCAATAAGACAATAATAAATCACCTCTGGCCAAATCAATCACAAGACTATGACACCGTTACTCTGTTGTTTGTTTGGTTCATTCTTGAAACTACTGTTTAGTTAGTTAATTTAATATTATTCTATTTCATTGTATATATTGTGCAATTTTATATCTAATATTTTTTATTTTTTACTCTGGTATTTTATTTACCTGTATTATAATGCTGCTGTTGCGAACAAATTTCCACGTGCGGGATTAATAAACTATCTATCCATCCATTCATCCATCCATTCATCTGTCTACCTACCTACTTACCTATCTATCCATCTATCTCGGCAACAAGCTACAAAGCTACTGAAGACGTTGTGTTCCATGTTCCTTCACTCGCACAGCGAGACACCATCAAAGGAGAGATCCGAGAGGCTGGGAAACAAAACGCGAGCCCTCCAATGACAACAAAAACAATGGCTGACAGGAGCAGCAGCCGTTGTTTATTTCAGAAGCCGGTTCAGAGCTGCGGCCCTTTCGGCTCCACAAACAAAACAAACACTGAAACAACAGCTTTTGTTTTCAAGGGCGTGTGTGTGGTGTCATTATCTTAGTTACATAACAACATCCGCTTCAGCGTGCTCCGGTATATGCAATGTATATATAAATAAATGTCTAGAAGTGACTATTTCGTTCCGACTAGTCGCTGTTAGCAGTGATAAAAAAATAAATAAACCGGCTCCCGGTATGAAATGGTTGTATAAGCCTGTGATGGCTCGGAGGATGGAGGATGAGAACTAGCCAGATGATGCTACTGCTAATGTTAGCCTGCTAGCTGCCTGGCTGGGATTGGCTTAGCTTGGCTAACTGACGGAGGAGCCGTGATGTTATTTTAATGTCTGTAATGAAACAACTCCGGGGGATTTATCGGGTTATTTGAAGGGGTGGGAGACCGGTGGTGGTGGAGGGAGGGAGGGAGGGTGAGGAGGAGAGAGGGGGGGAGGTTTTGGGGGGGGGTGTCGTTCATCACGGAGATGGGCCGAGGCCAGACAGACGGTACCGTTACAGTAACGGTAACGGTGTAACGGACGGTACCGTTACCATTGTGGTGGAGGAGGGAGGGAGGGGGGTGAGGAGGACAGTAATGGTACCGGTACCGGTAATACCGTTACTATTACTGGCCCTCCTCTCATCCTCTTCGGCAGCAGCATCCCCGGCGTCCCAGACTGGCTAATGACGAAGCAGCGGAAGCTCGCTAACGGCAGCTAGCTCGCTCGCTAACGGCAGCGAGCTCGCTAGCTAGCATGCTAACCTCCGCTCCCACCCGCTCCGGGCTCGACACAAACCCGCCCCCCCGCCCCCCTCAAAAAAAAACGACGACCCCCAACCCCCGCGTCCTCCCTCCCTATTCCTCTCAATAGTCCAACAAACAACAACAACGCTATAGCATATATCACAATAATGATTTCACCTGGTAGTCGAAGAATGACACGGATGCCCCCCTCCTCTCCTCTCCTCCTCCTCCTCTCCTCCTCTATGGGTACTGGAGGAGCATCCAATGGAGGAACGTGCCTCAGTGGTGACAACAGCAGGAGGACAGCGATGGATCCATAGCCGCTGATGAAGTCCAGACACCGTGGAAGCGGTAAAAAAGAGGAGGGTTGTTTTCGTGTGCGTGTGCGTGTGTGTGTCCCCAGACAGACAAGAGACTGCGGCGGCAGACAGACACACGGACAGACAGACAGACCCGCTCGGCTCCTGCTCCCTCCGCAGCTTCCGCCAGGAAACCTCGCTCGCCTCTCCGAAGTCGACACGTTACGTCACGTTCAGCCAGATCTGACTGGGAAGGACTCCTGGTGCGTTCACGGGCAGTCGGAAACATGGACGATTCGTGCAGCCACTGCTCCCGGCTTAAACCTGCTGGGGAAATGTGACGGGATCAGGGAGCTTTGGCAGGTGGTGGAAGAAGTATTTAGATCCTTTACTTTAAGTATAAGTACTAATACTGCATGCTGGAAATACTCCACTAAAAGTAAACGTCCTATTTTCCACACTTTACTTAAGTGAGAGAGTGTATCAGCCAAATGTTCTAAAGGTATGAAAAGTAAAAAGGATAGTGCATTAAAAATGTTTGGATTGATTTTACTGCAGCATTACTGTGTGTTGCATTGCACTGCTGTATTTAGAAGTTACTTTTAACTCTTTGTCTACAGCAATGATTCATGTAAATGTATTTATATACCACCACTAGGGCGGATTGTCCCTTTCTTTAAATGAGGGCCTGAAAGTGATATCAGGTAAGGTCTTCTCAGAACCAATCAAATTGGCTTGTTTTGTCCGACCGACAGCCCAAAACCAAAAAGATATTCAATTGACTGTCATGTAAGACAAAGAAAAACAGCATTCTTAAATGCAGTCAGCAATTAATGTCTAATTGTGCTGTATAGTTTAATCTTTAATCCATTTTCTTATTTACTTTTTATCTATGTGGATGTTGTTGTTTTTGTATTATTATTAATATTTTTTGTATTTCATATTATATGTTCTAATCTGGGAGATTTCTTATGTTTACGCATATTGTATTAAATGTATAAAGTCAATAAAAAAAAGCTTAGAAATATGCAAAGTTGAGTATTTAGAAATGTATGATGCATGCACAGGAATAAAATATCTTTAGTAGTTTAGAAGGCCACCTGTGCCAGTGCCACGGTCTAAAAACACAGGCACCCTGCAGCTGACTGACAATTTAGATTTTATACAATGAAAGAAAGATTTCAGCTTTGAGTAGCTTTGACCAAACACATGTGTTTGGTTCCACATCTCAGTAATGGCTTTTTGCATCATGACATTTTTGATGGGCTGCAAACTAATGATTGTTTTTATTAATCTGTGTTGTTTTTCCTGAGAGTGAAAGCTCATTCTTGAGCAGATCCATTCATTGATAAGATGCAGGTGAAAGGTAGAAACGAACCCTTGAGTTAGCATTCTTGTCAGCAATTGTGTCAGTTAATTGGTTTATTGTTTAGCCAATAAAATGTCAGATGCTAGTGAATAACATGACCATCACATTGTCCCATTGGGATCCATTCTGTGGCCCTGTGCTGCATGTCGTCCCCTCTCACTTACTGTCTGTTTATTAAATAAACGCAAAAAGGCCACAAAAATAAAAAATGGTAAAAAAGAATGAGAGAATAAATTATTTCTCTTGTCAGACAAACAGTCCCAAACCTATAATATATTCAGTTTAAAATGATATAAAAGAGAGACAAGAAACTCTGTAGATCAATTTTCTGACGATCATGTAATGGATTAACCCACAAATCATTTCAGCACTACATTTTGATCATGTGTCTGGATCTAGGCTCCTGTGTGTCTCTTACCATGTCTGTACAGTATGTTCCAATATACTGGGAGGTGGGACTTTACAGGGGGTACGTGAATGCAGCACCCCTCTCCTCATGGCATCCAGGGCTTTTGTCAGTCCCCGGGCTTTTGTTGTCTCTCTCTCTCTCTCTCTCTCTCTCTCTCTCTCTCTCTCTCTGTCTCTCTGCTGGATTTACGTGATTCAGTTCAGTTATAATTCACTTCCCTTTTGACCCACAGCAGATATCATTTATAAATATATCCACTGGAGTAAATCTCAAACCAACCATATGGATGTTTTTTGCACGTTGATGATTATTGTTTCCCCCCCCCCCCAGACTTTTGTACTGTTATCAATGTACTCAGGCTTACCTAAATGTATAGCACCCCCTCCTCCCCAGCCTTCCTGAATGGATGCTTTGTTTGAGGATCCTGGTCCCAGTCTGGCTGCAGGCCTGCACAGACGCGACTGCTGCTGCTGCTTTGCATTAATCAAGTACAGTGTGTGAAATAACAATTCAGTGCCACGCGATGAAATGAGAGTCTCCACACACAAAAAATTTATTTAAAACATGCAAGTCAACAATATCAAACAAGAATACAACATCAATGAAAAAATGAATTTATTAACCATAAGCAATCCTAATGGTGTTGACTAATCACTTCAAAGTAATTCAATTGTTGAGTCGTCACACTTAGTAAAGATTTATTAAGTGTGTTCTGTTTTATATCTTTTAATTTGATATTTTGATTGTTGGTCAGACAAAATAAAGCACTTTAAAGATATCTCCTAAAAGCCTAATATGATGGTCATTTGACACAATTTTTGATATTTCATAGACGATCAAATAAAAATATGTCAAATGTGTATTGATTTCGATGTTTGGATGTGGAAATTGAAGCAGAGTTGGTGTCCAGATCTCTACATGTGAGGAGACTAATTTGATTTTGCCCTTTAAGTTCTGACTTCTCATTTCCTGAGTGTTATGTGTGTTCACACCTGACACTTAATGTCCTACATGTTCAACAATAACAAATAACTGTATTATAGAAAGGAGTCCCTGAAAGTCAAAAACATCACAGCATAAAAGTGTTGGCCCACACAAATTATTTTTACACTTACAGCTTTATCTGAGGGGAAGCTAAAAATGTGCAATTTGTCCTGAGGGTGGCGCCAGAGGAAAGATCATGAGGTTTACAGCAACACGCTGTCGCCCTCTTTGTGTGTGATTACACGTGCCAAGTTTACATTATACAAGCAATACAAACAGTATATAATACAAACAAAAACAAATGAATAAAACCAACCACCAACAAAACAAATCAGTAACAGTCAACAATACGGTGGTTTATCATAGAGGAAACGTGACTTTCCTTTGTCCATATTTTAAGATAAATGGTTTTCTTCTATTTATGGTCAATAAGATATGTGCACGTTATCGTTTAAATATACCAAAGAATGAAGAATACAAACATGAATCCAAAGAGTCCTACAGTAACCATAGAAGCCGTGTGTGTGTGTGTGTGTGTGTGTGTGTGTGTGTGTGTGTGTGTGTGTGTGTGTGTGTTACTGTGGTTACTAGTGTCAGTTTGCTCTGATGTCACACTGCAGTGTTGAGTTTCTCTGTCCTCGATCTCCTGCAGAGAGATAATATCTGAAGAGAAGAGACACTAATATATAAAAAAAAGAGGACAGGACACTCGTGCAGATTGTGTCTCAGGTTACCTTCTCTAAACAAGACTCCAACTGACTCCAGGTCAGCAGCTTGAGGGTACGTCTCTCTCTCACGGAGGTAGTTGATGAAGGATGGTGGGACATATGACGCATTTTAGAGTAGAAGTTGTTTTGTGTCTTTTTTAAAGACAAAAGCTATTATTATTCATGTTTTGTCAAGTTGTACAGTAAATACACTGAGGCTTGAATTGTTTGTTTCCTCTGATGTTGGAGGAAGTATTCAGATCCTTTACTCAAGGAAAAGTACTAATACCACACTGTGAAAATACTTGAAAAATGTCCCCTGTGACTGTTAATATATATTATATGATTAGATTATTATCACTCATGCATGGTACATTAACATAATTAACATAATTTAAAGGAAAAGCAAAACATCATATTTTTAAAAAGCTCTTCATATGTTTTGTGTACAAATATCTCAATTTGTAAAGTAACTAAAGTTGACAGAATAATGTAGTGAAGTAAAAAGTACAATATTCATCCCTGTGTGTGTCTAATATCTTCTGCTGTGTGACTCATTTATGTGATCTTGTCACCAGCAGCCTATAGAGGCCTCACAGCTCATTACAAAACCAAACGATCAATCGATTAATGGAGAAAATAATCAGCAGATTAATCCATAATGAAAATAAGCACAAGTTCAAAAGAGCATTAATATTAATGCATGAATAATAATAATATAATTATATAATATAGAATAGTATGACAGTGACGGGAAATATTTATACTTGAAGTACATTTTCCAGATTATACTTACTTATATATATATATATATATACCTTTTTACAGAATATATTTACTGAATATATTTACTGAATATATCTACAGGTCCCCACACTTTTAATTATCGATCAGGAAGATATTGAAGGTTAAAGACAGAGCTACATCCGTGTTCTTCAACAGGAAACTCCCACTAAAGCCGCCGTGGTCTCCGGGCTCACCCTCGACCCTCTTCGGACCTGGTCTTGATGTGGACTGGCCTCGTCTGCGATGGCGGGATCTGGTGTTGCTCTGAGGCTGCATGAGTTCAGAGAGCCTCAGTACTCCAGACAGCTCGATGGACCGACCACGTTGATACCGAAGTGAGTGAGTGAGCAGCATCAGCAATCTAAACGCCCAAATTATGTTAAATCCTTTGAAAAACTACTGATACCGTTTGTGTGCGTATTCTGAGTGAACTTTATATTCCAGATCGTCTCGCCTGGGGAGAGATGTGCATGGATTATATCCAGGACAGCTGGGTAGAGTCCATATCGTCCACTTAAAAGATTGGTAAGGCTGTGTGTGCACTACATGTTTAAAGTCCTGCAGTGAAGTCCAGTAATGTCTTTTATTTTATTTATTGAAGGCCAATAAAAGTCTGGAACTCACACGAGAATAATATGAGATTATTATTATGAGATTATTATTAAGAGATGATACAGAAGGAGCTGAATGTAAAACATCTATAAAAAAACAACATGAATTTAATTTGTTAAAGTCAGATTGTTATGTATTATGAGATTTACTATTTTTTAAGACAACAGTTTGGCCCGAGGGTGACACCACAGATCAATATTGAGTGTTTCCATTGTCTGCTATACTTATTTATCTGACAGCTTTAGTTACGTTATTTTTTTACATAAAAGCATTTAGTTTGAAATTCTTATATAAGATAATGCAGTACTGTAGTAATCTATAGCAGTATACAAAGTATCTCAAATTGGCTCCACATTAACGAACTACAACATTGAAATGCTCTGACGTGAATTTGTTAATGATAACAAGAGAATACTATCATAATCTATGATAATATAACACTTTGAAAGAAGCCATTGTGCGTACTGAGTATTTTTACTATTGATACTTTAAGTACATTTCGCTGATAATACTTCTGTACTTTTACTTAATTAAGTAACATCATTAATTCCTTCCTGAAAGCTTTCTAGTTCAAAGATGGGAGTCCAAAATGTGAAGGGTTCATCCTCTGGGGATGATGAATGTTGGTAGAAAAATGGCTGCTATTGTTTACAATAGTTGTAATAGCCAAGATAAAGTGTAGAAAACAAATGTCTACATGTAGTTGTACTCTGTCTCTCAACATGCTGCAGCTACAGTGTTCAACGTGGACGCTCTCAGTCCCTCAACGAGTCTCTTCAGTCTCCAATCGCTCCGGGTCAAAACTACCAGCAGAGTTTTGACATTCGTACCCTGAGAGCGCTGGCTGTCCTCCGTCACCGCCCTGCTGTCCTGGAACAGCGCCCCCCTCAGACAGCCTACCAGGACCAGTTTCAGTCTCCTCTCTTCCCGCAGTAGTTTAGCACAATGTGCTTTCAATGGAAACAGATGTGGATGGAAAAATGTTATTCACACCAATAAAACACAGAATTCATTCAATGAGGTTTCCAATGTTCAGTGGAGGAAGAAGTATTCAGATATTTTACTTCAGTAAAAGTAGTGGTACCACAGTGTAGAAAGGCTATTTTACAAGCAAGAGTTCTCTGCATTCAAAACTTTACTTGAGTAAAAGTACATAAGTAATAGCATCAATATACTTAATGTACTTTAAGGGCCAGCTCGTTATGCAGAATGGCACATTTTAGGATAATAAATATTATATTATTGGGTTATAAATATTGATGCAAATAAAAATATATATTATTAAAAAAAAATGTAAAAGTACACATTAATACATCAATAATAATAATAGAATAATAATAATAATCCAATAATATAATATACATTATTATAAAATTGTATACAAAAATAGTACTTTTCCTTTTGGTGTAATTAAGTATAGTTTGATACTGTCACGATCTTGGTTTTGATTTGGTTTGTTTCCTGTTTTATTTTGAATTTCCCTGCCTTTGTCCCGCGTTCACGTCACTTCCTGCCTTTGTGTGATTTCCCGCCTTTGTGATTCTCTGCCCCGCCCCTGATAGAATCCTCCTGTGTCTAATCACTTGTACTTCCCCAGTGTATTTAAACACTACAGTGTTCTCCTGTGCCTGTGTTGGTTCGTCTGCTATGTTCCGTTCAATGTCCCCTGCTTTGCTTCCTGGTATGTTCCCTGCTATGCTTACAGGCAGGGGCGTCGTTCGGCCTATTTTAGGGGGGCTGAAGCTATGAACTGAAATCTATGAACTGTCTGAAACAATGTATATCCGCAGCCCCAAATGAGCCCCAAAAAAAAATTGCCGCTAACATGCCACTCCCCTTGGGTCTAAGCCCCCCCTTTCTTTGTATCCTAGAAACGCCCCTGCTTCCTGATATGTTCCCTGCTATGCTTACAGGTACAGTATGTCCCCTGCTTTACTTCCTGCTATGCTTACAGGTACAGTATGTCCCCTGCTTTACTTCCTGCTATGCTTACAGGTATGTCCCCTGCGGTGCTTCCTGGTATGTTCCCTGCTATGTTCCCCAAAAACATCAACAACAAAAACAAATACAACAAAACTAAATACTATATACAAGGACACCAAGACGCAGGTATAATCATTGCAGTTAAAAAGTCACTTGTGGTTAAATAAACATACAGACAATTGTTCCAAAAATAATAACTTTAATCACTTTGTGTTGGCTCAGGTAAGACCTTGATGATTACATTTTTTGTTTCAGTCAATCGGCATTTAAATTTGGAGATCAAATTCCTCAACACAGCATGAAAGGTGGGAACATTACGAGTCACAAACGTATGACTTGCACTTGTCGATCTTGGGATTTTTCAGTTAGTCTATTTGGACTCCCCTGCTCCGTTAGTTTTGTTTGTTTTGGACATTTCTTGTTTATTAAAATTCACCGTGTATCATCCCTCTGTTCCCCCGTGTCTATCTGCATTTGGGTTCATCCCCTGTTGTCTTTTTGCCCTCCATGTTACAGATACTTTTGTACCCGTTAATTGGCAAAACAATTTGAATACGTCACATTGAGCCCTGGAATGTCAGCTGTCAATGAAGTGGAACAGTCCCGAGGCACAATCCGATGAAGTAAGTGATCAAACCTGTGTGGGTGGATCACAGTCTCTGCGTTAGATGAGACCGTGTTCTTGCAGAGAAACAATGCCTGTCGTACGTTGAAACATGAAAATGATCTGTGTGTATGTGTGTGTGTTGGTATGTTAACCACAGAAGCCGGTTTTGTCTGTAACTGGGATCATCACTTAACAAAGAGCCATCTGCAGATTCATTCCACACCTGATGTGTTACGATCCACTAAAGATAAACACAATATAAGTTGAATAAATCCCTGTTTTTGTTATCTTCGCCACCATCTTGACTGGAAGGGACACTTCTCTGTTTGGGAGGAGAGAGGGAGACACATCTGGGCCCAACTTTTGCCCGAAGACATTTTCTGCTACGATTCCAATAAAACACAAATAAGTATATATTGATGTGATATATCCACTTATGTGTGTGTGTGTCAGCTTCTTGAGCCGCGTGTTACAGTGCGACATGTCGGAGTGTTATCGTGCCACAGACTGGACGCATTGCCTCGTGTTACTTTAACCCGGGTACTTTATGTGTATGCTTGCTGTGGGTGAGTTCTGGAAGGAAAACCTTCTTAGCTTTGAATTATGTTTTCATATTTATGCTATTTTTCACTTTGCTCAAAGTCCGTTTCACACTGCTGGGGTTGTAGCTGAAAGAATAAGGCTGAAATTGTCACACATGACATCATTTCACCAAGCGGATGAATAAAGCATCTTCCATTATTATTTATAAGAATTCATGTAAGCAACACATTCATTTAACGGCTTACAGTCGGCACTGCTTGTGCTCAGATCATCATATCAGAAGTCTGTTACTTTCAGCCTGAATTATGTGTTTGTTATAGTTTGCTGTCAAATGTGCCGCTCTGTTGACAGCAGACTTGTCCATGTCTGTGATTGGTCACATGCTTTAAAAACCCGCCCCCTTGATGTGAAGGCACTCACAGCCTCACTCTACTGATTGCACTTTTCCAGTTGATCTTTTTTTTTGGCATTGTGTATATTTTGATTTGCACCTTCTGGACATTTTTGACATTCTATATTTGCATTCTTTCCTTCTTTGAATAAAGTTCCATCTTGTCATATTTCATCCTTTATAATTTACAGAAATATGTTTAATTGCTGCCTTCCTCCTGTTAATAATCTCCCAAACCCGGAGTCACAGGTTGAGCACCACACACATATTTTTTCAAATATTCATATTAAAAAAATGTTTTTCCCCTTTGTTTTATTTGTTTGTTTTCTTCTACATTTATAATTTCATCAATCTTTTGTGTCCTTGCACTGTATGTATGAAGAACTTGATTAAACAAACAACACAACACAAGGATGGGCAGTAAGAGGGTGAAAAGTGTTCATCCAAAGCAAACAAATCTGATACTTCCTGCACGGTAACCCAAATTTTAAAGCCTGTTTCTGTTTTAAATGGTTTTGGTGAACTATGAACGCAGCTGATTATCAGACATAAAAACACAAAAACAGTTCAAGAGTTCAAACATGCTTTCAAACGTTTATTTATGATGAGTAAAGATCTTCAACCACAGTGACTATTTGTATTGAAACAATAAACTACAGTAGATTTGTGAGAACTCTGTAGCATTAAATAAATGGTGTGACTGACAGAGAGACATAAACAAGCTTTATATTCATTTAGCATGGACTTCATGTTTTACTGTATTATACTGTGTGTTGCTGCTGGACGGTGGCGGGAGAAGTATTCAGATATTTTACTGAAGTAGAAGCAATACTACAGTGTAGAAATACTCTGCCAGAAGTGCTGCATTCATACTTTTACTCAAGTAAAAACACGGCAGTATTAGCATCAAAAGTAAAAGTACTCATTATGCAGAATGTCCCATTTTAGAATAATATATATTATATCATTGGATTATAATCATTGGTCCATTAATGTGTGTTCATCACTTTGATGTTGCAGCTATAAATAATTATTTTATAATTATTACTATTGTAAATAATAGAAACACCTCTCTGATAGATTTGTAAAAATGTGTTTGGTACTCACAGGGTACTTTCACTCATCATGCAGTACATTCAGTATTTGTACTGGATATAAAGTGGCGTAAAAAGTCACTTAAATTCCTGCCGAGGTAAAAATATAGATAACTGGACGCAAGTAAAAGTCACACAATACAAGTAAATGTCTTAATAGCACACAGTATTAACTGAACTATCAAATATATATATTTAATGTATATATATATATATATATATATATATATATATAAAAAATGTAATTATGTCTAAAAATCCTATTTTATTATTATTATCATATATGTTGTAATAAGTAATCTGGGGCGAGGGGTAAATAACTGAAACGTAAACATGTCTTACAGTATACTTAAGATTACATTTAGATTGATTTCCATTTGCACACTCTATGCTAATACACACTGAGTTACATATGGGTCACCTCAGTGTCATCTTTTCACCACTTTATGAAAAGACTCCGGAGGTATGTCAGCTCAGCCCTTCTGGAGAATGTTCTAGTGCTTTCTGCCAAGGGAAAGGAATCTAAACAGGTTTTTTCAGACTTCGTGGAAACATTAAGTTGTGTGTTCAATTTCCATGCATGTGTGTTTGTATCGTGACAGAGAAAAACTAGTTGTCCTTCTCCTTTGTGCTGTCAGGCTCATGGCCAACATGAGCTCCAATCGGATTCGGTGGGTCTGCACATTTTAGCATAAAACTGCAAACACAGAAAACACAAACTATCGAAACACAACGTCTGCCATCGGTCACACAACCATTCTATTCAGTGTTCCAGAAGAAGTATGTCCCAATACACAGTACGTCAAATGCAGTATGCCAAAAAATACCAGGATGTGTTGCTGCATTTGAACAGAATGCAAGATAGCATGCTTTTCTATTCTGACCCTCGATCCCCTACCGCAGCGGAAGATACGTGAAATCAACTGCGATGCCGAGAGAGCACAGACTTATGAAAGCTCATCGAGCCACCGGACGTATGAAGCAAGAGGGTCAAAGGTCAAGGAGCAATTAGGGTATGGGCCGACGTTTTTTGCAAGCCCGCAAGAAGAAAACCATGCCAAGAGCAGTTCTCTCTCTCTCGACCGGACACTCGCTAACGTTACACCGGCCTCGCAATACGACGGAAACCCTGACGGATTATTCCAGGCAGACACAAGGGGCTGCATGTGTCCACGACAATGCACGCAGCATCGTAAACGAGTGAAGTGGGGACTGCCTTTTATGATGGATTCAACCTGTTTGTGCATCAGGTTATTAGGCCCAACCGACGAGATGTTAATATCACTTTGCCGTAGTGGTATTGGGTGAGGTTTTATGTAGTTTTGAGAGTACGAGTACATGAGCACAGTATCGGGCCCGACTGGGTTTCGGTGCATCCCTAAGAGCAATGTTATGTCAAAGTACTTTGTCCCTGTATGCATTCTGCATGCAACGTGTACTTTGTAAGTGCAGCAGCAAAGGTAAAAAACTTCCCAGTTTGGATGTGTTTTCACATGGAGGCCACTGTATTTATCAGCCACTGTATTTACTTCAGAGCTTGTTTGCTGAAAACAGCTGCCTGCTGCTGTAGTTGATGAGAGCAGTGAGACTGAACCCATAGACTGTATGTAAGAAGTGGAAGTAGTCGTTGTGACGTCACCCATCGGTGTGTGGACTGATGTTTTAAAGTTTGGCGATTTGGCCGTGGCCATCTTGGATTAAGGCCGTCCCCATCTTTAGTCATCAGTGAACGGAAGTGACCATATTTGGACTGAGGAGTGATGTAGAGGAGTTACGTATACGGCTCTGGTAGCAGCCTGTCAATCACATTAGCCCCGCGCTAAAGCATACTCCTCTTTATAATCTGTTTGACTCTAAATGAACCATCATTTACTAAATGAACATCATGCTGTATAGAAGAAGACTTGAAACTAGAGATTGAGACCATAAACTCATGTTTACAATGTTTACTGAGGTAATAAATCAAGAGAGAAGTAGAGTCATTTTCTCATAGACTTCTATACAACCAGAGGAGTCGCCCCCTGGTGGTCAGTAGAGAGAATCAAGGTTTAAGACAATTCCGCATTGGCTTCACTTTTCAGAACTGGAGCTCACCGCCTGTGTCAAACCAAAATGATGAGCTAAAGGCTAAAAGGCTAAAAAGCCTATAGAGCTCCAGAGTTGGTGACAATTCTCTGATTTCAGCACTTTGAAATAAATCATATTTGAATACACACACTCACATATATGCACACATAAATATAGATAGATATGACACTACGAGACTACACACATGAAACTCTGTCCTGAGTTTGAAGCTGTGTGATTGTGATGCTTTAATGCTGTAATTCGATGCGGAATGCTACAAAAGCTTAAATGTCACCTTCAGGTTACATGAAACCTGCCATGATGATCTGATGTCATCATGGGGTTTTTACAACATGTAATCTGAAGGATCACAGTCGTCACAGAAGCCTTTGTGTGTGGTTTGGTCGTGACTTTGATCATTTCCTTGTTCCTGCTCGCAAAGCATGTGACAATGTGAAGAAAACTCGTAAAGCCGGTTGGTCCACTGGTTGAAGTCAGAATATATAAAATCTAAGATTTTCCTCTGAGACACAGAGCAGCAAAATTCCATCAACAGTGAAAGTTTATACTGCAGATAGAAGAACGAGGTAAGAAGCATCTCTTCTTCTTGTTATGTTTTAGCTGTGTTGCCTGTGCTGTTTTTGTTATATTGTGTGACAAGCGACATTTATATTTGAAATCAGGACTTCACTTGTTCTGTTGCCAAGTTTGTTTAACTCACTACATTAGTTTGAAGCTGGAGAAATAAAGATAATGAAATAACTCACATTAGTCACTTCAAACTAATTTAAAAAATAAATATATTTACTTTGAGACATGTTATTTGTCTCTGTTGTGTACATCTTGTACTCTGTGACTGTTAGTGTTTGTGAATTCATTTAGGATATAATTAAAAGGCAGATGGTGTCTCTCATGTAACATCCTGAATTAAAGGTGCAAATTGTTTCTTATTTTGTAGAGTAAAGGAGTAAAATGAGACATTTTACCATTTAAGCTACTCACAACAAAACCACAGAATTTGTTCTAATTATGAAGTTTTTGTGTGTTTCTCAACATTTACTTTTAAGGACAATAACATACATTTCTGTAAAAAATACAAAAAAGGTTTTGCTTTGTTTCACAAATTTCCCTGAAATGAGGATAAATATCATCAATCAGTGTTGATGTTGACCTTGTCAATATTTTTTTTGTTTTTCAGCATTCTGCAATAATCTGAATCATAACCGACAGTTCATTGGCTTTTTTTTTTGCATCTGCTCCTGACATCTTGTAATCTGTTCTAACCACTACAGGCACCATTTGACTGTAAATGGAGCCAAACACTGAAGATTAGTGAAAATGAGTCAAATGTTTTCATTTTCCCCACAGAAGGTGTTGACATGAAGTTCGGGTTGCTGGTGGTTTTGGCCGTGGCGGTTCTGGTCCCCAGCCTGTCCGAGGGCCGGAAAGTCTCCAGATGCGAGCTGAAAAAATTGCTCGGGGAAGCCATCAACCTGCCCAGACGCATTAAGGACAAAATCCTGGCAAGGGGTGAGGTTAATAAATGTTGGGTTAGTAGTCTGAGGGGTAGAAATGTCAGCTCAAGTCATGAGCTCGTGTCTCGAGTCATCAGCATGAATCACTCTGAAAAAATACAGAGCAGGAAGAGAAAGACTTGTTCCTGCAACCACGAAGAAAAAAAACTGCAAAAATAGAGATGTCCACATGCAGCAATAGAGAAAGTGACTGACATTAATGACATGCAAAAAGTAAGAGTAATAAAAAGTGGATTTTAAAAGAATAGATTTTCACTAATTAACATATTCTCGCCTTTTTCCTCTTTTGCTTCCTGCCATGTGTTTGCATGACTTTTTCACTGCAGTTATTTGTAACTTGGAAGCAAGGTCCCATCTGTACACCAACGGGTATGGCAAACGCAGAACTACAACAACCAGACCAACAACTGCAGTCACAATTCTCTCAACATCAATGACCACCAAGCCAACAACCATTGAGCAAACAACCACCGAAACAACGAGCACCGAGCCAACAACCACCGAAACAACAACCATTGAGCAAACAACCACCGAAACAACGAGCACCGAGCCAACAACCACCGAAACAACAACCATTGAGCAAACAACCAGCGAGCCAACGACCACCGAAACAACAACCATTGAGCAAACAACCACCGAGCCAACGACCACCGAAACAACAGCCATTGAGCAAACAACCAGCGAGCCAACGACCACCGAAACAACAGCCATTGAGCAAACAACCAGCGAGCCAACGACCACCGAAACAACAGCTAGAGTAATGAGACGAAAGCGTGAGTCTGACATGACCAGTGAGGAGCGTGACACAGCAGAGCTGGAGAAAGTGTTGAACATGATAGAAGAAAGCGAGGACGGCGGGATGAGCGATGAAGATGGAGAGAGTGAATCGGACGGAGAGAGTGAATCGGACGGAGAGAGCGAATCAGACGAAGAGAGTGCTTCGGGCGAAGAGAGTGCTTCGGGCGAAGAGAGTGATTTGGGCAAGGTGATGGAGGATCCTCCACTCCACTCCACTTTGTCCTCCACTCTCTTTGAGGACGAAGAGAGTGATTTGGACGAAGAGAAGCAGGATGACATCAGCGGTGAGAACGAAGAGAGCAATGAGGGCGATAGTAAAGAGGAAGACGAGGATGAAGAGGTCGAGGAAGGTGAGAAACGTAAGAAGCGCCACGCCCGTCAGTGGAAGCCCAAAAAGAAGAGGAGATTCGGCTTGTACGGGCTCTTCCAGCTGTCTGACCTGTATCACTGTAAGTCGGATAGAGGCTGGTCTTTTAACGTGTGCCAGACAGCCTGCAAACGTGAGTCTTTGATCAAAGAGACATACAGAAATTATTATTATTAAAAAACGAGATGTTTGACATTTAAATAACTGTTCCTTCTTTCCCCAGAATCCTTCACCGATGACGACATAATGGATGACATTGACTGCTTTGTGAGGTCTCGTTCCTGGATGTAAGTTTGCACAGCAAAGTTAAAGTGACGCTTCACCCTCATGGGATACTCCACCCAAAACATGATTATAATATTAAGAAAGCAAAAAGATATTTGGTTCCAAATAAGAAAGAAAATGAGTTATAGAGCTACATGTGTTGTTGGAGGAGCAGCCTGCCCCATAATGTCAATTGAATGTGATTAATTCAGAGTTAGTAGGAGCAGCCATGCTGTTGTTTTGAGTTGTGAGTGAACTGGACCTCAGAAAGAATATTTGAAAAAAATTATTATTACAGTGGTTTATTTACAGCATATACATACGTACATTTATAAGTTTATACAGCCTTCTTAGAAATGCCACATTTGATTTTCAACAAAAAAAGTGATTTGCTCTACAGCTGCAAAAATTGTCAGAAATTCCGTGAAAGGTTAGACATTTATATTTAAAATGAACTGTTTTCTTCTGTGTGTTGGTTTTTTGGAGTTTATGCATTTTTGTGGAAAGGAAGGTTTCTTTTATTTTTATTATAAATTTGTGGCTGAAACCTGTGTTGAGCAGAACCTTCTCAGCATGAAAGGGATCTCTATTATTTTAAACAAAAACGGAACATTATAACCTTCATGAAGGGAGGATTTACTGCAGGACACATGCTGCTTACTGACTAACTATAATAACTGCTGTTTTAACTAATTATTCCACTTTGTCCCATCTAAACAGAACTGTGTTGAGGAAATCCCTTCCCCAGTGTAAAAGACTCAACCTCCACAATTTCTTTGGACACTGTAAATGAGCAGCGGGCACATTTTCTACATGCAGGATGTCACACCAACATGTTTATCTCCCAGACATTGTGAAGCATTTTACATTTTCTCACAAATTAATCTGTGATATTTCTTTGACAAAGTCATTTGTTTTCGTTTGTGGCTGAATTCGCCTCAAAACATCACCAGTGATGAGAGTTGAACTGTATCTCAATACTTTCAATAGTTTTGATGATATTGTTGCATCACTTTAATCTACCGTAAAAAAATATTTGGTGAGTAGAAATACAAAAAAATATGATTCTTGTATCTTTTGCTATATCTTACAATAAAGATGTTTTTCTGCATATTTGTGTTTTAGGAACATGTCTACTATGAGAACACTGACTGATCAAAGTTAGATCTTTTCTGGTCAGACTATTAATTCTGACAACATAAAGTAATAATTAACAATCAGAATGCTCTAACAGGCCTCATGGATCTCTTTAAATAGAAATGTAACTTCTGGGCCACCTTTCCACTGCTGCGATATTAAACCCAGTTTCCCAGTTTAAGGATTCAAGGTTTTATTATCGTTATGCAATACAGGATTAGATAATGATCTATCTATTTGACTCTAAATGGACCATCATTTACTAAATGAGCATCATGCTGTATTGAAGAAGACTTGAAACTAAACTTAAACTTATTATCATCGTCATATATATATATATACATATATAATTTGTTGAACCTTTTATTTGTTTCCAGTTATATTAACCGAGGTTACACCTAGAAACAAAATGCGTGCAGATTTAAATAGTAGCAGCTTCCTGTTTCGGTGTCAAGTGTTTCACAATAATGCAGCCTATCGCAGCCTGTAATTAACAGGCAACATGTTGCTTTAGTATCTGGCCACAGTGACAGCAGGAGGCTGTGAGACGATGTGGGTCACTTTCCCTTTTTCTGCTCCTTTACACACAACCTATTGTTTTCTGATCAGCCTGGAGAACTACAACAGCTTAAGTATTAAAAGTAAAAAGATAAATTAAAAGAGTTCTGGATCCACAGCTAATCATGGCCTAATTCATTGTTTGAATTCAGGCCTTCTTGCTCAAACAAATTTAAATTTAAATTTAAAGTGGAGACATGTTTCACCCCCCATGATAGATGAATTAAATTTATCAAACTTGAGGAAATTAGATTCTCCCTTAAAGGCTCCTTGAAAACCGTTAATAAAATAGGGAGACCCTTTCACAACTTGTAACTTTTGGATTTGTTTTCTGTGTATTTGTTTAGTTGTGCAGTTTGGTGGCTCGTGGGCATTACTAGTTTGGTTCTGATGGGGGGAAACTAACAGGCCCTGAACTCGTGTACATTTTCTTTTGTGCTTATAAATCTGTGCAAAACTGCAACAAAGATATTTGGGGGAAAAGAAAGTTCAATAAAAGAACCTTGATGGAAAAAAAAAATAGTTTTTTGCTGAAACTAGTTGTTCCGCTGCTCACCTTTCACACTGCTGTGATGCTTTTCTTCGTATTCACTGCTGTCACATTGCCGACATCCGATCCTGAAATAATGAATATGTTGTGATTACGTGAGAAATTAAATGGTGTCACCTTATCTGGTTTATAGTCTCAGGGCCCGAGTCTTTTCAACAGCACGAAGGCGTGACCTGTAAATGAGAAAAGATGTTTTCAGGTAGATGGATCATCCTCCCCCCCCCTCGACCTCAGAAACCAGCTAACTGGGAAATTTGGAGCAACTTTGTGCTCTTCCTGAGCCAATTGTTCCCAGGAGTCATGGGAGCGGCCTTTATGGAGAACAAAAGATGCAGGTTCTCTGTGATTCGCCACCTCAGAATCTGCAGACAGTATATATATATATATACTTCGTGTATCGTATGATTTCAGAGAGTCAATATGAGGGTACTTGTGGCGTTTCTCTTGTCGGTGCTGGGCTGCAGTCTGGCTGAAGGGCGACTTTTGTCCAAATGTGACCTGAAGAATGAGTTTGTCAACCTGGATTTGAACTTCGTGGCAAAGAGTAAGTGCTGCTTGTAACTTTTACATAAGAAACACAGAGGCCTTCTATTTATGGGTTTAAAAATAAATAAATGTTCAATATTTTTGTTAACTGCAAGTAAGAAACGGATGAAAAATTGCAGCTTCGTTTAATGTGATTCACGATATTTCTTTTGGTGAAAAATGAACATTTGTTTTCAGACTTGAACAGTTTGGAAGCTCCTGGACTGAATCTGTATCGCCATACTGATTTTATGTAAACCAGCATGACCCTTTATGTCTTTAAATTGTTCTTTTTATCCACATACACTTGTATGGATGCACATAAGTATAACAGTATACATCTATATATGCAGGTGGAAGTGTATACTGTATATACATATATGTATGAGTGTACGGTACTTTACACCTTTAGTCTAAAGTTTAGACTAAACGGTAAAAAGTTGAATGTGACGGCTTTTTTGCGGCTTTTTCAAATAATACAAAATCAAATAGAAAGAAAATAAAAGTATCTAGAAACCTGAGCGCATCACACATCACATAACACAACTGTAAATGCATTTCATGAATTCAAATAGAAACTACAAACAACATTTTGCATAAATTATTTGGACAAAAATCCAGGTCAGAAAAATACAAAACAAACTTAAAGGGGAGAGATCTGAGATTGGGAGCATTACAATTGTCTCTCACCGGCTCTATGGAGCAGAGGAATGAGATGTATCAGCCTTTGGAAACACACACACACACACACACACACACACACACACACACACACACACACACACACACACAATAATTGTTTGGGTCTGCACATGATATTTGCTTGCATTAATAATACAGAATATCAGCAAAACGACCCTTTAGGTTAAGTTTTGTTCAGATTAAAGTTGTCAAGAGGTATGGCATTAGAGTAAAGCTCACATTGTGCCCAAAATTCACGACAACTTTGTGAAAAAACCCACCTGTTATATTTAGATATTATATATATATATATATATATATATATATATATATATATAGATTGTATGCAAGTAGAAGTTTTTGGGCTGATGGTGGCGCCAGAAGAAAAAAGAGGGGGTCAGAAAGTCATTGGGGATCATCCTCTGGGGATCAAGAATATCCACAGCGAATTGAAGATTGCCCAGGAGTTTGTGAAAGTGTGTTTCTTTATTCTCTTCCCTTGCCTTCAGTTGTCTATTATGTGGAGCGGATGTCGGGCTTTAACACCAGTGCGGTGACTCACGAGACGGAAGACCCCGGTAGCGAGAGGAGGCATGCGAAAGATGGCGGCACAGTCTGGCCCCACAGCGTCACGCCAAGGAGCGCCAAGATGTCTCCGGGACCCAGCGGGCCTCCACACCAGGACGAGGAGGCCCCGACGTTCTATGGTCTTTTCCAGCTCAGTAATCTCCTGGCCTGCAGCGACGGCACGACTCCGTCCCCCGACATCTGCTCGATGGACTGCAACGGTGACTTCAGTTTGTGTTTGTTTCCATATTTATGTGTGAACGTCATTGTCACAACTGAGAAGGTGTTAGTGATCTACCAACCAACCGTGTCCTCAGGAGAAGCGAAGCATTTTTAGACTCAAGTTACAACAAGTTCAACCTGCATCTTTGACTTAAAACAGTAAACTTGTTTTCTTTCCAGACTTCATTGACGACGACATAAGTGACGACTTAAAGTGCCTGTTGAAGGTCCATGCTGCGTTCATGTAAGTTCAGTTTTAAGGTTCTTCTAATACTTGAATATTCATGCAACTTGATACTTCTACTCCATCTCAAAGGTAAATATTGTATTTTAGTTTTACATTTGTCTGACAGCGTTAGTTACAGTTCTTCATCTCCTTCCTGTCCAGTTTAAACCTGGTATCTCCAGATGTGTTGATGTTGAATGTTTGTGATGAACTGAAGGATGAAATGTTCCTTTATGTGTTGATAAAATCCTCCTACTTCTTCAGATGAATAAACTCTTTAAAAAGCCTCGTGGATCAGCTGGAAGATGCTTCAGAACAAACCTGACAACAGGTTGTTTGTTCTTTAGATACGAGGTTCTCACAGGACAGAGACGCTACAAACACGTGATGATCTTATAGAATAAGATGCTTTGATGTAGATTAAACTAGACAACAGGATATAAAGGAGTTAAAAACATCTACAGCAGTGAAATACAACATAGTGGAATATTTTCACAGTGTGGTTTTAGTACTTTTGCTTGAGTTAAGAGTGCTGTGAATGACTGAACTGAATTTCTAATGTGAATACTTCCACAGGAGAAATGCTTTAGGGGGGCCCCACTGCGAAAAGTTACAGCAAAGGTGGGTAATGTATTCCAATGTTATCAACAGTGAACAGAAGTGATACAGAGGCAGTTTAAATGGTCAGTTGTGAATGCTGGAGATTGTCCTGGGCTGATGTTAGAGTCGCAGCCTAAATTATGTTCCCAGTTCTCATTTTTAACTTCTAGTTTCCTTTAGCTGGTTCCTTTTTGGTAATCTGTCTTTCAAATACAAGAAATTCTGAATGAATTACCGTTTAATTGTGACATCAATACTTCACAAACAATATTAACATCTCATTTGTTTATTTGCAGGTACATGCACATCTACCGGGAGTGCGGAAATAAAACCTCTGACTACCTCAATGAATGTGAGCCATAACTATCACTGGAGGGATTCACCTTCTCTCAAATGAGTGGTCATCTATGCCAGTAATAAAGTGAAGCAGCACGTTACACCCGTAACATCCAATAGTATCTGAGCTTTGTTGTAGAAAAAAGTGACACAATGTGTGCTTATGAGGGAATGTCCTCCGAAATGTGCATGTCATTAAAGATTATTGAAAGGCTTTAAATTGCTCTGTAGAAATGATTACTCACTAAAGAGTCTTATATTTAAAGTCACGGATGTAAGGAACTGTGCAAAGGTTATTGGTGTGGGGGGGTATTTAATTTTATGGAAAAGAGTTTAAAAAAACATCAAGTGCAACATCGTCCCCCAATAACTCAATCCCCAAGATTTTGTATGTTAAAATGATGAAAATACAGCCATCATTTTAATAAACAGTTACGTCAAAGTCATGGAATGAGAACAGACGGCTGATTTTGATGAGAACGTTAAAACCTTCAAATGGGGGATTAGGCCTACAAAACGTTTAAAGACCCTTACCTGCCTTCCCGGGGAAGGCCGACAACCTTCCTTCAGCACAAAGACAAATACTTAACAACCTCCACACAGTAACAACAATTAAAAAAGGGAAAAGAAACTGCAGCAATTTTCACAAAAACAAGTTTTTCTTCTCAAACCTCTCGAACCTGAACTCAAAGGAGAGCAGCGTCTTTCCCGAGTAACATGATGGAAGTTCGATATAAACATTTTCAAGACCGCCATCAATGTGCCAAAATGTTTATTGTCATGTAAACATTTATGCTCATGGTTTATGAGCATAACATTCATTTTACTAGCTGAAAGATAATTCAATGACAACATACTGTGAGTCAGTTTTATATTAGTATCAACATAACATATAGTATTTTACTTCTAACGCATGCAGCATATATACTGTACAATTCTGACCCTTGTGCCTCACTGGGGACATTTTTGGCTTTTTCATTTTTCATAAAAATTTGGTGAGGTTGTGAGTTTTATTTCCAAATTTTGGAAGTTCAACTTCAGCTTATAAAATAAATAGGAGCAAAAAAATAACAACAATATCAATGTTGTTGTTAATCATTGACATATCCCAACCTCTGATAATCTCCCCTAAAGGTATATGGAAACAAATTCATTGTTAGTGGGGTTTTTCATAAAAGACAACAGTCACATTATGTAAACAGACTGGCATTTAAGAGGTTAAAATCCCCAAAATAAACTAACACTTGGGTCATCAACGAAGTCATGATCCGGAATGTCTGAATCAAATGTCCTCATCAAACTGTTGATATTTGAGTCAGTATCTGTTCAGAGCGAGTGATTGTTTGTCAAAAGGCAACACAATGAAGACAAGTCTGCGACAGTAACAGAGTCAAGTGTGACCTCTAGTGGTGACAAGTCAGAACAACAACAACATAACTCCAGCAGTATTATCGTCTTTTTTAACTCTTGTGCCTTACTTTTAAAAAAAAGTTGCTCTCATGTAGCTAGAGGACAAACATGTCTGTGTCAAAAAACAGCTATAAAAGTATTATATATTAATATTGTGTTAAATTTTTCAACCAACATCCGTCCTGATCACAACTCTTGACTTTTCCTCTGTTGCCACCAGCAGCTTGACATTTAATTTTTTTAGTAATATATGTTGACAACTATTCGATGGGTTGCAGTGAAGTTTGCTCCAGACATTCATGGTGCCCAAAGGATGAATCACAGTGATTTAGGTGATTCCTTAACTTTTCCTCTAGCGCCACCAGCATGTCAAAGTTTTCACTTATCCTGCGGAATATCTCATCATCTAATGATGGATTGGCACATGTCAGAATTTCAAACAGACGCAAATTATTTATAAGTAAAACAACCGCATTTTAGGTCTTAGACGCCCGGCTGGTGCTCACTGGGTCAGAAGACTGTGCACGGGATGAGGGAGGAGGGAACTCCTTGTAGCAGCAATCTTTTCTCTGTCCGATAATCCACATTCAAATAAATGTAATGTCAATGTATGAGCTGTAGGTGGCGACAAAACGCCAGCTTTCTTTTCTTAGGCACTGAGTTACCTGCAAGTGCAAAAAACAGAACAACCGGAAACTAAAGGATTTTGCCCTCACAATAATCTATCTATCATTTGTGCTAGTGTTGAATTATAAAGACTACTTTTATTTGTACAATATGCATTATTTACCGGGTTAGTTTTTTATTTATTTTTTGTAATTGTATTACTGTTTTCTGGAGTCCTGGATTCTTTTTTTGTATATGTATCCATATACTGTATGTATATATATATATATATATATATATATATATATATATATATATATAGATATATATATATATCTATATATATATATATTTTGTATGTACTCTGGCCTCTAAATACAAATGAAGTGTCACTTTGTACTAGATTTATGAAATGATTTGTTTATTTGTTTTGTTTTTTTCTTTTGCATTTATTAGTTTACTGGTCTATTCATCCACCTCTCCATCTCTCCATTCATTCATCTCTTTTGTCCCCTGACATATCTAAAAAAAAACAACTAAAACAACAACTTTATTTGGAAGAAGAAGAAGAACCGTACTGTGATGACGGCCGGTTACGTCATCAAGGTGTGTTTTTCTTAACACAGGTGGGCAGGTGAATCGGTTTTTGTTCTCACTGCACACACGCGCTCGGGCTGAAGGGTGACTGTTTACCGAGTGAGCAGAGTTTCTATGGAACATTAAGAAGGAAACCAGGAACTGCCGTGACACAAAAACGCCACATGCTGTTGTGAAAAGTCTGCGTGTCTAATGTGTTTCTAAGTCAGACTCGTCGGGTTCTTATTCGTTGAGTTTCACGGGCTGAAAAGATGCTGCTCGGTGTTGCGTTCACGGTCCTGCTCCTTCTGATCAGCGGAGTTTCTGCAGGTAAGTGGCTGAACTCACTGACAGCATGTTATGTTGGGGGTCTTCACATGCTTCTGTTAAACTAGAACACTGTTGTTGTTTTAAAGTGGAAAAAAATAGATGAAGAATATGAAGTAAAAGTGACACTTATGATGTTTCACTGTTTATAACTCAACATTACGTGGACCCTGGTCATTCGTGATGGACGTTGGTCATTGTTAAAGTTTTTTGTAACACTGGTTTAGTAAAAAAAAAATTCAATTAAAATAAAAGATAAAATGTGTTTTAGAACATGTTAAATATTTTCAGAATCAGAAAAACCATCCACGCTTGTGATTAGTGCTGACACGTTTAGTATTTTCTCAAACTCTGTGTTTAATCCTTTATTTAAACACTCATTCGACTCATTGTTCTTCTTGACAGTGGTGGAAGGAGGATTTAAATCTGTAAACTCCAACTTGACTGTTTGGATTGAGAAGGACAATTCTAGTTTCTACTTCAGACTTTTGACATTTTCTAGATGTTACGAACAACATTTGTTAATTGATTCATCCGATAACGATTGATGGATAAGTCCATAATGAAAATAATTGTTGTTGTTTTTTTCCTTTTGAGGAATTAACGCTTTAGTTACGACTTTTAGCATAATTTGAGTGACACTGCATATAAATGGAGAGTTGTAAATGTGGTTCAGGTCCAGAGGTTGTTTCTAACCATTTTATTATCGGCTTAATAAGTAGCCTTCATAATTACTGACTTTTTGTTGCTGCAAGGATCAGAGTTTAAAATAATTCCAACAGTTGTAATACGTTATAATCTTCTATGCATTATAATGTGATTATAAATTCATTTTAGTGGTATTTTTTTTTACTTAAAGCAAACAGTTAGAGCAATTTATAATCAAATTGTAATGCGTAATGACTACCAGGTGAGACGGTAGCTGAAGAGATGACGAGGGCGGACTCGTGATGGAATGCTGAAGAGCAGCCAGAGAGCTACTACACATACCTGTTGTGGTTGTTGTCGTACTTGTACTTCCTTATTGTTGTCACAGCGGCGTCATGATGTAGGACAAAAGGTTTGATACTACGACGGTTTCTCTAAAAGTATATCTTTTGAAAGTTGTAATATACATCACAATATATTGAATTGTGTTCTCCACATCATGATGCGTATAGTGACCCTGAGCACTTACTGGAATACTGCAGAAGCGTTGCGTTTGTTCGCTGTTCAAGCAGGAGTTGACCACAGCTGACATCAGTTTCATGTCTGTGCATTCAGTAGAGAAGGTCTGCGGTTAGCTTAGCTTAGCACAGAAACTAAAGCTAATGCTGCTAACATATCTTATCATATCATATCTTACAACCAATGTTTATTTTGCATTTTGCATCCTTTTTATTCAGCGTGTAGAAATACATGTGGCTTAAATAAAGCAGTTGGATTACACTTTGCTTCTACTTTACTGACAGTGTGTACATTTACTGAAGTACTGTGCTCCAGTGCAAATTCAAGGTACTTGTACTTTTAAGGCTATTTCCAATCTATGCAACATTATACTTTTCCTCCACTACATCTCGGAGGTAAATGTTTTTATTTATTTATTTATTTGCATCTTTATTTACTTGTGAGATTCCCTTCCTGTCCAGTTTAAACCTGGTATCTCCAGATGTGTTGATGTTGAATGTTTGTGATGAACTGAAGGATGAAATGTTCCTTTATGTGATGATAAAAGTGTGAACGGTGTTTACTTCAGTGAAGTTATGGCCGGCTTCTATCGTATGAATCCATATGTCTGATTAGATAGTATTCTGTGTTGGCTGTAAAAGGTTCAAAAAGACAATTTGGTGTCCAGTTTATGAGGTGCACCTGGATAAGCTTATGCAGTCTCACACAACAATAGTTCCACTCTTCATGAAGGTTACAACGTTCAGAAATGAGTTTCCTCTGCAGAGATAAAACTTGAACTTCTATTTCTCCTCACAGGGGAATTTGATTTCCCTCCCGTTGATCTGAAGGAGGAGGACTCGGCGGTCGTAGTGAGTTTCACACATCCCCTCTGCTTCTACGGAGCGCCGACGCAGACGGATGGAGCCACGTTTAAATTTACCGTCTCGACAGATGAGGTAAGTGCAAACGACGACGTTTAAAAGACTTTACCGCAGGAGGCGCTGCATGTGGAGGATGGGAGCGTTTCAAGAAAAGTCTTTCTGGACGGCACAAAACAAAATGCAGAGGTGTAATGTTGTTAAGATAATGAAAGCAGAACAACTCGTTTCCCAACACACTGGAGTTCAAATGCTTTATTCATTATTTCAATAAAACTGTCTATGTAAACTGTATTAACTGTCTATGTCCTGTGGCTTTCAGGCAGATGTGAATGGGTCTTGCACGGCGCAACAGAACATCTGCAAACGTTCTGTCTCGTTTCCGGAGGGCGTGGAGAAGTGCGTCGCGCTGGAAGGATCGTTTGACGGGAATCGCGTTGGCGACGTGTCGTACTCGTACAGGGAGACGGGACGCATCTGTCTCTCCGGTGAGTCCCGTGCTGCTGGGAGAGCGTCTTCAAAACATTCACCTTCTCAAAAACGTGCTGATGAAATGTGTTTGACTCGAGCACATTTCATCAGCACAAATACACAGCGTGGACTTCATCAACAGGAAGTGCTGGAAGTATTCAGATCCTTTCTGGATTAATATCACTGCTGCATTCATGTGTATGTTGCTTGTAACTCCTTTATATCCTGTTGTCTAGTTTAATCTTCATCAAAGCATCATATTCTATAAGATCATCACGTGTTTGTAGCGTATCTGTCCTGTGAGAACCTCGAATCTCTAAAAAGAACAAACAACCTGTTTTCAGCTTTGTGACGATGCATTTTCCAGCTGATCCAAGAAGCTTTTTAAAATATTTCTTTTTAGCTTATACCAGCTAATCTTTCCTGATTTCCTGCAGTCCTGTCGCCAAAAAACGTGAAGCTCAACTGCCAAAATCTGAACGTCTCAGTCAGCTGGGAGTACAGCGAACAGAAGCCTAAAACCAGCTTCAGGGTGCACGTCGGAGGATCTGCTGGGTGAGACTCAACTCTTCTTTCTTTGATAATTCTTGACTTAGTTTGATTTATAGCTAAATGTAATTGAAGTTTTGCACTTTAAAAAAAAAAAACAGTGGCAATACATGAACCTATTTAGTGCTGAAATTCCATAGATGCAAATTATAATACTGGATTGATGAAGTCAATTAGTGGATGTGGCGAGAAGGAGAAACATTTGACCTCATTCACCAAATATTCTCAAGGAGAAATTTCTTCTTAAAATCCACTCACGCAGTTTTCACGAAGCTTCTGACGTCCACCAATGTTTTCAGCAAGAATCAAACGCAGATTTAAATCATATTTTCATTACCTTAGAATGAGACGTTTGTATTTACGTAAACGGTTCTCTTCACAGAGCCCAGAACCACTGGATGCCTCCGAATCCTTCACACTGGCCCTTTAAGTCATAAGAAAAAGATGAAGTCATTTACTAAGTAAAAGGATCACCCTCCTTCGGCATCGTGTAAACGTGGGGGGGGGACGAGCGTGTTCCGTGTTCCCGAATGCTGTTCTTTGCGTGACGATCTGATTGAGTGAAATGACGGGTTGTGATTCTCATTTTTAAGGCATCTCGTGAGCGACACCACAGAGCATCAGTACGATCTGAGCCACTTCGTCTGGGCTTCTGAGGAGCGCTACTTGGGCTTCCATTATGTCACCGTGACGGCCAAAGAGGGAGGCAACCAGTCCGAGTCGATACCATCGAGCACATTCACCTTCAACCATTTAAAAACGGCTGAAATATCCCGTAAGTAACGTGTAGTTTAAAAAGTGTGTTTATTTCCCTGCAAATCAGAGAGAAGCCACGAGAGTGTGGTTGAAGTTGGAGAAGAAGAGTTCTGAATGGATATAAAACTTGACTTTCTCTTCTCAGGTAAATTAGATTTCCCTCCCGTGGATCTGATTGAGAACAAATCGGGGGCCACATTGAGTTTCATGAATCCGCTCCTCTTCTACAGAGAGCTGAAGCAAGCTGCCAAGTCGGATTCTGCCAAGTTTAAATTCACTGTCTCTTCAAATGATGTGAGTGCAATAATGTTGAATTACTGTATTTGAAGGACGGGTGGGAGACTCGGATCTGATGGAACCAGTTTTGTTTAATTAGAACGAGGGATTTGTTAAGAGATCCTTTCACCCCAGAACAATAGATTTCAAATTCTTTATTCACTATGCGAATATGCAAATGAGATGTTAATCAGCTACGCTGTGTGACTTTCAGGGCGATTCTGAAGGAGCTTGCACAGCTCAAGAGAAAATCTGCAAACTTAATATCTTGATCCCCGAGGGCGCGGAGAAGTGCGTAAAAACGCTGAAGGGATGGTTGTTCGAAGGGAGCGAAGTCGGCTATGTGGAGTTCAGAGAGATGGGCCTCCTCTGTGCCAGCAAATCAAAGGGTAAGTCTGAACTGGGAAGACTTCTTCAAAAATGTATCAACTGCATCAACAAAAAAAGGGTCTGTGCGCTTTTTTTGTTTGATGTTTCTGGTTTTACAAAGATTAAATGGAACAGCGGTCACATGAAATATAAAATAAATCAAGCATGTTGACTTAATAAACAGCATGGATACTGTTATCAACAGGAAGTGGTGGAGGAAGTACTCAGATCCATTACTCAAGTAAAAGTACTAATACCACACTGTGATAAATACTCCACTACAAGTAAAAGTCCTGCATTCAACACCTTACTTCAGGAGAAGTATGTCAGTATTATCAGCAAAATGTACTTCAAGTAAAAGTACTCACTGTGCAGTAAAATGTTCGCCGTTAGTGTTTTACTGTAATATGCTTCTGGATTAATATTACAGCTGTATTAATGTGTATGTTGAATTTTATCTCCTATATATCCTGTTGTCTAGTTTAATCTTCATCAATGCATCATATTCTATAAGATCATCACGTGTTTGTAGCGTCTCTGTCCTGTGAGAACCTCGTATCTCTAGAAAGAACAAACAACCTGTTGTCAGGTTTGTTCTGAAGCATCTTCCAGCTGATCCAAGAGTCTTTCTAAAGAGTTTATTCATCTGAAGAAGTAGGAGGATTTTATCATCACATAAAGGAACATTTCCTCCTTCAGTTCATCACAAACATTCAACATCAACACATCTGGAGATACCAGGTTTAAACTGGACAGGAAGGAATTTGTACTTAAAATAGAGGCTCAACTGTTCGATGCATTGAACCGCATTAAGTTCAGATAAACTTAGACTGTGGAGTTTGTGCCTCATCTCTTATATTATAAGTATATTCAGAGGAATCACCAAAAACAAATCCAACTACAGATCTCCTGACTTGAAATATAGTGAACCTATCCTTCAAAATAAAAGCGCTCCAGCACCTGCGCTAAATCCCCCCCCCAAAAAAATCCAATCGTTGATCGAACTAAATCACTAAATCAAATGTTTTTTGTGGATTGCAGAGGTCCACGTGCTACTGCTTGTTATACTGCTGTTCGTCTTCGCCATCGTAAGCAGTGTGATAATAATCGTCATCTGTAAGGTGAAAGCCTGGACACTGAATGTGCCGCCGAAGCCAAAGCCTCTGGTAAGGTGTCAAATTGGAACAAAAATATATGTATATTGGCAATGACGTTGTTTTTAAAACCTTTGTCTGTCCATGTCTTCTCGTTGCGTAGATCTCACTGCAGCCAAACCACAAGGCGGGGGACCTGAGGTACGCTCCTGTGTCCCGTACAGTCATCAGCCCCGTTACCCTGACTGACAAACTCTGCAAGAACCCTTCGGTCAGCTCCGGGGAGGAGGACGACCTCCAGGACAGCGGCGTCGATTCCCGGCGTCGATTACTCGCCAGGCCGTACGCGGAGGGAGGACTTTCAGAGGGATACGGGAGACACGAGGACTCTGCGGACGACTCGGAGAAAACTGAGATTGTTTCGATGGATTTGGAGGAGGAGGAGGTGGAAGTAGAGGGGGAGGGGGGGTCGGGCTACGAACGCCGACATATTTGCCAGGTGGACATGGGCAATGGAGACATGGCCACGGGTTGCAGCGAGGGGTAAACCAACTGACGAGAGGACTTGATTTGGGATTAAAGTTTGTTTTATTGATGGTTCTAACTCACTCAGGACTACGGTCACATGTTCGGGACCGAGTACGCACTCTAGAGCCCGAACAAGTACACTCAGGGAGGTGCTGCCTTTGCTCAAGAGACATCTCGGAGACATTCGTGCCTTCTTCTTTCTGACTACACTGATAAAAATGCACTGACCTTTAAGGATGTCGTTGGTTTGCTTTGTGAACTATTTTTGGAGGAAATTTAAGGTGGAGCCTGACGCTTCTCTACGAAATCAAAGAGCTGCAACACGAAGGATTAAAAAATGCAGCAAAAAGAAGAGAATACAGACTCAGAGCGGTGACCTTACAGTCACCTTCCATCCCGCTGAGCATCTCTTACCTTTAGCCAGTCTCGGCTCCTGTCAAAAATACAACCGGTGAGATTTTCATCTCAGGAAAAACAAGTTTCACAAGAAGAACCGACCGCAGGTCGTAGATGTATCGGTGGTTGTTATGTGTAGCTGCCAGTCATGAAGGGAAGTGGCTCCAGGCTTTGTAAAAACGCGACAGTTCAACCAAATGACACGCCAAAAAAAAAAAAAAAGCATTTTCCCACTAGCAGCAAGTGGTTATTTAATCACGCAGACAGTTTACGTGTAGTCTAAAGTTTTCTGCTGCTGGGTACAAATGTAATCTCTTTATGATTTCACAGGGACTATTTCTTCTGTAGAAAGTAGTTCTGATGGAAACTATTTAGTACCACTTGAAAATAAGAAAATCTTGTTCTGGCATTTGGGTCAAAGACAATTTTAACAGTTTTGTTTTCAATGTTGCGAGTTAAACCGAGCTCCTTGTACATTGTGGACTTTCCGCCCATGACAGATTGTTGGGTGTCATAAATAGCTTTCTGCCTCGCTAACTGTGCCACACCTAATCAGTCATCGCTGTCACTGCTGGGACACCTGCAGAACTGGCTCCGGTGGTGACGAGTGAGTGTTTCTATTGTGTATGCATCGAGAGCGTTCTGTTTGTTTCCATGACTTCAGGGTTTTAATGTTGTGTGAACTTCTCTTTTTATAAAGTGGCTGTAAATAGATTCAAACAGGAATTAGTTTGAGGGTTAAACACCGAAGACGAACTTTTATCCAGAATGATGTTCTTTTAATATTATTTGAATTTATTTGATCTGATCAACATACTCACAGAAAGTTTACATTTAATGTTTTTAATAAAGGGACATAAACAATATTGATATTTTCTTTTGTGAAGTCTAAACAAGGGTTGAGTATCGATAGGAAACCTTTGATATGATGGCGGAGTTTTAGCACAAATACCAAAAAAAAAAAATCTTTATTTAAATTTTCACATTTTTGGAAATAGGTTTTCAGACAGAGCTGGATGAGAATACTGATACCACTCTTATAAATATGGAACTGTCAGCAGCCAACTCATTTTAGCACACAGAGAGAAACAAACATCCATAAAGCTCAGTTATTAACAGGTTATATTTTATGAAGGCGGTGTCAGACTGTGCCTAGTTTCTTTAAGAGCCACCGAAACCCCCCCCGTTAACATGGCGGTTTATTGTTTATACACTTCTGTTTTTAAACAAGATATATGGCATTACTATTGAGCTTTAGAAGAGCTAAGGATGCTAACTGCTAACGTACAGACATGAGTGGTATCATCAGCCAGGCTTTAGTATTCCTGGATTTCAACGAGAGATGTTCCGATACCTTTTTTTTTTTTTTTTTTTTTTTTTTTTTTAAATTTACAATACCGATTGAGATGCCTGAGCAAAACCAGTGTGTCTGTATATATTTAAACATCTCCAGATGATTTGAGGAAACTCGAGGGTCTCGGCACCCCGCCCCTCCTCCTGTTTGTGGCTCGTTTTGTCAGCTCCGCTCAAGTGAAGCGCCGCGTGTCCACCGCTGACGCCACCAGCGGTCTGTGCGGGCAGAGTTTCGGCAGTTCGTAACTAAAGCTTCAGGCCTTGAACGTTCGTTCTCAGGTTCACCATCTGCTTCTCCTGTCGGACTTTTTCTTCCATGAACGCCATCTTGTTGGCTTTCTTCTCCACTCTCCGCTCCTGGTCAACACACAGAGGTTAGAATTTAAAAACATATTTTCATGACAACTTCTCCTCCGTGGTTGGCATTGTGTAACTTTTCTTATCGTGAAAAAGGATTGACTGCAAAACTGATGACGCCCTTCTTTAGGTAAACATTTGAATCCAGGTTGTCTGCAGAGTAAACAAAGACTGACCGTCCTCTGGTGTAATTTGGTGATTTGTTTTTACTGCTGGCTTTATGGTCCATTTGACTCTAAATGAACATCATGCTGTATTGAAGAAGACTTGAAACTAGAGATTGAGACCATAAACTCATGTTTATAATGTTTACTGAGGTAACAAATCGAGAGAGAAGTAGAGTTATTTTCTCAGACTTCTACACAACCAGAGGAGTCGCCCCCTGGTGGACACTAGAGAGAATGCAGCTTTAACACATGAAGCATCGACTTCACTTTTCAGAACCGGAGGATGCAGTCTGGTTTGTAATAGTTTTTGGACACAGAGGAAGAGGAGCTATCAGGCTTTGAGACACACAGAGACAGCTCAATGTTGAGCGGTGAGAAGGATTATAGGAGGAGTAACATTTTGGTAATATCCTCTCTGTATATCCTTTTTTTTTTTCCTCTCTTCCTCACCTTGCGTTCTTCCTTGATGGCTTGTTTTCTCGCCTTCCTCTCCTCTGTGCTCTCCTCCTTGTCGCGGGGCTGCGTGGAGACGCGCGGCAGGTCTGAGTCGTTGATCATTGTCATGCGCTCCGCCTGCTTGGCGGTGAGGCCTTTGGCAGGAAGGACGTCCAGAGGGATGCCCGTCTTATGGGACACGCGGATCGGCTTCGTCTGAGGACAGAAGGAAGACAAAGAATTGTTGTTTAAGTCTTATTTTTAGTCTACGTGCAAAATTTATCTCTCGCTGTTGACAACTCTACATAATTTATTTCAAAATAAGGTGTCATGGTGGGACCGAGTTTCGCCTCTTTATGTCTAAGAACAGGTACAAAGATGACAAAAGAGTGTTTTCATACCTTTGGTGGATCTTGAATAACTTTGGGTCTGTTATACATGTTGGAATATGTACCTGGAGAAAACAAACACCATGCAGTCAAAATAACAAACGGATACAATATCTGCAGAATACAGATAAACTATTAACAGTCAGTGTCTCACGCATCTCACCATTAAATACAGCACAAACTACCTATATTATGTATATTATGTCATTTCAACACCTGAAAGTTGTTTGACTAGTTTTTTTCCCCTCATGAAAAAGAAATATAAAAATATTTTAAAATGTATAAAAACCCGAGAAGATCAACACAAACATTATATTTCACTCTACTCGAGAGCATTTACGTGCTGGAATTTATACGACAGCACTTGTGACATTTTAAGATGGACTGCTGCAGGAGTCAACCTTTGACCAAATGTACTTTACTGCGCCGACGTGGAGCAGATACGACTTCAACCTTTGGCTCCCAATGAAAACACCTAAAAGGTCTCAGCCAGCAGATGAATACACACCTGGTCTAGTGTTTGAAAAGAGAGAAGTTGTACTACGGTGTGGGATCCTAAAGCTTTATCAAAGAACACACCCACATGTTGAAGATCATAAACTTTTCTTTATCCTCTGCTGTGTCAGGACCTCCACTGAACTGAGAAGAAACATCCGTTAAAAAGAGATCTGCTTCTACAACACATCAGCCGTTAGCAGTTTAACTGGAATACTCCAACATTTCAGGAACAGGGTCCAGTTTATTTACGACATAATATCTTTCACGTGATCTGAGTGGGTATGTTTGCTCAAAGGATTTATGCTTTGTCCCGTAGAGGCGCTTCATAATGCAGCTTTCTATAACCGCCACGGTCTCTGTGCACATGAGACAAACTGGTTTTCAATTCTGCCCGTGGAAAGAACGAACGAGTCCGTCCATCCCTGTTTAAAAGATCTGTTTTTGCCGTGTGTGTGTGTGTCCTACTGACTCGAGTCCCAATGCTCATCAGAATGCACAGATTTGATTGGCTGAGTTGTGTCACGTGAGACGGTTTACGACACATGCACTGGTTCTGTGGGCGTTACTGTTCCGTAAAGGCTAGAACAGAATTCATCGGTTCTAGGTCCGGGACCACGGCCCTCCTATTAGTGACCTCTACTTTAGGACATATGCTTCTTTTCTGTCTCCCAGAGTTAGAGGAATGTTGAGGTTTGATTTTAGTAGGATGGTCCTGTTAGTTGATGAGTCGACTAAGATTCTTTACAAGATTAGTCGTTTTTTTTACGCTTATTTACAAGAAACTTAGGGAAAAAAGAGCTTCTGTGTGACTATTTGAGGAGAAGCTCAAAAAAAGAAACTAATGGATTAGTGGACAAAACCGTACGAGATTTTCTTTGGTCGAGGACGGCCTAGATATTAATTTCATCTTTGTACAGTAGCTCGAGGGCGTGCTTAGCTTAGCTTAGCACAAACACCGGCAGCAGACGGAAACTCTGCATCTAGCTGCATCAACTTTGCCTTCAAACAAATACAAAACTAACTTCACTGTGTTTGTTGATCCTTAAAGAGGATGTTTCGCTTCATGATGAAGAAACTGCTGGATGAGTGAAGAGTGGAACTTAAACTCACTGATGATGGTTTCACAGTCCCACTTCTCTTCTGGACCCTTGATAACAATCCTTTCCATCTCCTCCTCCTCCTCCTCATCATCATCTTCATCCTCCTCCTTCAGGACAGGAAGTTCTTTTGGACCGAGGTCATCGGGCCTCAAGTATCTGAACCGCAAACAAGATGCGCGTTGGTCAGCTGGTTGATTTAAAGCAACGTTTTAAATAAAACAATCCGATGCTGCATCAATCGCCCACCAGATGATTTGAATTAAACTTCAACACAATTAAAGACGATAATAAATATAAACAGCGCTCACTCTTTCTGTTTCTGGATGAAGTAGTCTTTGATCACTTCCTCCAGGCGAGCGCTGTCCGGCTGGATGAAGCCCTCCAGCTCGGCGTTGTCCAGAGCGCCGATCTCATCGTCATCAAACTGTTCGTAGAACTGAAACAACGGAAATGTTAACGGAACAACTTGAGTACGAAAAGTAAAAGTACCTCTCAGTGTTTTACTAATATATCTGATGTTTCTGGATCAATATCACTGCTGCATTAATGTGCATGTTGTATTTTAACTCCTTTATATCCTTTGTTGTTCTGAAGCATCTTCCAGCTGATCCAAGAGTCTTTTTAAAGAGTTTATTAATCTGAAGAAGTAGGAGGATTTCATCAACACATAAAGGAACATTTCATCCTTCAGTTCATCACAAACAGTTTCTACAACTAGTAAATATATTTGTCTGCTAAATGTAGTGGAGTAAAAAGTATAAAGACTCAACTAAAGAACAAGTACCTTGAAGTTGAACTTGAAAACAGCACTTTAATAAATGTACTTGGTTACATTCCACCACTGTGTCGGTAAATAATCAAACGGTAGAGTTCAAAGTGAAAGTTCACCTTTTCGAAGCGGTCGTCCAGCAGGGTGAGCTGCTCGTTCCTCCTCATCACAGACGACGTCATCGAGTACTCCGTGAAGCGACTCTTCGTCTCCTCGTCCATGAACAGAAACTCTGGAGCGCGTCCTTCCCCGTCGCCCGAAAACCCACCTTCAGAGTCGAAGTCTCCTTCCTCGTCTGTGTCCTCGTCTGTGTCCTCCCACTCATCATCATCATCATCATCATCATCGCCTCTGCCACAGGTTACACACACAAACACACACACACACACACACACACACAGGAAATCATCGAAGACAGAAAAAAACAATCAGTTTAAAAAAAAAAAATCAAGATTAAAATCAAGAAAATCTGAAGAAAGATGTTTTTATATTGCGTTTCTTACTTCATGTCCACTGCTCCACTCGCTGTGTTTGCTTTGACGATGAAGTCGTCGTCCAGGAGGTTGTCGGGGTCGTCGAAGTCGAAGTCTTCGTCGAGAGCAGCCACGATGTCGGGGTCCAAGTCCAGACGTGGTCCTGAAGCGAAACACACAAACGAGATGCTGACACCCGGGACTTTTAAGGCTGCTTTAGGCCACTTCACATGTTGGGGACAACAAGCAGCAGCAAGAGGTGAAAGTATAAACGGCCCGAGGAAACTGGAAACACATCCAGTTTAATCTATCTATTTATAATGATGAGTTTGTTCCCTAAATTGTTAATTATTTCACAGTTCCCTCTGAACACCAGCAGAGGTCGATAAAGCTCATAAAGTACTTAAAGGGCGATGTTGATATTTTCCAGTGTTTTTGGGACCAACAACAACAACCACCACTTTTGAAATCAGTCCAGTTTTGAGCGAGTGCACAATAGACAGCAGACGCTCACAGGATGCAGTGTAATGTTTTTGGGGGCAAGCTTGCACCGCCATTTACGTGCACTAAAGGTTCTCGTTTCTGCCACCAACGTGCTCAGATTGTTAGATGTTTCTGACAACATTATGGAAAGACTCTTGCTGAAGGAGAAGCTCCGTGTTATCTAAAATATCTTCAATGTCGTGGCTGAATATTTAGAGAATTTTAACGATGTGGACGACGTCTTTGAATTTGACGGCCGCCCGTATTTAAATTAAGTTTCAATAAAGTTGTCAGACACTTAAGATAGCAATCTGAGCCTTTTAATGAACGTAGCGTGACATTGACGCTGCTCACTTCCTCTCGCAGCTCACAGCAGACGGTTACAGCGTTTTAAAAAAAACTTTAAAACACAGACGTTTCCCTTTAATGCCATTTTAAGCTGATGTTTACCTGAGATAGGAGCCGCTTTGTTCAGAAGTCCCACCTCCTCTTCGAACTCTGAGGCGAACACTGAGGACGGCAGGTTGATGGTAGTGGCCTGTACCATCAGACAAAAACAGGAAACATTTCAGAGTAGATTTCCTCTCATCTTTTGTGCGTTAACTTATTTTTTTGCTTGATGACGTCTGGGATTAACAGTCTGATCAGCTGCATTTAGAAACTCCTCTGGAAGAAAGCTTTAAATTGCACTATTTTGAGGTCTCCTTCGCTAGTAGCAAACTGCTTTCTAACAAAGAGGACCAGAACTGGAAAAAAAACAGACCCTGACATCATAATATGAAATGCCAGAACTTTTCTAAAATTTGATTTCAAAGTAAAAGTACCTCAAAACCTTTGCAGCTCTGGGAAAGCCATTTCTAAATGCCAGAACTTTTCCAGGGGTAACTCTGAGTCAACTTACAGGAACGGTGTTGTCACCCTCCTCCGAGTTCTCCTCATCCTGGAGATGAACCGGCCGCCTGTCGCCGGGTGCCGGTGCGGCTGCCACCAGCTCGGTCGTGGGCACCGCCTCCTTCAGGTGCTGCAGGTAGTTGTAGTCGTCGTCGTAGAAAACGCCAAAGTCCCTTTGCTCCTCGCGCCTCTTCTCCGTGTCCCCCTGAGAAACATCGAAAGACGGAAATGCTGAATAGTTCAGAACATGAAAAAAGTTTCAAGAGTACAACACTGAACTGCTCTTAACTCACAGGGGCGGCACGTCTCTGTTGTATATTGTACAGTCTGTTCTTTAAAGGGTCCCAAGTTAAAAGTAGCATGACATTTATTAAAGAAACAACAACAACACCGTTAATGTGTACCTTGATGGCGGGCAGGAGGACGTGCTGTGGGGCTTTCTCATCTGCAGCCAGCGGGTCCCTCTGACTCCTGTGGACGAGGTGAAAGGTCACGGCCTTCTTCTTTTCGATGAACGACTTCTTCTTTCGATGAGGCTGGAAGACACAAACACAGCAGTGAATGGCGGTGATGATAGAACGGTGAAGTATTTGGTTTGACCCCCTCCCTCTCGGGGTAAATCTGGGTGGCGAGGAGGACAACAGCGTTAACTCCCCTCTCCCTTATTACCCCAAATGAGGTGCCCTTGAGCAAAGAGAGATGCAGTGGGGAGCTGTTGGGAGAAATCCGTCAGTGAGGATTCTGCCGTTTCATATTCTGACACCAACTGTACCCTACCATGCTGCACTGAGAGTCATTTTTACACACAACCTCGTTAACCTCGCATGTTAAGAGCCACAGCAGCATCCTTCAATTTCATTGGACAGCATGTGTACGAGCATGTCAGGAGCCAATCAGCTACTTGACGTAATTAAGTGGTGTATTGGTTTGTTTAGATTTTTAGTTTTGGTCTGGCGGCTCACTACAGGCAGTTTGTATGTGTGGGATTGGGGAAGTTTACGGTGTGTTTGGCTATAACAGAACAGCTCGGTGAGTTTAATCTCGTTTTTGGCGAGATTACATGAAGTGTATTATATGACTACTTCGAGACGACTGCCTGCATTCATCGTGCTTGTTTTTGAGTTTGAATGAAGTGTGTTTACACGGCGCCTTACAGTCCACTCGTGTCCAAAGCATCCATTTGACCACATAAGGAGGCAGTTATTGACATTTCTAAGGAGGTTTAAAACACTATCGAACAATACACACCTGCTCTTACATAGCTACGTTACATATATTTTTGCAACCCCAGCAAGATAGTTACTGTTAACCTGCTTGTTTGTTTATATATAAATATATATAAATAGTAATGAACAATACACATATCAAACTATAGAAAAACAAGAGCAAACGAACAATACAAACGAACATTTAGTTTACGATGTTATTTTTAATGCATATCAGTGACGTTCGTCGCTGTTAGCTATAAAGGTTAGCTTATTAGCTTAAAAATGTCAGTTTACCATGTTGTAACGGAATATCTGCCGCTGTCCTTCGACTAATCCGGTTTAAAGACGGTCAAACCTCTAACGACACGTGGCAGTTAAAAATAAATAACCGTTTAAATCCAGAAACTTTTGTTGTTGTTGTTCATCCACGCTGGGTTATCCTTCACCATGCTGCGGCCACCATTGCTGGAAAGAACCATTTTGGCGAACACCGGGGGGGGGGGGTTAAAAGGATATTAATATGATTTAATATGGAGAGCTCGCGGGATTAGTTTACATTTTTATTGTAATTCATTAGTTATCTTAAATGGAAACTTGTTTGTATTATTAATGTAATTCATGTCATTATACACCAGGTACTCCCTCATTATGCATTGTTGGTATAGTCCACAATCTTTCTCTCTTCATGTACTGTTGGTGGAAAACCAGTTTATAGGCGCATTACCGCCACCTGCTGACCTGGAGAGCTTAGTACAGCACTTAAATACAGCACAGTAAATGAGTTACATTCTAATCAGGCAGTCTTTTAAGCATTTCATTATTTAATTACATTTTCCGTTTTATTTTTATTTGTGGAATTTTCTAAATTATTTTGCAAACAAAATACATTTTTAATTTCTTATTTATTTATTAGTTTTTTTTGTGAATATTTGTGGCAGCAGGATGATGTGTGTGTGGGATTGAGTCAAAATAAACTACAGTGTGTGTATTCATGATAGAGGAACATTATTATATTGTTCAACAGTGAGGCTCATTAATATGTGTTTAATGGAGCTCTATGGTTCAGAGGAAGAAGATGCATCAGGCTCTGATACACAAACAATACTTGTTAGCAGAAACATTCACTGGTGGTTTTGGTCCTTTCATGGGATTTGTAGACAATAAATGAATATAGAATATCACCACACTTATTCTTTAACTTGAGCTTCTGTTAAAGCAGCCGCACTGTGAATTTAATTACTATTTATCAGACACATCCACACCTTCATTCCCCTCCACGCCTAAACTACGTGGGCAGGAGCCAAAAAGTATTTCCCATCCAACATCAATAAGTTCACTCTGGTGTTTTTCCACATCTCACTCTAAACATCGGTGGCTGTGAAATGTTTCCTGTTGTTCCAGTTCAAACAACATTCTTTCTTTCTGTCAAAGCAATACCTTCACCCACAATCTACAATCTACAACCTACACCCTGCACATCTTTTACACTGATCCACCTGCATGAATGTTATTTTCATTTTTATGTTCAGTATCTTTATTATCTGGTTATCAAAACAACCCCCGTGGTGACAGCAACACAAAAACAAATGAATGTAATGCCACGCAACATTGGTGGAAGTAACTAAGTACATTTACTTCTAAAGTACAATCTGAGTCACTTGTACTTTACTTGAGTATTTCCATTCTGTGCTAATTTATACTTATACTCAGGGAATATATTGTATGTTTTACTCCACTACATTTGATTTGATTACTTTGCAGATTACGATTATTATTATTTTAAGAGGTTATTGTTAATATTATTGTTGCTTATAGTTCACTCCAACATTAAAGTGATTGAACACAAACGCATCAATAATTCTAATTCAATAATATAATATATATATCATTCTGTAATTGGCACATTCTGCAGATGAGTACTTTTAGCACTTTAAATGCATTTTGTTGCTCGTACTTTTGTACTTTTACTCAGTAAAACTTTGAATGCATGACTTTTACTTGTAACAGAATATTTCTTTACTTTACTCCTACATTATCTGAGCCCTTCTTCCACTATTGCCAATGCAAAAAAATGTCTGATTGTTTAAATTAAAAGAACAACCCATTCAACTTCTGGAGAAGTTTCAGTCACTGGACTGTTGTTGGTTAAAAAGCAAATTAAGGATCAAAAATAACAAACGTAACCTGCCCATCCTGTAAGGTTTAATGTGTTGAACTGTGTTGTCGGTGTTGTAGTTATAAAGACAAACTATTTATTTAGTCACCAAAATAAAGTGATATCTCTTCAACTCAGCAGCATTTCAACCCAAAACCAGACGTTTTTATTCAAAGTTTATTTCCATTCACGCAGAGAAAATAAAACAATGTTTGCTCCAAAAGCACGAGTCAGCACATTTTAACAGTCGATCCCAGCATTCCAACTCTTCCGCGCAGCAAGTATCTCACTTTATTTAGCCAAATAAAATAAAAATAAAACCGATAGATATTGTGAGTTTGAGGCACGAATATTCAGCACGCTGCACACATTTTGTTCTTCTGGTGGCTTCTGTTTGCTCTCAGCGTTTCCTCAGACGTTCATCGACAACATCAGGAACTGTGAGGGGAAGAGAGAATAGACTCAAATTAAACCAAGTCCCAGAATATTAATATCTAAATTCAGTTGAGTGTTAAGAGAGAAAACTCTCTTGTGATAAGAAAGACAATCCCAGGAGGAAATCCATCCGTCTGGTTTAGCAGGTTTGGTGTAAAACAAACACCTTCCGTAGTGTTGCAGAGATTAAAGGGTGTCGTGTTCCATGAACGTGGTTTTTACCTGCATGATGTTCATGTTCACCCGCCCTCTGCGGGATTTGTCCAGAACCTGGAAAGCTCCTGGTTAAGAGGAAGAGTTTCAGTCAGCTCAAAGTGGCAAATATCTCTTTACTTTAAAGGCATTAATGTGGTTATTGTGGACCCAGTGGAGGATTTTATCTCAACTTCTGTCTTCTTTTATACATACTGAACATGTTCATTTGAGTTTAGATTCTATTTTGATTTGATATACTTCTAATTATTTATTTATTTGTGTCCTTGTGCTGCTGCAACACCGGAGTCTCCCCTCTGGAAACCAATAATGGATTATTTTATCTTAACGATTCATTAAAGAAGTATTCAATTCAACACGGAGGGTCTTAAATGAACACAAACTAACACAAATACATCTTTACTGTGATCATTTTGGGCCGTTGATGTACTGTGAACCCAGCAGAGGATCTTATTTCAACGTACTGAACATGTTCTCCAGGCGGACGATGCAGGTGAGGTAGTCGTCGAAGTCGATGTCGTATTTGTCGTCAGCAAACCTCAAGCCGATCAGCTGCAGGAGTTTGTTGTTCAGCTGCATGCCTGAACAAAAAGATGTACACGCAAGACACTAGATCATTCCCACAAACTGATGACTGTCATGTTTATTGGCTGTGGTGCTACTACCACTAACACTGTAATACTACTTTTATCACTTTCACTTGTTATTATTAGGCTTATTATTGTTGTAGTTATTGTGGACCCATTTACATTGAAGTTACAGACGACGAGGCGTACACAAAAAGCAAGAAAAGCGTTTTTATTGCACACAAAATGACCGGCAAACTGTTGCGTCATTCATACGCCTCTTTGGTGAGAGCGGGCTGGTCACCGATTTAATTATTTGTGTGCGTGTCTGTACATGTCTTTTCTTCAGGAGAATCCTACTCATTGTCATTTTCAAACAGTCGACTCTCACCTGCAGCTTTGAGAGCGATGCGAAGCTCGTAGGACGACATCTTTCCTGAGCGGTCGGTGTCAAAGGACAAGAAGAGCATCTGGAACAACAGAAACTCAGATTAACAGCCTGAAGCACAGAAACACTCCACCGCCAGAATGTAACTGAGTACATTCACTCAAGTACTGTACTTAAATACAATTATTATTATATGGAGTTTTTCCATTTTATGCTACTTTATACTTCTACTTCACTACAGCTCATTGGGAAAAATGTACATGCTTTAGTTACTTCACAGATTAAGAGTCGCAATGCAAAATATCAATATATTATAAAAGGATTACCCAGCAGTATATAAAGCAATATGGATAATATATATATAAATACATTAAAATGAGCTCCACCTTTTAGTTTCACCAGTAAAGTAATGAACGCATTAATGCATCAATAATTATAATATAGTAACGTAATAATGTGTATTCTGAAATGTGTCATTCTGCATAACGAGTACTTTCACTTTTGGTACTTTAAGTATATTTTGATGCCAATACTTTTGTACTTTTACTTAAAAATGTTGAATGCAGGACTTCTACTTCTATGTATTTTTATAATCTGTGTAATTTGTACTTTTACTTGAGTAAATGAGTACTTCTTCCGCCTCTGAGTCACGTTTTTTAAACACATAAATCAACACGTACGATCCACTTCTTCATCTTCTCCCAGAAGACCTTGAACTCTTGGAACTCCAGCTGGCCCGTGTTGTCCACCTGGTTTACTGTCAAGGGAAAAACTTTCCCAAAGCATTTTATTGTACGGGATTAATGTTTACTTATGTCGCCTGAAATCTAAGGTTTTGACACGAGTCAGTGGGTGATGTGGAAGGATACATCCATCAGGTTGATGATACTGTGGCAGGTGCTCAGACTCAGGCCTTCAAATTTGATCTCTTTTCCTAAAAGCAAAACAGATTTCAAAAAGAAGTGGAACAGTTAGGTTTTTAAAATTTGCATCAAAGTGAAAAAAGGGAAATGAAACTAAAGGGACTAGCTGACAAAAAAGCCCTCAAAATACGTTTCCTTTTCACTTACGTCTGCTGAGGACGCCGTTCAGCATCTGCTGGAGCTCTCTGACGGAGATGGCCTCGTCCTGTAGACGCACAAGTAAACTTTAAATTCATACATACCATGGTCATCTACAAATCTGACCCAGTGTCTGAGAGGGTAAAACTCCAGAGACCCTGCCGGTCGAGGTCATGTGATCTCTACGCTTCACAAATGTGAGATTCTGATGTTTTCTTACATCACCAGCGAGCTGTTCAAACAGCCTCCTCAGGCCTTTCTCCTCGTCCGTCTCGTCCTCTGGAGCGGAGGGTGGGGGCGGCTGGTGGAAACAACACGGCATCATCAGTACAGGCGAACAGGACCCGGTTGATTGATTAAACGGGATTATTGATTATCAAGTTCCTGGTGTGATCTACTTACATCTGGGAGGTCAGCGTCAACGTTGCTTCCCATCTCGCTGTGGAACAGAAACACAAGTTGTGATACTGTGTCGAGACATTTACCTATTTTAAAATGATTTATTAATACCCCCCCAAGACTTACATTATTATCAAAATAGAAAGCCACTGAAACTCTCCATTAAATATGTATTTTTTACTCTTTATGGGTTCACTAGGGTTTTCAATAGTATTGACTTTTTGTTTCCCAGTTTTGTTCCCCCGATGTTTCAAACACTCACAGAGCCTCGGTCTTCTTCTCTGAGAAGACCCTGATGATGAAGTCGGCCTCGTGGTGGGGCTGGAAGGTGGTGGGGACCAGCAGGTAATTCCCAGGAGGCAGTGTGAAGCGCTCCGATATCTCCCGCATGTTGATGTAGGTCCTGCTGCGAGCTTTGGATGCGTGGTAGCGGAAGAAATCTTTTCCCAGTTGGTCCACGTCCTCTGGAGCCTGAACGGGCAGAGACGAGAGATGCATTTTAGCTTGTTCTAACTGGACAAGATATGCTAATAAACACAAAACAAATACATTTGATATACGTAAATGTAGGGGAGTGTGAGGGAAGTACGAGGCCTGATGATTGACTGACAAAACAATGTGCCCTCAGCGTCCATTTAGTAGCTGTTCCGGAGCTTTCGGTCATATCACATGATCTTCAACAGCAGATAGACTTCACTCAGTTGTCGTGGATTGTAGATTTTAAAGCATTTTAAAGCCTTTGAAGATTGAAAGCACCAGAACAGCTAATAAATGGACCTTGTGATGAGATTGTATTAAGGTCAAGTATGAACACATTAAAATCGTGAGAGGTAAATCTTAATGTGCACTTAAAATATGTATATGTTCCGAAAAATGTACTTAGAGTAATATAAATAACAATATAAATGTGTTTCTATCAAACCAATTTTGGTGTCTTATCTTTGAAATATTTCAGTTTAAGTAAAGTTAAAGTAATTGAAATAGTTAAAGCCAACATGGAGTCCTGAGCCAAAGGCTGTTCTGATGAGTTGCACTTTCACTGCGAACACTTAAACCTAGATATTAAACCTCGTTTCAAGCAGGAATCTGTCGCTCGTTCAGTTTCTTTCTGACCTCGTACACTGCGAAGCCGATGGTTTCCATGTCCATGCCTTCCTTCCTCAGCTTTCTTCTGTTCTTCTGCATCAGAGCGATCACCACGCTGCACACGTCGTCGTCATCGTCAGCGTCCTCCAGCTGCAGCTTGAACTGCGGGTTGGTCCAAAATGTGTCTGCGGATTGAAGATTCGGAGATGAGGATGGCAGTTGAGCAGTTTAATGACAAAAGGCAACAAATCAACACAAAAAGAATATAAATATTAGATTAATTATATCATCTAATCTGCTGCCAGTAAACCCAACTTGTTTATTCTGCAATAAAGTGGAGGCAAATTCCTATTGATTTCTTTCTCATGTGATTTGTGAGGTCTGGTGGTCTCACCGATGAAGTTCCTGCAGCCTCCAGCGGTGGAGCCGCGGATCCAGTTTCCCTCAAACATGTTTACTTCCCAGTGGCGCTTTGTGTTGTCGGACAGGTCGTCGGGGGTCATGTTGCAGATCTCCACCTTGTTGTAGTTCCTCTTGAAGTCGTTAAACTCCATCCTGGAGTCACAAACACAAGCGATGTCATCTCAAAATACAGTGAATACACAAGAGTTCATCTTGATCACATTTGTGCTCAAAACACATCACCACAGAGTTTGATTATAAAGTACAATAATGAAAAGATTTGAATGCGTTTATTAAGTTTGTGAGTCTGGATGGAGTCACTGTTCCATTAGAAAAAGATATTTACTGGCGTGTGAAATTTAATATTAATAAAATCAAACTCCAGATTTAAGTGTACAGCACCAAATGCTAAAACTCCCTCATTAAGATTAAATTAAAGACGATTTCTTTTTTTCGATGTGGCATCTTTGGGCAAGTTTGGGCACATTATATTTCTGACCCTTTTTACAGTGATTATTATGTTCACTACATTCCTGCGTGCAACATATTTAATACACAAACCTAACGCAAAGACAGAGTTGTATACAGTTAAAAACATTTCTTGATTTTTAGTTTGGACCAAAGTCATGACGTGGACTCACCAGAATTCACCATTGTCTGATTTCTGCAGGAGGCGATTTTTATCAGCTGCGTCAACATTATTCCACTCTCTGGAACTGAAACAAGACGAAACAATCTGTTACGACCTTAACATGCAAAAATCGGAGAAAAAAGAACGGCAATACTTTCCACCAACAACTGACAAATACACATCGCAAAACTATATTTGTTTTTCATTCATGCAAGTATGAGGTTGTTAAACTGAAGCCTGTGAAAGGCTTCAGTTTAACAAGGAAAAGTCATTTTGGTGGTGTGATGAAGGACAAACAATGTCCATAACAATATGATGAGGTTATGTTTGGTAAAATATCCAGGATTGGTCATTTTACTCTCCCATCCTAATTAATGCGATAATAATCTTATTGGTATTATAATACCAATAAAGATGCTTTTAACGACTTGTGTCCACAAGATATCTCTGTAGACAAGATAAAGTGGTATTGTCCTTCATGCTCACCTGTCACTCCAGGGGCCGTTCCACTCGACCTGACCCCAGGGGTTCCTGACCCGGACCAGCTGGACCTTCTGCCCTCGGACAGTCACCTGAAAATCAGACATTTAGTTTTTTGTTAGTGTAAGATTCTGCGTATGGCTCTGCTTAGTAATTTCCCTGGAGAAGTAATTAAACTGAATAAAAGTTTTCTCTATACTTTTCCCTCATCATTATTAGTAAGTCTGCATTCAGAAATACATAAAACTAGTGTTACCTCCTCCACGCCTGTGATGGAGTACGCGTGTCCCTTCACCAGGCCGGTGGTTGTCTTGGCCTCAGACTCTGCAGAGCTGGTGATCTGGAGAAAACCACAACGCCCAGAGAGGTGTTTAAAACAGAAGAGCTTGGCTGAAGTACTTACTAAACTTCTTGTACAGTATGAGAGGTGGAAGTAACAATAATTAAATGATATGAAAAAAGGTTTTTACATCAATGGAGCATCCCATCATGGAGCCTCTGTCCAGTGCCTTCTTCATGGTCGAGAACAGTCTGTCTGTGGCGTTATTAGTTTCGTAAACTTCACCGACACCGCCGGTAAAATCCTCCATGGCCTCCATCGTGCTGCCGCCCTTCAGGGACTCGTAGCTGCCGTGCAGTCTAAAAAACAGGAAACAGGAAAACACATCACGGTGGTTAACACAGAATGAACAAAGTGAAATCAAAGGCCAGACTTAAAGATTTAAAAAGCTGTCAAAGCTTAAGAGGTTAAGGATGGTGGTCTTGCTTTGGATGTTCATGTTCCCTAGGGGATGAACCATGATCCTTTTGGTGACCCCACAGCAGCGCTATCAGGCCAAACTGTCAGCTTTTACACAGATTAAGAGTCTACATTACCAAAGTCAATGGGGACCATGAACGCCTATACATCTTAATCTGTCTAATTGCTGTTGATGTATTTCTGTCTGGAACAAAGCGATGGACTAATTGACCAACTGCTAGCATGGCTAAAACTCTAACACCATGACATTTACTGAGTATGTTTATGCTCCCCAGAGGATGATCCCTTTCCTAGTTTATACACTCTTATGACCTTTCCTCAAGGTCCACTCTGAGGACAAACTTCATCTCATGCTGCGTTCACAATACAAGCGACAAAAGCAACGAAACGACAAAGTGTGGTCAGTTACATTGTGGTAGTTATGTTGTTAAATAGCCCTGGCAACTGGCTAATGGCATTCCTTTTGATGGAAAGGAACAATGTGAAACAAAAACGTATGATGATGTTCGTATCGTGTGAACGCAGCATAACAAAGCACAAATCCAATGAAATTTCAGAGAGCTTTTGTGCTCCCCAGAGGATGCACCCTATTCATTTTAATGGTCCTTTCATTCACTCCACACATGTTAAAGTTTTCAGAAATGTGGGTGTAATGCAGAGCTTTACATTTTCAGTCACATTTAGGCAGATATGATAAATAAAATACAGTTATAGTGTGACATGATTGTGATTTTGGTGGAAACAAAGTAGATTTATTATGCTTATAATCTGTCGCTGATAAAGGAGGTACAAAAATATGTTTTTACTTGGCGTAGGCCTTCTCCAGCAGGGCGCTCCAGAACTCGTCGTTGGAGGCGGAGTGAAGCATGATGAGTTTGTCTCTAACCGCCGGCAGCCTGTCGTCCACCACCACGTCCAGCCATCTGTTGTGATTCCAGAACTGAGGGACAAACAGAGAATGTGTCACTAAACATCCTTTTCTCACTATTTAGTTATCTGTTACATGTTTGTTGGATTTGTTATTTTTGGCTCATTTGTGAGCAAAAAACGACCTCCTGTTTTATTGTGATCGGCTGAGACACCTGTCAATCAAGCAAACATGCCCCCAAAAATACTTCTCTTTCAGCCTTAATATCTCTATGACATAAAAACTAATAATTAAATTATACTTTTAGAGAGAATTCAATCCTTTTTGACTAAACTGTTTAAGGTAAGTGAAGCTCTTTGTTACTGCTTCACTAGATGCCGCGTAGTTTGCATACATTGACTTTTTTATATTTTATTTGCTCTGCTTAGTATGTGTGTCTTATTTTCATGTATTTATATATTATTATATAAACACACATACTGTGGAGCTACGATATCTGTAGCTTTATATCATATTTAGGATTATTCTTATTTGGGGAGGAGGTCCACTGTGCAAACCTACAGTTTTTATAAAGTTTGTTTTAAAACATTAAACCCTGCAAAGCATAACTCTGTAGAGCTAACGGACGGATGGAAGGAGGGTTAATTTACTATATTAAAGAAGTTTTAACCATCAAATATACACAATGCTTCAGCTGCTTCCTCATACTCTACATGTAGAGGAAGAGATTAATCTGGGTGGATAATTTGTGTCTTTGTCAAGGTAAAGTTTAGTTTTCTTGTTCTTGACAGACACTGAAATGTCTGAAAACGAGCACAAAAGACTCAGTCAGAGGGAAACATGTCATCCGATAAACCATCTCCGCCTCATCGGCCTGCAGTCGATCAGCCGGCGGTCTACCTGGAAGTGAAAGATGCCAGCGTATCTGCGGTCGAAGTCCTGGTCGTGGGGGACGACTCGGGCCAGGGTTTCTTTTTTGAGGGTCAAGGATGCGATGGCTGCCAGGAGCCAGCAGTCCCCTGTGGTGACAAAACGGGTGCATCATGGGTAAGTGGGTGAAATATGTACAAAGAAATAGACACAAAACAACTCATGCAGACAGCTTGAGTACCAACCAAGTTGTCCTTGGCAAATGTCTGTCCTGTCTGCGTTGCCGACGATGAACTTCGGGTTGTCGCAGATCTCCTGTAGAGAAACCGGAAAAGAACAGGTTTGGTGTATTTAAGAAGAAGAAAAATGACAGTTGAGAGGTGACACAGGTGCCTTTAATAGGTGTGTTCACATTCCAGGCATATTAATCATTCTGAATTCCCTCACTGAAACACACACAAACAACACAACAGCTGAAAGCAGCTGAAGCGTTGACTCTGAAGCAACGCCCAAGAGAGAAATGTGTAGTCATCGTAACAAACGTGATTGGTGAGTTTACCCCAATTTACTCAGGTCAGGTTATGTTAACAGGTAGAAATGCAGGAAATGAGCTAAAGCACACAGTCAAGTGACAGACATCAATGAAGAAAGTCAAGAAAGCTTCCACGAATGTATGAATCTTCAGCTGATCAGCTAAAACCAACCAAAATCAAACGTCTGGGCTCGTCTTCTGAGCAGCTGCAGAGAGTTTTATTTTACTGCAGATAGCGTTGAGGCGTGTGGGGATAAAGTCTGCGTACGGAGCTCAGAGTGAGGAAACTGCCCATGCACTTGGCTCTATTTACTCAGCTTTCTTGCAGAACTGGTTTTGCAGCTAGGACGGGATAAAACCAACTTCAAATAAACTTGCGCTGTATTTCTTCAAAGCCTAAATATCAATAATTACTTTCCAATGCTGCCAGCACTCATTCACTCAACTGCCTCAGACAGTTTTCATTTATTCAGCCTGTTCTGAAGCAGAGTCTTACATTTCTGAGACTTTAGACTTTAGTAAATATGACCGGTTTTAAACTGAAAACGACTAGAATATTAAAGCATGTGTTGACCCATCATAGAAAATCTCATCAGCTGATCAGCTCACCTTGAAACCGCAACATTTCATTCATTCAACATTTCAAAAACTGAATTTGAGACACAAATTGGCTACATTTAACAGACTAAAACTTGAAATCTACAAATGATATGTGTGCCTACGTACCTTCGGCCTCTTCCATTCAATATTGACAGGAACACTCTGGCTGAAGTAGAGCGAAGAGTCTTCGGCGGGGAAGTCTGGATCCTCAAACAGGACCCCCTCCTTCAGACATTCGTGCCTCAGATCATCAAACGACTTCCCATCCGATTGCGTGTCCACGGCCTTCTTGGAGCCGGAGCCCTGGCCCGACAGCGTGGACTGGAGAGGCATCTTCTTCAGGAGGAAGAAGCTCAGTGAGCGGAGGAAGAAGGAGACGTGAAGTGGTGTGTGATGGAGTGTGTGTGTGTGTGTCTGATGCAGGACAGAGCCTGTCAGGTCGGTAGGGCAGTGAGGTACACACCCTCCAGACAGAAACTGGTTCGTCCTCCTGTGGCGGTGAACCTCACCCCAGCTGACTCTCTCTCGTTCTCTTTAGTCTCTTATCTCTAGCTCATTCTCTCTTTCTCGCTTTGGGTTTGACTTACAGGATACTGTAAGAATTCATTCCTGGTGGTTTGGCAACGAATAAATTCAATAGTTTGAAGTGGTGTTCTCATTCAATCAGTATCTCTGTTAGGGAACTTTTGGTGCACTTAAAAGGACCACAGAAGTGTTGTTGTTCATTTATGTATTCATATTTATACTTCTGTCTGTACTGTAAACATCTGACATATAGTGTATTTATATTTATACTTCTGTCTGTACTGTAAACATCTGACATATAGTGTATTTATATTTATACTAAAATGTCTTTACTAGATATTTTAAGCAAAATGACCACAAAGAGACGCAAAATCGTCCCAAAGAGACACAAAACGACCACAAAGAGATACAGAATGACTACAGACACTAAACTTCCTCCTCTCTCTTTCTTTGTCTGTCACTGATCAGTGTAGATTCGGGGGTGTGCCTCCGTCGTCTCTGCTGCACCCTGCCACCCACATCAGTCTAAGACTCAGTACTCCAGACTGTCCTGCTTTCTGCCAACGACG